CCTAGTCAACGAGCCTTCCAATTGTAACAGTTTATTGACCCAAAAACTTTGGCAAGCGTCGTGTTCTGTTTACGAATGAGATAATAAAACCCTCTCTAGTTGGACATGTATAAATGACACGGTAGTAAAATATCAAAAAAGTAAATCCACATTGTATGTAATAGATACATCTATATTTTTTATGTGACTTAGAATGGCAAATAAGCTGACGGCCCACCTGATGAAAAGTGGTAACCGTCGCCTATAAACATGAAAAATACCATGGACATAACAGAGTATACTGTTTCACCGATGATACCTCCCCATGCGTTGCCATTCCTGAGGACTCAGGTGTTATTCCTCTGTACCCTGTAAATTCACTACCATATCCCACTCTTCAAACCGAAACAGCCATGCAAACACAACTGCTTTACGGTAGAAACATGAATGGGACAGAGGTGCCTAAACAAACAACTTGTGTACAAAGTTTCTCTGGTACGAGTAATATATAGATTTTTTTTAATGCCGGAAGTTGGAATGGTATACAATGACACACTAGTGGAGTGTGAGGACGAAGAGAATGATAACAGATCGGTTAGCCTACCAAGATGGTTTCCAGGGATGACGACCACGATGTTTTCCATGATGATATCAGAATATATTGCTAGGAAAGGGAACTATATTCTCCTTTACTAACAGTTATTTCCCTCCCTCATACAGCTTAGCTAATCTGGCAAACGTTGTTTCGAGTCTATTCGAAGTAAACAATACACATAATTTACCAAATTTCATTAAAATTATTTGTGCCAGTTCCGTTTCGGAAAGTTAACTAACACGGACGAACATTGTAACACTGAATTTTTATATACTAGGTTAATAAAATTGTAATTAAATGTTATCTGTACGTAGGAGATATTTATGAACTTTTGTCTGTTTGTATAATTAATCCTCTATTACGTAAATATCATTGCTCATTAGACAGTTTTCACAGTTATATCCCTAAAGGCCAAACTTAAACGTCATCTAGAAGTGATGTCTTTAATTTGTTCAAATCCCACGCATACTATATTGTGAGCAGAAGCTAATGTTATATGTCAAGCAATCAATGTATATATATATATATATATATATATATATACTTGTAGATTAAACTGTTTATAATTACTGCTCTCCATCCAAAGGTAGCCTGGAAGAAATCGCTAACGATAAGGTCGCCCATTGTTTTCTCAATGTAATTATTTCTTGTAATTGTTTATATTTATAATAAGTTTACTATTGTAATCTTTTGGAGGAAACAATAAAGAGTATCTATCTATCTATAGAATGAAATCGTAACTGGTCGCTGTTTGCACATGGAAGATATATACTATAAGAAACACTATTATAGGGGGGGGGGGGCTTTGCATTATTACTGTACGCGTGTGCACTCTAATCACAGAAACGGCTTAACCGATCTGAATACAATTTTCACTAATGCGTTGCCGTTTGCTCCACTTAACATTTAGTGTTTGTTTTATTTCAATCGGTTCATTAATAAAAAGTTATGTCAATCTAAAGAATCACATATAAAATGCTGTAAAATAACCGATTAGTTGAATACGCTGATTTTTTTTTATTATATCTATTGATTTTCGACAATTCTGTCTATTCGTGTGAAGCCGGGTCGGATCGTTAGTGTTATATACAACTGAATATGTATGGATGCAAGTACCGATGGAGGGAAAATATTTAAATAGGGAAAATGACTACGCATTCTGTGACATCTGGGTTCTATACAAATAAGTATGTTTGTATAGAACTGTCCACAAATCGGGACTGCCCACCTTAATAATAAATGATAACGGAACAGTAGCCAGCGCTATCGGAATATGCTGATGGGGCACCAGTGAAGATAACAAGTCAATTGACCCATCGTAACGAAATAATTAAGAATTAACCGAAAAGGTTTCCAAGAGGGACTAATCTTTACTAACTAATTACTAACTACTAATTTATTTTGAAATAAATTATTATTATATTTATAAAAAAAAAGTCTTATTTGTCGACCTGAGAAAGTATAATTCTACCTATAGGAGCGCTAGTTCCCATTACTATTGACAATATAATACTTACCTTTACTGGTACTCTCTCTCCTCCCCCTCCCCCCTTGACTACCCACTATACATCATCATCCTGCAATAGGAGTAGAAAATTTTAATTATTCTAACCAGAGAAACACTGCACAAAATTTGTCTATTTATATATCTTTCGTGTTTCTGCTGTGAAGCGAATAAGCTTTAAAATTTTAAACAAAGTTCAGTTCTGACATAACTTTTTATAGGGTTAAAATGGAATGGTAACCTTACCTTCGTTATCGGTATACACTGATTGGGTATCAGTTAGTAATAATAGATGAGCATGAAATCAGGTCAGTCGGCTCAACGTGACCAATTATCTGATAATTACCCACTAGGCTTTCCAAAGAGGACCATGTGGAGGTCGACCTGACAGGATATATTGCTAACAATGGGGCCTCTAAACCCCATTACTATTAATCTCCTTTACAGGGGCTAGTACTAACATTGTGGATAAATTACCATTATAAAAATTGAAGCCACAATTAATGTGAAAAGTCATGCAAATTGTAAATCTCATATTAAAGTAACGAAAATTTGCAAGTCACAAATACACGATTTAATGGTTGTGACTTGCAAATGCTAACTTCAAATGATAATACCAAAATATGTAAGACACAAGAATAAATAAATCCGGTGGAACGGACACTCTTATATTTCACTTTGTAATGAGACAATGCCGCCAATGTACCTTTCTTACATTCAGAGCCCGCATTGCTTGGGAGGGTTGTCAAAACTTAATTCGTATTTAACAAATAATTTTACAACATTTTACAATATTTACCCAACACGTACAAATGAGTTGTAACGAGAGAAATTATAGCCCTTAGCAATATATCCTATCAGACTGACTCCGCTCATCCTCCCCTCAGCCCCTTCCCGGGGAGCTCATTACATTCTTATGGTAGTTAGTAATACAGAATCTAGTATTCTGTATTATTGCTAGCAATATACCCAATCAGGTCAACCTCCACGAGGTCCCTCTTGAAAACGGTTGTGCTGAATTCCAGGTGTCCAGGTGTATGCATCACTATGGGCTAACTGACCTGCCTTTTCATTCGCATCTATCATCCCTCACTGGTGTCCGCCAGCGTACATCGTTAGTGCAGACATGGTTTTTTTTTTTGTTCGATGAAAATGGATTAGTAATTCCGCCTGCGCTAACAGGATACGCTGGCGGAGCACCAGTGAAGGGTGATAGATGAGAATGAAAACAGGCCAGATAGCCTATCATGATGAATTCATCAGGAATTAACCATGATAGTATCCAGGGGGAACTGCGTGGAGGTCGACCTGGTTAGGCGCGGGCATGGTAACCATTCCATTATCATCCATTAAATGAACTACAACCTTGTTTATCATTACTGATGGGTACCCCGTTATTGTATACCAACAGCGCAAGTGAGGATTCATTTCATTTCCATCTGAACGGATGTATACCCTAACTACGCTGTCTGTTGCTTGCAAGCCCTAACTGTATAACAGAAACGGGTTGTCAGCGCGCCCACATAGCTTTGTTATTACTATATGTTAAAAAGTAATATAAAACAAATAGAACTTTTCAATCCAACTGATAGTTCAAGAGATTAGTACATTCACACAAATAAACTCTGTTGTATTAGTAGTTATAGATATTGTATCCACCAGATTGTCGCTTCCACCAAAATATTCATTCTTATTGCATCTACTTATAATATTGTTCGTGTATACAGTATCATGGCAACGCGCTTTATTCGTACATATCGAAGTCGCTACTCTAGAACCTGTAATTATTAAGGAAAATCAAATATTACCTACAGAATACGAATATTCTTATCATCCAAGTATAATGAATAATTTCTTATATAATTTCCGGACAGTTTGTCGTTTTCGTGATATATAAATATAATTAATATGTTGAATGAAAGATTAACGAAACAGATATAGGTAGGTAATCGGAAATAGAAGGAGAGATTGTTGACAACGTTCTACGTGATTCCCCTTAGAAACCGTCGTGTTTCATCCATGTTCAATTTGTCATGATGGGCTAACTGTCCTAGTTTTATTGTCACTTATCACTCCTTACTGGTACCTCCAGCGTATACCAGTAGCACAGGCGAGGATACTAGTTCATGTTTAATTTTAAAAAGTGGACATTTATTAATTACATTTACATTTATTATATGTGTTATGATGATGATGATGATGATGATCTGTGTATCTAACAGGAATTTTAATGAAAACGATTATACTTCGAGTATTAACATCTACCTAAATAAGAAAAAAATATGTTTTATATTATGTTTTTTCACCAGAGGGAGACTTTGTACAAAAGTCGATTGCTTGGCTACCTCTGTCCCATTCATGTTTCAACCGTGAAGCAGTTGTGTTTGCATGGCTGTGTTTTGGTTTGAAGGGTGGGATATGGCGTGAATTTACTGGGTACAGAGGAATAACACCTGAGTCCTCAGGAATGGCAACGCATGGGGGGTATCATGGGCGAAACAGTATAAAAAAAAACTTAGTATGACAAACAAGCTGCCGGCCCACCTGATAGAAAGTGGTAACCGTCGCCTATAGGCATGAACAGTACAATAGACATAACAAAGTATACTGTGTCACCCATGATACTCCGCATGTGTTGGCACACCTGAATATAATAACATGTAAAAAATTTGGTATTAAGTGACTGTTCAATCAACACAATGAATGTTCAGTTGAAACGCAGTATTACCTAATAATATCGAGGTTATTTCATTAATATTAATGCGGTATTAGAAAGCGTTAATGACATTAATGTGTCAAAATTTAAATTACAACATTATCTAAATTATTAAAAAAAAAACAACTAGCATTCACGTAGACACCTACCTATTTATTTATAAATAAATTTACATTTAAAAATGAAACTGCTAAACGTCCACTCACCAACAAACGGCATATCCGTGACAATTTTTATAAATATCAACACAAATAAAACACATATATCACAATAAATATAATAATAATATTATAAACGTAATGCAAAATAACAATTGCACAAAATGATCTATTAAAACATTCACTATTCACTCGATTTTAAAGTCAATCACAACACTAAAATCGTCTTATCACTTTTTTCCCGCCAAACGATATTTTTTAAGACATGGACAGCTATTTTAATAAAGGAATTTTGGATAGATAGATCAAAGAGGGTGGATTGCGGGACGCGAAGCCCCGTCCCCTACCAGTTTACGTTACGTACTGACGTAAAGGATTTGGAGGGAAACCTCTGCGCACTAAGAGACGGCTGCGCTGAACATATCTAGCTAAGTAGGTGCGTTTTTATTTATATTATACTAGTGATGCGCCCCAGCTTCGCACGGGTAGATAGAAAAATAAATAAGAACTTTATTATTAATTTTAATATAGACAATTTTTTTGACAGGTGACATTTTTGTAATTTTCTTAACAGAGTCTATTTTTTTTTAAATAATATATAGCTTATGTTACTCACTGATAATATAGCTTTATATAAGTGAAAGAATTTTTAAAATCGGTTAAGCAGTTTTTGAGTTTATCCATTACAAATTTACAAACACAAAAAAAAAAATACAAAACGTTACAGATTATTGATTTAATTCAACTAAAAGTAAGGATACATTAATATTATAATAGATATTTAGAATTACAAATGTAATGGTCACAATCATAAGTCGATGATATAAAAAATAAATCAGTATCTTGTATTGTCGAAATGATATAATCATATAATGACACATAAATCGAATAAAATTGGATAATTTGAAAGAACCATATGATAGACATGAGCTGTACGGGCGAAGTCCTTTGCCTTTCCTTTTAAAATAAACAAAACTAAAAAAAAATACATTATATGTAAAGAATTTCGTATAATATTAGTATAAATCCATTTAAATCATATATTGCGTTGCTTTAAGTCATTTTGACTTAAACATAAAATTGGCATAATAAGCTATAGTGGAAAATACCCACTTAAAAAGCAGGCAAAGTAGATTTGACAATCCGGTTGACAAAAAAAAATCCGGTCAAGTGTGAGCTGAACTTACTGGATATAAACAGTAGTCATTATTAACGCTTCTATTAGATTTATCGAAAACTTTACCTACATAAATTATAAATATAATAATACATTAGCTGAATCCACTAGACCATTATAAATAACTCTTATTTAATTAATCATTTACCTAATCCATATTATATAACCGTACTGATATTAGAAATGAGAAATAAAGTTCATATGTCTATTTTTTTACTCCTAAATGACTGAACCAATTTTAATGAATTTATATACAAAGATAGATTAAACTTTGGAGCAGTATATATGCCGCGTAAGTAAAAAAGTGGTGAAATAGGGGATGAAATTTTGTGTCAGTAAAGAATCAATAGATAGTAAACTCATTTCTGCGCAGACAAAATCACAGTCATCAGCTAGTATCACATATAGCTGATCCTACACCCGTTATTTCACCCTCAGTATAATTTTTTCACCAAAATAAAACTACCCTCTCATTCATGTTAAAACACAGGTTTGGTACACACCTCTGGTAAAACAGGTTTACCAGAGGGACTTTGTACAAAAGTCGATTGCTTGGGTACCTCTGTCCCATTCGTGTTTCAACCGTTAAGCAGTTGTGTTTGCATGGCTGTGTTTCGGTTTGAAGGGTGGGATATGGTGTGAATTTACTGGGTATAGAGGAATAACATCTGTGTCCTTAGGAATGGCAACGCATGGGGGTATCATGAGCGAAACAGTATACTCTGCTATGTCCATGGTACTGCTCATGTCTATAGGCGACGGTTACCACTTTCCATGAGGTGGGCCGTCAGCTTGTTTGCCATTCTAAGTTGTATAAAAAAAAGGCAATATACATTTACAAAAATTAAAATATGAGCAGGTCGAGAGGTTTCGGAGATTAGCGTGAACGTATATCGTGACGTGGGATTTGTTTTTTATATTAAGATTAATATACATTAACCTTTTAGTCGGATTTATTCGAGAGACATATTTGTTTTTTTTTCAATCGACATCAAAAAGGAGGTTAGCAATTCGATTGCATTTATTTTTTGTTTGTTGCATAACTCCGTCAGTTGTGAACTGATCTGGAAAATTCTATTTTTAACTGAAAGGTTATACTTACACATTAGTCCCATAGAAATTGTATTAAAATATGTTTTTAAACTAAGTTTTTAAATTAAAAAAAAACTGGTTTTGTCACAACTGAAATCGTTTTTTTTGGTACGACACAATCTTCTATTTAACAGCCTACATTTACATATTAATAAAATACCTATAAAATTCAAGTTTATTATTACATACATATATTAATAATATTATTATATGTATAAAAAATTTACTTTACAAGTTTGGCACATTATTATAAAAACATTTCATGACATTATGTATGCTTTAAAATAAATACAAACGTCACTATTAAATTACATTTGCACACCTGCAATGCCGCTGGTGTTGTGGGTGATCATGGGCGGCGGTAGTCACTTACCATCAGGTGAGCCGTATGCTCGTTTGCCCCGTGTTGTAAAAAAAAAATTCTAAAATGAGAGAAAGCATGACGTTAAGTATAATTGAATTTGCCTATTTTTTAATAATGAAACACATCTGATTAGTATATAATTTTATTTTATATTATTCAATAAATGTTCATTTTTTTAGACAGGCTTCATTCAAACTTCAAATGATTTTTTTTACAAAAAGGTTAATTTTTTAAAGTCACAGTAGGAATTCTGAACAAACATTTTCATCGGAAAGCTACATTATGTGTTTTCCCGTTTACATAAAAACAATTCTATGGAATGTACAATTTTATTAAATATTTATAAAATATATCATCCCAGTAGAAATATTTTTAGAAAAATAAAAAATCCCCACTATTTTGTAATTATTGCCGTGTGGTCCCGACATAGAATAGACTATCCCTTCCTTTCCCGTAGGTATCATAAGAATCGACTGAGGGAAGGCGAGGGATGTGCAGCAACGTCCCTCTTATAACATCTCTAAAGTCTAACTGCGGTTGCCAACCCGCCTGCCAAGCGTGGCAATTACTGGCAAAACCCCCCCAAGGGGGAGGCTTATGTTCAACAGTGAACAATTAAAGGCTGATATAATGATGATTTTGTAACTATTAGTTTAATTAATTTTTGTTTATTTTTTAGATATTGCATGACCTCTGTTAGGAATATGAGTTGTAGATATACGACCTAATTATCTGTGTCTATTGATGACAATGTTCGTTGCTAAGCATCTTGTTAATTGTAACATTTTATTCTGCTTATTATACGTATTTTAATATTTAATATCGCTTTCTGTTCTCCACTTTAATAACCTCCTTGTCGCCAGAATCCGTTTGGTCCATGACTTACGGGACACCCTGTATATACGAAGATGTTACACTGAACCGCTTTCGAGTAATCCTGCACTTTCCTTTAACTGCCGCCTTTCATACCAAATTGTACTAACCAATAAACTAAAAAAATAAACAAGTAAATTGATGTAAGTAAATAATATAAAAGTAGAGGTAAATAAAAATACATAAAACAGTGTAATAATAATATAATAATATAAATATAAAATATAATTATAATCATATTTATTAATCACTGGGTATAAGTATTATTATGTCATATTTATTTGCCATTAAATCTTCTTTGTTCTTCGCTACAGCTCATCGTTCTGTTAACCAGCCCATGGTAACTTTAACACAAATATTTTAAATAGAACTATGTATACTTTATTGTAAATTTTTTGTTCAAAAGAGTCATTTGAAGATTCAGGAACCAATAGGCTGGCAACTTATTAGCAACACATAACTATTTGTTAAACAATAAAACCATTATTTATACAAAATACATGTTAATAATATTTATTGATTTTGATTTTCATAATATTTGACTATGTAATCTCCAACTACTTTCATGGGATTGTTTTCCCATTGAGTAAGTTGCTCCTTAGTCGAAGTTACCTGAAAGTAAAACAAATGTAAAAGTTTATTTTATTTTTTAACATTTTTAACTAGAAATTTTAAAAATATGTTTATTAATTATGTTATTTAATTTAATTAATGATTTTTCTTTTAATGGATAAGCCTTAATTACTTTCAACCTATTTACAATTTACATATTCTTTTAGAATATTTTTTTATTATTTCAAAAACAAACTGATAACCATCTTATGAAAAGTGGCAACCGTTGGCTTCAGACAAGTGTGTACTGTTATAAAATATACTGCGATACTCGTGCTGCCATTCAAGTGTTGCCTTCTTCATACCTTGTAATTTTACTATCAAATCCGATACATTTCAAACCTAAATACAGCCCTGCAAGCACTGTCGCTTAGCGGCTAAAACACAAGTAGGACAGAGGTACCCAAATAGGTAACATTTGTACAAAGCCTGTGATATTTTTATAAAAAAGAGTTAAGAGTGCACTTAAAATGAACTGATGAATGAAATGGCCTTGACACTTATTAAAACTACTATAACATTTTCATAAACTGCCAAGCAAATGACAAACACTGGCTATCTTTATTATTATTGTTATGAATATTTCCTACACTTTCAAGTCTTCTTTTTGTGCAACTTAGAATGACAAACAAACTAACGTGGATGGAAAGTGATAACCATCGCCTATAGACATGAGCGGTACCGTGGGCATAACAGAGTATACTATTTTTTTTTATACAACTTAGAATGGCAAACAAGCTGACAGCCCACCTAAAGGAAAGTGGTAACCGTCGCCTATAGACACGAGCAGTACCATGGATATAACAGAGTATACTGTTTTGCCCATGATACCCCCCATGTGTTGCCATTCCTGAGGACTCAGGTGTTATTCCTCTGTACCCAGTAAATTCACGCCATATCCCACCCTTCAAACCGAAACACGGCCATGCAAACACAACTGCTTCACGGTTAAAACACGAATGCGACAGAGGTACCCAAGCAATCGACTTTGTACCTGTACGACTCTCCCTCTGTAAATTCACTGCCAAAATTAAAAATTATTACAAATTTAGTTGATGATTTAAGAGATAAGTTTAAAGAAATGACACCTCAGAATTGATCCCAATTATTTTTATTAGTATATTTATAAGTATTTTCTTTAAAAAAAATCATAAATCTATTTGCAACTACACAAACCTGATCACCATGCAGCCGGTTCAAGAAAGGCACGCAGACAATCGCGCCCCTAATGCCAGCTTCAGTCATGAGCGCCGCAAATGCTGTCGCTTCCATCTCTATATTCTTTACTCCCCTACTTGCCAATTCCTTGAGGAATGTCATCTTCTCCTCTTTAGTATGGTTGCAGAATGGACCATCTAGGCGAGCTTGCCCTGAGAATGGTATTATATAATTTATATAGTCGACAAAGAAAGAAGTACTTCAAGGTTTTTCTGTTATCGGTTTGTTTTTTTTATAATATTTTTTTGCCTTCATTTACAATTTATGAATAAATTTAAATATCAGTATGCAAGGTAAAATCTAAACTGTTTGCATCATATTAGAAAAACAAGTCATTTAATGGAACAATAAATGTCTTCTACACTAACGATAGCTGGAAGTAATGGAAGGCTTATAAATTTTCTATTATTTTTCACAAACCATTGTATGTACAAAGGGAGACTTTATACAAAAATCATGAAACAACTGTGAAACAGTTGTTTGCATGGGTATGTTTCGGTTTGAAGGGTGGAATATGGCAGTGAATTTACAGGGTACAGAGGAATAACACCCGAGTCTTCAGAAATGGCAACGCATCAGGGGTTTCATAGGCGAAACAGTATACTCTGTTAAGTCCATAGTACTGCTCATGTCTATTGGCAACGATTACCACTTTCCATCAGGTGTACCATCAGCTTGTTTGTCATTCTAAGTTGCATAAAAAAAGGATTTCCTAATTGAATATTCTTGTAAAAGGATGATAATGAATTCGGTATCACCCTGAATATATTATGAACTTGAACTTACCTCGATAAAAATCTTCAGAGCCCATTGTTCCTCCAAGGTAAGTCTGAAAATCATTCTTACTTTCCTTCGCAACCAAATACAACTCTTGCGCAACTCTTCTATCCAAAAATGAAGGCATACTATATGTTTTTCCCAAAACGGGCTGCAAGATTATAATTTTTAACATTTTATAATTTAAAAACTATAATTCTTATTAACATTATGATTAAAATATTTGGAGCAAATGTGTTTGGAATGTGCATTAAGTTCCCATATGTCGCCTTTACCATCAAATTCCTTACTATTGACTAACTTTTTCGTATTACCTTGTCTCTTTTTTTTCTAAATAAACCCAACATTTGTCTAGAAGAGATTACTTAGCAATATGGACCGCTTATTATATAAATGTTCCTTACTTTTTGTATCTGAGGCAACCGTGCAATAAAGTGCCTCTTACCACCAATGGCCTTATCATTTAGCTATCTTGTCATAATACCTTTTCTCTTTTGTTCTCAATATCCTCAATTCAACAGTTCTATGAAGAAGATTGCTTAACAATAAGACCGCTTATTACATCAATTTTATATTTGTAATCGTTGCTTTTTGTATCTGGTGCAACCGTGCAATAAAGTATAGACAAATAAATAAAACAGATACAGGTACCAAAAAATATACAAACAATTCTACATTGATCAGACATACTGGGTCCTACTAAAAAAAGGATTCAAACGTCTTCGGAATTATGCCAAAATAGATTAAATAATCAGGCAGATCAAGGAAAAAGTTGGTGTTATGTCGGATCAAGAGGTGAAGAGACTCGCAGAAAATCATAGTGAGTGGCGAGAGCTTCACCGACAAGAAGACTCTTAAATGGGATAGATATATAAATAGAAAGATAGGATGAAATAAGAAATATTACGTATGTAAGGATAGAAGTATAGGCATAAGAATAAATAGACTAATACTAGTGCTTTCCTCTGTGAATAGTGTAATACCACCAAAATGTACCTCTCTTGTGTTAAGACCCGGAGGGTGGTCACAAAATTTTATGATACTACGCGACTCCATGCGATACACGTGCAAGCGACGTACGGATACATTCCCACTGTGGCGTCCATTGCTCGCTAACCCTGACTTATTTAGCTCATAAATGGACGCGAACCGTCATTAGGCCAACGTAGTTATTATCATTAAATCCAGGGAAGTATTAATTCTGCCTGGACATTTATTCTTATACCATTGGCACTTTACTCTCTCCTCAGTCTTTACCTACATACCTATCCTATTAATATAATAACAACAAAAGTTTGTAACTACACTTGCTACTTTTTCAAGCAGAAACTACTGAACAAATTTGAATGAAATTTATATGAATTTGAATCAAATCTACACTTTTTTATGCATCTTAGAATGGTAAACAAGCTGACCGACCACTTGATAGAAAGTGGTAAGCGTCGCCTATAACCATGAACTGTACCATGGACATAACAAAGTATACTGTTCCGCTCATGATACTCCCTATGCGCTGTCATTCCTGAGGACTCAGGTGTTATTCCTCTGTACCCTGTAAATTCACTAGCATATCCCATCCTTCAAACCAAAACACAGCCATGCAAACACAACTGCCTTACGGTAAAAACACGAACGGGATAGAGATGCCCAAGAAAATGGCTTTTGTACAAAGTCTCCCTCTGGTATGGTTGATAGGTTGTATCCTAACTTAGTACATAGGATAGTTTATGTACTGATTTACGCGGGCGAAGCCACAGAATACACCTAAATAAAATTCATAGTGAAATCAACATCATGTCAGCCGTCGTTAATTGTCCACTGCTGAATATAGCATATTATATAGCATATATATATATATATATATATATATATATATATATATATATATATATATATATATAATGCTGCCTCTCCCAATAGAGTTTTGCCAATTGATGCCACGCTTGGTAGACAGGTTGGAAACTACAATTAAACTTTGGTGATATCTTAAGGGAAACGCTGCTGCCTATCCCTCAACCATTAAGTTCCCTTTGTCGCCTTACGACACCCACTGGAAAAGAAGGGGTGGTTCTAAGGTTCTATGCCGGGACCACACGACAGATATGAATACAGTACGTATACAATACTACTTACTAAATCATAGGATTTATTTAGATACCCATTAAGCCCCCATTTAGATATAACAACTGAGCCGGCCTCGACACCCAGACCTCCACAGGTGCCAATCCTGAAGAAGATTGGATTCTTCGCTTTTGCGTAGAACAACATTTTTATAACCTCTTGGAGGGCAATGGTCATGGACGGTATACCAATGCCGTGCTGTAAAATTAATATTTTTTTGTTTACATAGACAATTTGATGTTTTTTTTTATATTACACTATATGGTGATACATATATATTAAGAGGTATTAACTAAGTATGTAATAATTCTAATTTATTCAATAAAAAGCCAGATACATTTTAGCATTTAAGAAACTCTACATCTATCTTTGCCAAAAGCAATCCAATTTGTTTAAACTTGTGTTTCTAAAATAGATGTCCCAGATTGTGAAGTTCAATTCAATAAGTTGATAAATAAAAACAACACAATACTTTATCTTTAAAAAAAAAAGATAATGAAATAGTATTCGTTCACAGAATCGAATCATCAACATTATTCTGTGTATGATACTTATTATGTAAATATATAAGTTTCTAATAAAAACCGATTTGTGAAATTAAAACAATACACGTCAGCTATTAAATAGTGATATGCCAAGTCAGACTGACTCGATTATTCGATTCTTTTTTTATTAAGTATCAAAATACTCGAATATTAAAAGACAGACTCGTCACATTATACTATTAATTACTGTTGACTGACAAATTTTTAAAATATTTTCGAGTCAAAAATGTATTCAAACAAATTATCTAGATACAAATAATATATACAATTGTCACAGAACTTGCAATGAGGCAACACTTACGTTGAATGCCAAGATAGGGCCAACTTTATACATGGCAAATCTCTTAGATTTCTCAGCCCAATCCCTTAAGTCTCCCTCTATCTTGATTCCCAGTCTCTGTGCCATATATAGTGCGAATTCCTTAAGCCTTTCTTTAGTTCCACCCGTACAGACAAACTGAAATAAATAAGAATACTTATTAATATTATAAATGTTAAAGTGAGTCTGTTTGTTTGTTACCTCTTGGGGTCTTAACGGCGTCGCCAATCACTATGAAATTTGGTATACACATACTGTACAGAATGAAGAAGGCTATAGACTATTTTTATCCCAGTCAGTCGGTCAGTCAACTGGTCACGCGGACAAAATCACGGGTAAAAGCTAATAAATATATATCTAGAAAAAAATATATTGGAAATATTTTTTTATTATAGCATAACATGTGACTACAAGATTCTAAGCGAACACAGAAACGACATGGTCCATGAATATGACCAACCGAAAAGAGAACATTCCACTCTCAACGGTTGGATGCACTATGACGAGTTACTAAGTACTTTTTCACGCTACGATTAAAGGATCCGAGGTTATAGGATGAGGGAAACAAGATTGATAGTTGCGGGAATAACCAATAATGGGACTGGCCCCATTGCTAGCAATATCAATTAGACCTTTGCGTGGTTTAATGCATATAATGAAGGCGATCCTAAAACTTCTCAACACTGAAGAACCTCCCACTAGTAGTAGTAACATCTATAACTAGTGACGCACTCCGGTTTTGCACAGGTTTTTTTTTATATGCAACTTAGAACGGCAAACAAGCTGACGGCCCACCTGATGGAAAGTGCTAACCGTCGCCTATAGACATGAGCAGTACCATGGACTTAACAGAGTACACTGTTACGCCCATGATACCCCCATACGTTGCCATTCCTGAGTAAATAGAAAGATAAATATTTTAAATAAGCAATTATCAGCAGTCTATGGGGGAGGCCTACGTCCAGGAGTGGACATGATTGATGATTGTGATAAGCAATCATTATGCAAATTTTAGAAACTTTGATTTACTTTTAAAACTTATGTTCAATTAACCGATATCTTTATACATATGTAACGAAAGGCAAAGGCGCTAAATGCCACCTGAAGAAGACTTTCGGATGAAACCGAAACATTTGTCGGAAACGATAAAGACACAGTGAGTTCATTAAATTCCCGTTACATATGTATATAGACTTTAATTTACATTAGAATTTTTTTTTTTATTTTATTTTTTTAAATTCAACAATCAGTTCCATTCATAATCCGTACCCGACCCAAAGGTCCCCATGACACTTGCGGCATTTCTGCGTTGGATTGCCAGAGATATTCTTTGAGCCAGATACGGACCAGAACGGCGATCATGGCCCCTATCCGTAATGCGCAGACTCAGCTCTTTTATGAAAGATTTTGCTTCCGCTCCCCACACGCCCGTAGTCTCAAAAGCAACGGGAACGAAGATGTAAGCTGGATTTACATTAGTGTATTTTGGTAGCAGTATCTATTTTTACTCGCTAATAAATATTAGAATTATTAAAATCGATTGAATAGTTTTTTATGTTTACTCATCACAAACAAATGTACGAAAAATAAAATCTTTTACCACGGCCCATAAGCACTCGCAATACCAAAAAAATTACAGATCTGCTGTAAGCTTTTTAAAAAGAAATATACTCTGAATAATATGCTCTTTTCCTGAAGGCTACGATGTCGTATCTGTTCGGAACATTTCTGTTGAATGTTGATTCCAAATTGTCCTTAAGAAACTCATATTACTTGTATTGATATAAATATAAAAGTACTATCATTATTATGAATAATTACTTATTGTAGTTTAAATAATAAAATATGTAAGGTCATTTTAAATATATTTTGTTTACCGCTTTTCTGTTATAAAATGTAAAATATTTGCATGCCTACATCTTTTAAGGCAATTAAGCAGGTACCAAAATAATACCACGTGGCTTGTAATAATTTTAAACTGTTTAATGCTAATAAACTCATTTCATTTCATTTAAAAAAGAAAAAACCTATTACATAATGTGTTTCTTTTTATACGATAAATGTAGCAAACAAACACACAATCCGCCTGATGGTGAACGATCACTTTATCCATTGAGCGCCTGCAACACTAAGATATCACGTGTGCGTTGCCGACCTTTGAGATACTTTAGTACTTACACCCTTTTTGTAAAACCTCGTAGTCTCTAAGAGAAACCTCGGTAACGAGCTCATTTATAGCCTCATCTTTCGCAGGAGGAAAGTCTTTTGGAATCGCATTAACTGCGAAGGTTAAAATACTAGCGTTTTTTTTTTTATACAACTTAGAATGGCAATCAAGCTGACGGCCCACCTGGTGGAAAGTGGTAACCGTCGCCTATAGACATGAGCAGTACCATGGACATAACAGAGTATACTGTTTCATTCATGATACCCTCCATGCGTTGCCATTCCTGATTACTCAGGTGTTATTCCTCTGTACCCAGTAAATTCAAAACCGAAACACAGCCATGCAAACACAACTACTTTACGGTTGAAACACAAATGGGACAGAGGTACCCAAGCAATCAAATTTAACATACCTTAATTTATTTCTAAGTATAATAATACAAATTATAAATATACGTACTTTCACATCACCAAACTTAGCTTCTAAGTCAATACTTTTATTCGTAAATGCCAAGTGATACAGTACATCTTCATCCAAGTTCAAAATATTTCGATTTTTAAGGCCAATAGTGCCATCTTCATTCCTAAAATAAAAATAAAAAAATCATTACCATAATTGCCTATCACAGATATATTATTAATCATGGGTTTAATTTATGTCTCGACGTCTCAAGTCTGTAGTTTATTTTTGTTTTAATTTCAAAACATCAACAACTAATTTATTATTTAAAGTATAAATAAAACATTTAATTTTATTTATACTTTATTTTATACTTATACCATACTACACCATATCAGCCAATAATTGTCCACTGCTGAATATAGGCCTCCCTCTATTGGGGATGTTTTGCCAGTAGCTGCCATGCTTGGTTGGCAGGTAGGCAACTGCAATAAAGCTTTGGAGATGTTTCAAGAGGGACGCTGCTGCCCATTCCTCGACCATGAACATCCCTTAGTCGCTTCTTAGGACAACAGGAAAGGAAGGGGTGGCCTACTCTATGCCAGAGCCACACGGCGAATAATATATACAAAATATAACAAAGGTAAACAAATGTACAAGGCGAGCTTGACTTAAAAAGAGTTCTCTTCCATCAAACCCAAAGTGGAAAGGAGCATCAATGTCAGCAATCAATCTAAATACTGTATTGTACTCAAATGTTAATACTGCTTATTTAACACTACAAATATGGGGGGAAAGGGATTGTTAGTAATGGAGCTTGAGAATCCCATTGCTAGCAATATACCCAACCAGGTCGACCTTCTCGCGGTTCTCCCTGGAAACTATCATGGTTAATTCCTGATGAATTCATCATGATGGGCTAACTGGCCTGTTTTCATTCTCATCTATCACCCTTCACTGGTGCTCCGCCAGCATATCCCGTTAGCGCAGGCTACCATACCATTTTCACTCATCAAAAAAAAAAAGTTTATTTCTTCGTTTGTTAGTTCTCTTCTTAAATTGCTTGGTCTTAGTGTTTTAACTGTCAAATAGATCATCACAGAAATTTACTACATACGTAGACTTTGGTACGTTGTGATAAAGAAGGACATACGAGTATATTACTTTTTATTCAGATTTATTCCAATCATATGAACAAAGGGGCAGAAAACAAATAAAAAATTATCTATATAAATAAACTTAAATCACTGAATGTGTTATTAAGCGTAAACCTCAATAACTTTTTTTTTTAAATATGTGTTGTAGACTAAAGAAGGTTATGAATAAAAAAATTACCCGGAAAGATGTAAAAACTAGATTTTTCATATTCCATACTCATACAAACGGTTCCTTACTGCCAATATTATGGTATTTTGACATCTACTGGATCAACTAGTAAGGTAAGATTTTCAAAATGGTATAGATGGCCAACTATATTTTGCCAACTCTCTTAATATGAGTATCAAATGAAAGAGTTTAAGAGTAGGTAATGATAAAATTAATAACAAACTAAATAGCCCATGGCCACAAGATGACTAGTTGCTTTATGAAAATTTTAATTTCCTTGCCCCTACTTCCCTTTGGAAGGAGGTTAAACGTACTTTAAAAGAGGCAGGTTGGTGGGGTGTCGCTGAGCCCAAACCGATCTGCAGTTGTCATAATGCTGCTCCTCCACACTCCCTTGAGGCAATATATTATCACAATCGCAAGCCGCCATTCGGATTTATTACTTCCGAAATATAAATCTGAAAGAGAAACGTGATAAACACACATATGTAATTTACAAAACCAGAAAAAATATAAGTGAAAATTAATAAGTACTTTCGATTACAAACAAAAGCAATAACTTACAATGTTTTCTCCTAACTCACTAGATAAATAAATTCTTTCATGTAAGGTATATTTTTATGAAATAAATCATGTTTAGACAATGAAAAAAAAACCTTTCAAATAAAAACTCACAAAATTACAAGATACTAGCGTTATGAACCCTCATTTTACCATTTAGGTACTAACTGAGCGGTAAAAGCTCAGACGGACAACGCCTGACTGCGGGGATCCTAACATTGAATCCTAACCTCAAACTAAATTTTTAAATTCATGTTTGGACCATTTACTATAAAAATCGTTGTCATTCGCGCTTTGGAGAACACGTAAAAACATCTTCTGATAAAACGTGGGTATCTAAATCATCAGAAGGCACTACCCTTACACGAGCAATTTAAGTTATGAAACTTTATTTTTTTTAATTATTCTTTTTTATACTACGAAGGTGGCAAACAAGCATACAGCTCCTCTGATGGTAAACCATCACTGTTTGGATGCAACACTAAGGGTGTCAACGCAACACGCGCATGTTGCTGACCCTTAAAAAATCCTAATTTACTCTTTTTGTAGAACCCTATATAATACCCAAATAAAATAATAATTAGCCCTATACCGCGACTTTACCCACGTGGAAAACAGGCAGACAGTCAAAATTATTTTAATTTTTTTATTGCTCTATTGCTCTTATACCATTTATATCAACAGGTTGCGGACTTAATTAAACAGTAAATAATTTATTTTACTGTCATTATAATCACAGTGATTAAATAAATATTTAAGAATTATAATTTATTTATTAAATATTCTATTAATTAATTACTACGATGCCTTATCACTAGACAAGTATTCCTCTCTTTCCGTGAGTAGGAAAAGTAGATAAAACTTTATATGAGACATCAGTTAAGGGTACGATAGAGCTGATAACAGTAAAAATAAAAAAATAAAAATTTGTTGTTTTTTAAACATTAAAATTTAAATTCATATTTGTATTTCAATTTAATTAATCCACACCTACAAATAATTATAAATGGTCTCCCAACGATAAGTACTTAAATGTTTTATGTTTATAACAAATTTTATTTCAGTTATATGTTTGACTAATATTACATGTCAATTATGTATAATGTTTATTTTATCTTTTATTAAACAAAAAAAAATTATTGTTCATTTATACTAACCCTAATATATGTTACTTGTTAAAATTTATACATCCCAAATATGGGAGAAATAGTAGCAAAAATTTCTTCATTTAAATATTGGTAGTTAAATGATTGGCTAAATTTTTTCACAAATTTTAATAAAACTTTTAGTATTGATTAATATCTATTGTTTATTAGTGGAAAAGGAAATCTCAAGACACAATAATTTTTGTATAAATTCTTAAAACAAACCCCTTGTTCTTCTTATAACGTATATGGAAAACAAATTATATGGATATTTTATTTGATTTTATTTTCAAACATAAATTGTTTCAAAAAATTTCAACAACACGATATCAAATATAATAAATGACATATTTATCACTGAAACTCTAATATGTAAAACTGTAATATAATTTAAAATTAATTTACTTTTTTAATTTTAGTATATTTTGCAAATTTAAATTATACGAGTAGTTGACACAAATTCAAATTAATTAAATTTACACATAAATTTATTAAATTTACACATAAAACAATTGATTATATTTTAAAGAAAAAATATTAATTTTATGTAATAAATAAAAAAAAAGTACTTACATCAAATAAAAACAATCTGCAACGTGCAATCACTACCACTTATAATGCAATACTGAATAAAGAGATAACTATATTTGTGTGTTAAACTAAAATTGAAGTATGTTTTGATTACGCACATACACGATGCCTCATACACTGTGTGTGTATAAGGCACTGTGTATGTGCGTGTTTGTCATTGGTTGCCTCACATACACATAAATGTGCAGCTGTATCAGCAGGCACATAACATGCACTTCACATAGCTACGCAGATAAATGCATTATATCAACATATATTTTCAATCTATTTCAGAAAGGAAGATTATTCCCAAATTCGTGTATAATATAGCATACATCATATATGTGTAAGTATATTTGTTATTAATATATATTTATTCGTTTATATATGTAATTTTAGTATGTATGTACATAAATCAATAATTAGTAGTACCGCATTCGAATATTCTGACACTTCCCTATGGTTGACTGGGAGAGAATACTTTTAGCATTAAGTCCGCCATGTACACATATTTGTACTAATGAATAAATAAATAAATAAAATTATCGATTCGGTTGCTTTTATTTATGTTTATTGCCTAATAACTCCGTCAGTTATGAGCTGATTTGTGAAAATTATTTTCTTACCTGAAGGAGTATACTTACAGATTGGTTCCATAGAAATATTATCATAAACAGTACAGTAATTTAAATTTAGAATCAAAATAACCAATTTTGTTACAGCTGAAGTCGATTTTTTTTTTGTGAAACACATCTTAATATGGATGAAAATGGAAATCCCGCTTGCGATTTCATGTCTCACTGGTGTGATATAAACAAGTCAATTTTTTTAATGGATGATAATGGAATGGTAACCCCGCTTGCGCTATCAGTATACGCTGGCGGGACACTAGAGAGAAATGATAGTAAGAATGGAAAGGCAGGTCAGTCAGCCCATCGTGATGAATACATCTGGAATTCAACATGATGTTTTCTAAGGGGGACCACGTGGATGCCGACCTGATAGGGTGTATTGCTAGCAATGGAACTGATAGTCCGCAGTACTAACAATCCCTGCCCCCTCCTAACAAGTCAATTTGCCCGTCCTGATGAATTTGACAAGCAATAATCTAAATAGTTTCCAGAGAAAACCGCGTGGAGTTCAACCCAATAACTATATTGCTAGCAATGCAAAAATCTATCTGCTAGGCTCCATTACTAACAATCCCTTTCCCCCTGCTGTCACACATATTAGTATGTATACAAATGGGATGCTTCGACAGCGAACAAATTTGTTTATTATTTCTTTATATTTTTCTTTTATTTATTTATGTAATACAAAAATCCAGAGCTCTTACAAAACAATTTACAAGCTAAGTCACTTATAAATACAGCCAATAACGGATTTTAATTAAATAAAGGAAAATTATAATTCTAAAGCAAGGTAGGCAAATTAGAGTGGATAAATAATAATAAAAATAAATAATACACTTATATGTAAATAACGTATACGTTATTTACATATAAGTGTATTATTTATTTTATTAAAAGTTTATTTTAGTATAGTATAGCATAGCATAACATAGTATAATATAGTATGTAGTGTAGTAAACCCTATATAAAAAAAAATGAGTGTGAGAGAGAAAAGGCATGATTCTCATTTTCCTTACACACACATACACCCGTACGAATACGAATTGGGCAACTGTATGATGACATTTTATTTGTATTTTTACATACACACAATTTTCGGAAATTCCCCTGAATGTACAGTAACAGTGTCTGAGCACTTAGTAATTCCATCCAAACATAATTCCCAATAATCAACCGATAGTTGGGCATGTTTACGCTCCACGTATCTTTGTATTATATAGATAGTGTCTCCTTACTAATGCCTCGCTAAAAACAGATTAACTTTTTAATCCATATTGCGTGAATAGGTATTAATAATAATGCGTAATAAGTAAAATTTTAAATTTTAATACATAATTTTCCCCGGTCACGATGTTTATACACACCTATATAACCTATATAACCTCCGAAACCGCTCAACCGATTTTAATGACATTTTTAGGAGATAGGATAGACGTTTTCCGGATCTAGTAGACTTAGGAATTATGTTTTATTTAATAGGCGTTTAAGGAATGATAGTCCCGCCTCCGCTAACAGTATATCATCATACGTGAAAATAAAAACGCAAGTCAGTTAGCCCATCGTGATAAATACACTTGGAAATCAGCACGATGGTTTCCAGGGGAGACCACGTGGAGGTCGACCTGATAGGGTATATTGTTAGCGTAGCGGACTAGTTGTCCGCATTACTAGCAATACCTACCCTCCCTGAAACTAAGGGAGTATATCCATGACTAACTTTTACCCGCGACTTTGTCCGCGTGACCAAGATATATTGATTGACCGGGATAAAAATATTAGCTTATGTACTTCTACATCTTAAATAATTAATGTACACCAAATATACCAGAGGGAGACTTTGTACAAAAGTCGATTGCTTGGGCACCTCTGTCCCATTCGTGTTTCTACCGTGAAGCAATCGTGTTTGCATGGCTGTGTTTCGGTTTAAAGGATGGCATATGGCAATGAATTTACAGAGTACAGAGGAACAATACCTGAGTCCTCAAAAATGGCTCAGCAACCCATGGGGGTATCATGGGAGAAACAGTATACTCTGTTATGTCCGTGGTACTGCTCATGTCTATAGGCGACGGTTACCACTTTCTGTCAGCTTATTTGCCATTCTAAGTTGTATAAAAAAGAAATTTATAATGAAACTAGAACCTTAATATAATTTTTAAATTAAGAACAAAACCAACTTGAAATACAAGAAAAAAATAACAACAAAAATTCCTGTCACTTTTTCTATAATCAATTTTAGATAGAGATGTTTTTATAAAATCTTTTCAGTTCATTTTCGGATTAAGTTGTAGTTTATATTTTTTTTTATATTACACAGTGTTTTATCACTATATTTAGGTGTAGTACTAAATTATGCCTGAGTAAGTACCAGTTTATCATGTTTTTATTCATTAAAATCAGGTTAAATATGAGCTATGAGAACTGTCAATGGCCATGCCATTCTTACAATAATATTATAATAAATTATATATATATATATATATATATATATATATATATATTTTTAAATAACCTCAGACTCTTCGAATGTGACATGAAAAATCACTTAATGAGTCGTCATAGTGCGGCTGACTGGAACACTTTCCTCTCGCTTATAAAAAAACACACACACACACACACATGGGACAAACGAGCATGCGGCTCACCTGATGATAAGTGACTACCGCCGCCCATGGTCACCCACAACACCTACGGCAACTTCCAGCAGCAGTATTTCCGAACCGATACGACAACATAACCTTCAAGAAAAGAGCGTATTCCTTTTTAAAATGCCGGTAGCACACCTGCAATGCCGTTGGTATTGTGGGTTATAAAAAAAAAGAATGTCAAGGTTTTTCCTAGAGACTGCATAGAGTTCTTCAAAAATGGGCTAAAGTAATCTCTTGAGGGTCGGCAAAGCACGCTTATTACCTCTGATATTGTAGACGTTCATAGGCTACGGTAACTGCTTACCATCAAATGGGCCGTATGCTTGTTTGCCACCTCAGTGATTGATATAAAAAAAAGCAATGCGTTTTCGGAGTACTTTCCTCTTATTATTGCTCTGGCTGTTTTCCTAGTGGCACACTTTATTTCATTAGACATAAAACAGCAGAAATAACACTTTTCTATACAGTTATAACAGAAATAGGTCAGAGTATATTAGAAAACATTTAATGATTACCATTGTTCTGACGCAATCATGCACCAATTTACTTCGTATCAAATACTCTCAATGCAAAATTGAATTCTCCAACTGAAATCCTTTTAATTTGGTTTTAAATAACCTAGTTTGACTTTGTAAAACTCCGTATTGAGCCGTCCTACTGTTAAACAATTTGAATTAAATTAAAACTGATAAATCAGGGAAAAATACAATATATATGGCAATGAAAACATTACTTTCTATTGAAAAAAAAACTATCTATTGACAGTTTTTTTTTTTTTAAAGAAATGATGGAATGGTAACCCCGCCTTCGCTATTGTATACGCTAACAAGGAACCAGTAAAGGATGACAGGTGCGAATGAAAGCAAGCCATGGTGACAAATAATAACAATAACAACTGATAGGATATATCGCTAGTAATGGGGCTATTAGACCCCATTACTAACACAATATGCCCTGTTTTATTGAAACTATTGTAGAAAATAGATTCGTAAGCCCTCGTTAAGTGACAATCCCTTCGATCCAGGATATATGCAGTAAGCAATTATTTTTTATGGACTATGGTGATATCCGTCCATGTCATATCCCACAATTCAAACCGAAACATTAAGGATGGTTAATATACAGGAGTATCTATATATTTTAATTACAATATCTATGTATTGGTCCAATAACAAATATGCTAAAAATCTGTTATCCAAAAAAATTGTATTAGATGACAGATTTTTAACATATTCAAAAATACTAATATAAAATTCAAAAATTACCAGAGGGAGACTTTGTACAAGTCGTTTGCTTGAGTACTCTGTCCCATTCGTGTTCTACCGTGAAGCAGTTGTGTTTGCATGGCTGTGTTTCGGTTTGAAGGGTGGGATATGGCGTGAATTTACTGGGTACAGAGGAATAACACCTGAGTCCTCCGGAATGGCAACGCGTGGAGGGTATCATGGGCGAAACAGTATACTCTGTTATGTCCATGGTACTGCTCATGTCTATAGGCGACGGTTACCACTTTCCATCAGGTGGGCCGTCAGAATGTTTGCCATTCTAAGTTGTATAAAAAAAATAGACATCCGACTGATATGGGCGATATCGAAATGGGTGATGACCTGTTTTCCACCATCAATGTCCAAAGGAATCAAATATATGGCTATCGGATCGGTATCCATATTACCAATGCCTGTGAAACACAATCATGCCAGCATAGCTGCATTAGGGCTAATTCAAAGGTACATACAGATGATCTTCTATACAAAGTATCCCTTCGGTAAAATAATAATATAACAATAATTTTTGTTCAAAGCAGTATGTTACAGAATTGCTTAACTATGGTCCCTATATGGGTCGAGCCTGTATTTGAGGAACCTATTAAATTATATACACTTTTATAAATTTAATTAGTAAATAATAATACGATATCTACCAGGTGCATACCGTGTCCGGCGGCGGCGCCGTGCGCACCATCGGCTGGCATCAAATCAGGCCTACGGGACGGTCAGCGGATCGATGGAAAGCAGGAACAGCCTTGCCCATGCCGTACTTGCTGCTGTAGTAAACCGCCTACCGTGAAACCAGTGAGTATACCTCGATATACCAATCTATCTATATTATCATCATGGGAGGTATCATGGGCGAAACAGTATACTCTGTTATGTCCATGGTACTGCTCATGTCTATAGGCGACGGTTACCACTTTCCATCAGGTGGGCTGTCAGCTTGTTTGCCATTCTAAGTTGTATAAAAAAAAAATTATGTTGGACTTTCGTCGGATGACCACAGAATGTTTGTGTTCAGAGATTTAAGATCTAATGTTATTTCAAATTCAGTTAAATCTTAATTAATATTATTTCTTTTTAATTATATATATATATATATATATATATATATATATATATATATATATATATGTGTGTGTGTGTGTGTGTGTGTGTGTGTGTGTGTGTGTGTGTGTGTGTGTGTGTGTGTGTGACTGTACTGATGCTTTCCTGGATGAGCGTTTTGGGAAACTGTAAAGCTCATCCAGTTGATGTAAAAAATAAATAAATATCTATAAAGAAATTAACTTTATAAACAAAAAAGACTTTAAACTTTTTTATTTGTCTTTAGCAAACTCATCTTATAAAAATTGGTCTGAAACTGTCTATAAACATGAATAATATCACTGTTGCCCATGGCATCCATCATAAGTTTTAATTTCTAAAGACTACACTGTTATGCCTCTGTCCCTTGTAATTTCACAGCCCTTTGCACCTCTACTTCGCGGCAGTAACGGGATCAACGGAGGTACCCATGTAGACTTTTTATACAGTCTCTCTCAATGATTTCACTACCTGAGTAGTAAGATTTTTTTAATGGTTGAAAATGGAATTGTAACTCAGCCTGCGCTATCGGTATACACTGGTGGGGCACCAGTGCTTTCACTGAATAATGAGGATGTAATTAGATCAGTTGGCCCATCGCGAGAAAAATAATAAAAATTAACCACAATGGTATCCAGGGGAAACTGCATGAAGGTCGACCTGATAAGGAATGGAGCTATTAGATCCTATTACTAACAATCCCTTTCCCCAGCAATAAGATGTTATTTATGCCTCCATAGACTGTTACTTCACCGTGTAGTCCCCGCATAGAATCATGGCATGAGCCACCCGTTCCTCTCCCATGGTTGTCGTAAAGATGATTAAGGGAACTTAATTACTTAGTTTTTAAAGATGAATGGCTTTCAAGTAAAACCTGTTGTCATTCGTTTAGATCGTATTTTATTTCATACATACACATTTGTCTATTGCAGTGTTACAAACAGCCAAAGATTCCAGACTCATATGCGCCCCGACGATGCTACAAGAAGCCAACGGCTCGAGTTGAGAGTGGTACTACGTACAACATGTCTTACTTACCGGTGGACGGCTGCCAGAACCTTAGGGGAGTACCCAGGAAACCAGCTCCCAACTTGGTGCCGAGCTGCGAGCCGATGGAAGGGTGTACAGTTCAAAAGGTCAGATCTCTTTACCATTCCAAATTGCATTTTATATCTATCAATTCAGCACACATCAAACCATTACTAAGCTTCCTTTTTGTCGCACCACTTGTAACAGTCCTGTACTGACCTCATCCACCTGCCTCCCAGCTATCCGCACCGTGTTATCTGGCCATCGGGTCGGTGGTCTACTAATCATCCTGAATCCCTTGGGCACCATTCTGTCATGGCCTTAGTCCAAGTCGCATGAAAAAAAAAGAATTGTAACAAAGTTCATAACAAAAAAGCAAGAAAGATTTTTTTGACAGAATATCTGTCTTAATGCTCGTATATGCAGATGGCTCAGGACCATTCCCTATGGTGGCCAAAGATGATGATGATGATGACGATGATAGATATTTGTATATACAAATCCCTTGTCACGATGTTCGCTAATACAAAATATTAACATGGAACTTCAAATAGTCCTAAAGAATTCCCTCTTGCCGGGGCGACAAATTCGAAATAGCTCTGTATAGTTTGCGATAAAACTTCCTGTAAACAAAATATAGACAAATGGGTATCAGTCTTATCTTTACACTTCCATATGATATTATTTTTATATATTTCTATATCAAATTATTGATTAGATTATAAGTGAATTTATTAACTAATAGATAATATTAAGTTTCGAAAAAATTAGGGCGAGTTACAGATTATGAAGCAATAAATATTATCGGTATAGGTGAGGAGAGGACGTGTTGTCACTAACGGAGAACAGCGCTCCCGTTGCTAGCAGTATACTCGTCAGCTCGACCTCCACGCGGTCATTCTGAAAACCATGTGTTTTTTTTTTAATGAATGATAATGATAGCTGATACAAGTGAGTCGTGATAGGTGAGAATGAAAAAACAGGTCAGTTAGCCCATCAAATACACCTGGATTCAGCACGATGATTTCCAGGAGGGACCACGTGGAGGTCGACCTAATAGGGTATATTGCTAACAATGGGATTGGTAGTCCGCATTACTAACAGTCCATCCCCCCTCCCCCCAACCATCGTGGTTAAGTGAATTCGTCACAGCGTGTCAACTGCCCTGACGTCATCCCTCGCAGGTACTCTGCCAGCATACACTAATAGTGCATACAGGGTTACAATTACATTTGAACGTTTAAAAAAAATTAAATACTCAAAAAAAGTTTTTTTTTACGAGAATCGCACATTGAGACAACGGTAACAAAAAGCAGGACATTCATACACCTTTATCTAATTTGTGATATTATTTATTTATTTATTCATTACACAGTTACGAATATCGCAAATTTAATTATTTAATCGACTATCTTTGCTTTACAATTTTTCAATATGCTTACCTAAATTTATATAATAAACTACTATTGCTTGTTTTTACCATGTTCCTGTATAATAATAATTTTGTGGTTTTAAGTCCTTTGAACTAAACTACGTCCTTACTAATATGTGTGGTCGTGTATGGTCGTATGTGGTCGTGTGTGGTCACTATTCTCTGACTGCACAACTATTAATAATAACGGATATTCTAATGTGATTATAAGCCATTATAATGCATAACATAATGCAAGTCGCAAACACTGATTCATTAGATTAGTAATTTAAATTATTCTATAACGTCATTTAAATTTATTTATATACTTACTTTGTCATGTAATGTATATATTGTGTAGCTGAAGTTTATATATTATTTTATAAGATTTTTAAGCAAAAGAGGGCCCATGACTTCACGACACAGGGAATCCTGTCTTTGGAACAAGATGTATAATTGTAACATGTCTTTTTGGATTCAATAAATGTTATTATTAATATATAATTTTTAAATATATTTATTTTATATAGACCTCCGTTTATTAGAAGTTACTTAAAAATATAGCAACATTATTTGTCATCATGCTAACTGTATGATCTTCTTAATTTTATGATTGGTAACCCTGTCTGCGCTATTGGGTATAGGTGAGATCTTTTTATTGTATAAAAGTAGGTATTATTAATGAATTAACATTCTATAATGGTACGTCCACCTGCGCTGATGGTATATGCTAGCGAGACACTAGTGAGGGATAATAGGTGAGGTGAAAAGGCAGGTCAGTTTACCTATCGTGATGAATACACCTGGAATCCAGCACGATGGTTTCCAAGAGGAAAGACCACGTGGAGGTCGACCAGACAGGGTATATTGCTAGCAATGAAACTGGTAATCCGCATTACTAATAATCCCTTCCGTCCCTTATAGGAGATGTCAAAAACAGGTCGGTTGGACCATCGTGACGAATTATTCACGTACGTCTCCAGAGGGACAAAACGAGGAAGGAATTACTAGTAATGGAGATCGAGGGCCACATTGATGGCAATATACCCTATCAAGTTGGCCTTCACGCGATTTCCTTTGGAAACCTTCGCAATTCATTCCTGGTGTATTCATAGGCCAAGTGATCTGACTTCATCATTACCAATCAAGCACTGTGTCCCGACAGCGTATACCAATTGCGCAGGCGAGGCTACCGTTCCATTTTAGTTCAAAAAAAAATTAAGATATATAAAATAAGATGTATGTGTGTACCTATATAATAATCAGTAAAGATATATATTTACTTTATTACATGTATTACATCTCTATATTTAGAAATAATAAAATGTTTATCGTGCCACCGATCAAACTGTTTATAATTACTCCTCTCCATCCAAGGGTTACCTGGAAGAGATCGTTTTTAGCGATAAGATCGCCCATTGTTTTCTCATTGTGAGCATTTCTTGTAATTGTTTGTATCTACAAATGTTTACTATTGTAATCTTTTGGAGCAAACAATAAAGAGTATCTATCTATCTATTTATATTGCTAGCAATTATATATTCCCTTCTCTAACTGCATGTCTACAGCTGTCGTTTCTACCAAACCCGGTGTGCATGACACAACCGATCCGACCCTGCCACCATGACATGTGGGGCCAGGGGCCCATGCAGAATGTCACCACACAGCGGCACGACTACGTACCCAAGCCGTGCGTACTCCGGGAAAACTTCAAACCACCAGCTAAATTCCATTGTGTGGAGCAACCTTTCGAAAGTGAGATGTCTTTCAATAGAATAGAATAGAAATTTATTATTTGATAAAAACACAAAGTTACAATCATAAGATACAATGGACTTTACGCTAGACGAAACTGTATCGTGGACATCCGACAAAGATTAACAATTCACAATCTGTTATAATAAAGAATACATAGTGGGCGGGTATTAATATAGAAGATAAGGGATATGAAAGTATTGGTTTGGCCATTTGGAGAGGATGAATGAAAGAAGAATTACGAAAGAGATTTATCGAGCAAGAATGAAATGAGATATCGGTAGGGGCCGCCCTAAACGGGTGTATGTCGACCAAATTGACGTGCTGAAAAAGGGCCAAATTAAAAGTACTCGTAACCGGCGAGCGTGTATAAAAAGATTTATGATTGTAGAAGAAACGAAAGAGGTTTGTTTGAATCGAAGCATTTGGCGTTCCATTGTTTCTGCCTACCCTAATGGGAGATAGGCGTGACAGATATGTAATTAGCATGATCATTCCGAAAATTTGTAACGTTAGTGGAATCAATAAATATATAAGCAATTATAAAACAGTTAAATATGTTTAACAATATTTTAAAAGAACACTGCTGCCCGTTACTGGACCATTAAGTTCCCTTAATCACCTCTTAGGACACCCACGGGATAACGATATTACCCATGTTAATTATTAAAAACTTACAGATCGAACTGTCAACAAGCTATCTTATTTGCCGCCGGAAAGGTTGGAACATACGAAGTCGTACGCGCCCGAGCGATGCTACGAGAGACCGGCTGCTAAAATGGAAGGGACCACCACTCAGAAAATGAGCTACATGCCCAACCAAGTCCGTTATGTTGCGTTATTATATTTTTATATATTTACCACACAATCTGAATACAATGGGACGCTTAAACTATCACCTCTTTTGACATCCACGGGAAAGGGTGGGCTATTCTATGCCGGGACCGACACGGCTAAGCTAATACGTTTAGCTATACTACAAGTACTAATATAGTATTATATTATCTGTGGTTATACCAAATTTCATAGTGATAAATTCAGTCGTTAAAGTGCTAAGCGGTAATAAACAAACAAACACTTTCACATTTTTAATATTCGTAAGGATGATCCATTAACATTTGATGCAGATTCTACCAAGAGAACCGTTGCCATGGGCTTGTAAAGGACAATACCAAAAACCATGTCAGAGATTGGATGCAAATACTACATACGCCATGAGGTAATCACGTAATCCTCATAAATCCACTTACTATCATCTAAACTACCACTTATTACGTCTAAACAGTGTTGCCAGACTATTTTTTCGCAATTTTGGGTAATAAATTTTCTTTTTGCAAAATTTTGGAGAAATGAAATACTTGAAGAAAAGTAAAATGGGCTTGGTGAAATTTAGGTCATTTTTTGTCATTTTTTGTATTTGTAAACCCAGGTACCCCACTAACGTATACTGATAGTACAAACAAGGTTACTATTCAATTTTTATTCGTTACATAAAAAAATTAAATGAAATAAATATTTCAGTTATCTGGATGCGAAGAGTGACTGCAGACGGCATGCTATCATACCCGATACGTGCCTCAATCCCGTGACAGTGTCCAAGAGATTTGAAACGCAAACGATTTATAAAAACAGGTCAGTTCTTAATTGAAAATGTTCCTATATATATGTAATATATTTGCATGTATTCGTTGTTGTATGCAAATTTTAGGCGTTATATTGTTTTGTTTGTTTTGAAAAGTTCTTTATTTATCATAATTAATTACAAATATAATAAATTCTAGTGTACGTATTCTAGATTTTACAATAAGCCATGATCAGGCGTTATATTATAATCGTACTTTGTTATCTCTTGTTTGATTTAAATACTTAAAAAGCCAATTTAAAATATGCATTAATCTTATGAGACTATTATAAAATTTGGAAGCTATTCTAGATCTGTCATGACTTTTCCAAATAAGTTAAGTACTACCGCAGTTATCACTCTCTGTCGTAGAGTTTGGTACGCTATAAGTGTGTTGCAAGTACTCTATTAAAATCAAATTATATATACGAAATCTTTACACTTTTTTTTTTTGCTAACACTTGGCAGATGTACATCAATAAAAAATAGAATAGTATCATCAGTATTTTAAGCTGTTAATTATACACTACTGAATACAGACATCCTATATAAACTACAATAAATAACCGACCTTAGGCATCTGCACCCAAAGACTCCTACATTTAAAGACATCGCTCTATGTGATAGGGTGTTGTCATGCACTATATTTGTCTATACGAAATCGCCATTCGAAATTCTTTCCTCCCCAACGGATGTCCATTTAAAAATTTACATACTCGTACTTAAGTAATAAATATTCAACAGTTACCTACCGGCCTCTACACCTATTCCACAACCTATGAAACCAGCGCCTAACCTAGTGCCGTCCACTGCTCAGATGGAGGGGGATACTGTACATAAGGTATACTTATTAACTATTTATCCGACGCTTTTTAACTAGGATACCTAGGAGCACCGGCTTTAGCCAACGCCAACAAATGGACAAATTTTTAATGAAGCCCAGAGAGGACATAACAAAAAGGTCACCGGGATGCTCTCCAAGCACAGATTGCAGCGCTGCCTTAAAGCATAACACTTAGATCCTTTAAAAATATCGACTCATAAGAAATAACGGGAGTTATTTTCTTCGTTATATTCTGAGATACCTGTGGTTCCAATCATGTTACAAGTTTTGTCTTTGGAACCTATCGTTTCATATTCCCCACAGCTTTCGTTCCTGCCGAATCCGGTATGCATGACACAAGCGATCCGACCGTGTCACCATGACATGTGGGGTCAGGGGCCCATGCAGAACGTCACCACGCAACGGCACGACTACGTGCCCAAACCGTGCGCAATCAGGGAGTCATGCAAACCGCCGACCAAGTTCCACTGCGTTGAACAACCTTTCGAAAGTCAGTATTTTCGTACATCTTGTAAGAGATGCCTGTAACCTGCATAACTAGCTCCAATTTAGGTATTTCGGACCAACCTATATGTCCTTTCCTGTGATATAAAACATCGATAATAGACTTTATTCTTTCCTCCATAAAGTTACAATAGTAAACTTATTATAAATACAAACAATTACAAGAAAATATTACATTAAGAAAAGAATGGGCGACTTTGTCATTAAGAGCTATCTCTTCTAGGCTATCGGATGGATTGCTTAGAAGGATTGGATGAAAAAGAATAATAATAATCCAAATTCTTCCAAGTAACTGTAGTAGAGTCGTCCCTTAACTCGTGTTCAATTCTAATATACTCAGCGAAATGTAGACGTGACATATCGAGTGTTATGTACGCTACAGCAGCAGCGGTTGACAAACGCCTTTGACTACTCCATTAAGGATTATAGTCGTGAACATTTTTATTATTTTATTTTATCTAAATATTTATATTAGTAAACGCAGAAATTTAAGGTAATAGAAACTAGTGGTTCAAGTAATACTGATAGTCATAATCTCGTAAACCTCTTTATTGTTCTCCCTGGACATCATCGTGAGTAATTCCTGGCGTATTTGACACGATGAAACAATTAACCTGACTTCATACTCATCTAACTGGTACTCTACTAACTTAAACTGATACCTGTCCATTTTCATCTCTTAAAACCAACTCTAAAAACCAATGGGAAAAGGATTGTTAGTAATGGGGACTAACAGTCCAATTGCAATATCCTAACAGGTCGACATACATGTAGTTCTCCCTGGAAACTATCGTAGTTGATTACTGAAGGAAAAACAAGGCTTAATAATGTCCCAAGGTAAAAAAACCTGGAACTTAATATCCGGGTACTAGTTGCACTCCTAGAGGGGGGGGGGTAGAGGGGGGGCTTAAAATAAAAAAAAAACAGATTTATCCATTAAAAAAAATTCTAAAACCCAACAATGTCTACAGACCGCACTGTGAACCGAATGTCCTACTTGAACCCCGGACGTATTCCCGTGCTAGAATCATACGCTCCGCTAAAGTGCTACGAAAAGCCTTCAGGTAATTCAGAAACGTGACTTCCTTGTGTAATTCTTTAGCTACAGACTTAATAGAGGAAGTTTCTTTGTGACTCATGCATGATATACATTTTACATGTATATCTTTATTTCAACTCTCAATTATACTACTGCAGAGGAATTTACCTACATGGTATGTATGCTTCAGTTTTTTTTTTTTTTTATTATTTTATTTGTTTCGCTGTTTTTCTTATTTATATTTCTGACGCACACTTGTATTTATTTGCTGTTACAAACTTGAGCTGCGATTTGATACAGCAGAATGTATGCTTCAGTTAAAAGAATGAAATATAATGCACTATGTCACAATAGTTAGCAATATATGTATGCGTCTAATATTTTAAACGGGGGGAGAAGGGATTGTTAGTATTGGGGATTAGTAGCCCCAATGCTAGCAATATACCCTATCAGGTCCACCTCCTCGTTGTTCCTCCTGGAAACTATCGTGATTGATTTATTGTTAGATTCGTCACGGTGGACTAACTGGTCCGCTTTATTCTCAACTATCATCCCTCACTGGTGCCCCGCCAGTGTATACCGATAGCGCAGGCGGGGGTTACCATTCCATTATCGTTCATAAAAAAAATGTTTCAAACATGCGTTGGTTATGGTAACCACTTGCTATCAAACAAACAATATGCTTGACTTTTTTTATACCACGAAGCTGACAAATGAGCACACCCGTCTGATGGTAAACGGTTACTGCAGCCTATGGACGCCTGCAATACTAGGAGTGTCACATGCACGTGATTAATTGATTACCAGTCTTGTTAAATAAAAAAAAAAAAACAAATTAAATCACCTTTATTCTGCGGTGATAGGCTGCATTATTTGCTGTATGATCCCAGCGTAGAGCCGACCACCCTTTTCTTTCCTGTAGCTGTCGTAAGGGGCAATTAAGGGAATTTAATGGTCGAGGAATAGGCAGCAATGTCCCACATTACCGAAGTGTAACTGCGGTTGCCAAGCGTAGCAACTACTAGCAATACCTTCCTTGTGGGAGAGCTCTATGTTCAGCATTGAACAGTTAACGCCTTATATGATGATTCAACAAATTTCAAATTGAATTATTTCGAGGTGCGCGGCCGTGTCGCTACCCGGAGCGACCGCATACCCGGGAGTCGACTATTCTCTTTGTTTACTGCCTTGATGACCGATGACCGGTAGACCGTCGAATGGGCGACCAGAAGATGATCAGGATTACCCATTCGATAACCGACCACTTCCTTGTTTTAGTAGCAAATTTGTATTCTATTTTATTTACACTATACTCGTACCCCTTAACTTATACTACCCCCAAACTTATATAGAATACGTCCAATATAAAAGACATCTCGCTATACATATCAAATAGTAAACACGAGATGCCAAAACTAATATACCTCCAATCTAAAAAAAAATACAATCTGGACTTTATAGTGTATTTAGTGTAATTCATAATGCTGTTCATATTTTGGAAACGTTGTAGAGTAGATCGCACGAATAGCTATCCTAAAATGTACAGTAAACGATTTTGTTTATGATAATCTTATGCAGCCAAAATGGAAAGCGATACCACACAAAAAATGTCGTACCAACCAGTGTGTGTGCCGTCGCCACAGCGGCCACCGTGGGCCTGCAAAGGACAATATCAAAAACCCTGCCAAAAGGTAACTTTTTTATATTACAGATATTAAAACAAGTAAACATTTAAAAGTACCCGTAACCGGCGAGCGTGTATGACAAGATTGATGAATGTGGAAGAAGCGAAAGAGGTTTGTTTGAATCGAAGCATTTGGCGTTCCATTGTTTCTGCCTACCCTAATGGGAGACAGGCGTGACAGATATGTATGTATGTATGTAAATTTTCTTCAACAAAAAAAATATCTTTAACTGTGACAAAACCAATTAATTTTGCTCGATTGATTTTACGCACACGCACACACACACAACACGTACTCGCACACGCACACACACGTGCACACGCGCACATGTGCACCCGCCCACACGCACACACGCGCACTTTCGCACACGAGCACACGCACATGCAATCGTGCACGCACACACACACACACTTGGATGGGCAACAGTGTCCCTCTTAAAATATCACTAAGGCCTAACTGCGGTTGCCAACCCGCCTGCCAAGCGTAGCAACTACTGGCAAAACCCCCCAATAGGGGAGACCTATATTCACAGTTAACAGTTAACAATTTATATGTTATGAGATGGTATTAATTACTTATTTATGCATTACCCAGCTGGAGGGCACAACTATCTACCGTTCGTCGTTCCTACCGCCCGGAGAAGATTGTACCCAATACATAGATCCATGTGCTTATGGCGACTGCAAACGTTAGTAACTATACTTTGGAAACTCTATATAGCGATGCTAAAAGAACAGCGCTCGTTATGTGAAGAAACCTTGTGGTTCCTCCTGGAAACTATCATGATTGATTTTTTGTTGAATTTATAACGATAGGCTAACTGACCTGCTTCATCCTCACCCATCATCCCACACTGGTGCCCCACCAGCGTATACCGTTAGCGCAGGCGAGATCACCATTCCATTATCATCCATTAAGAAAATAATAATTATTATTATTTAATTAGACTACATAAGGCCCATTTTGTTAGTTATAAATTAACTTAACCTATGTTAGTAAATGAGCGGTCATAACGCTCTTACATTGACAACCTGTCCCACCCAATATTTTAGTATAGGACAGTGGATTTTATCAGCAATTGTCTTCAGGACACTGTTTGAGCTAACATGCACCCTATCCAACAGCGAAACAATTCGTTTGAGCCGTATTGCGTAAAAATCATTCGTACGCTCTCGTGCAAACATGTGTGACGCACTACAGTGACTAGGTAGCCCCAACAGTGCCCTGAACTTATTATATTGGACTCGAAGAGCATTGTAAGTGTTTTTACTATAGTTGACCCACAAGCTACTCGTGTAGAACACCTGACAAAAAGCTTTAAACATGGTTATTTTTACTTGTTTTGTACATCTAGTAAACCTGCGGGCCAACATGTTACTTCTAACTGCCAATGCTCTTCTTTCGCGTTCTATGTCCAGGTCATCTTTTAAAGTACTTTCAATAACGTGACCGAGATATTAAAACCTGACTTCATTTCCACCTATGATTACTCACTGGTACTCCGCCAGTGTATACAAATAGTACAGGTAGAGTTACAATTCTATTATTATCTCATAAAAAAAGAATGATAGACTAGCTTTCTGCCCGCTACTTCGTTCGCGTGGATTTTAGTAATAGGGAAACCAATGATATAGACCATTATCTAGATGAGATATCAAGATAAAACATATAACAGATTTTAAGTGAAAACCGTAACCGATTTATTTCAGTAATTTCTACGTGATACCGAAATAAACAGATAGACAAACAAAATTTCTCAAAGTTATACTATAATATTAGTTTTTTGCTCTTATAAAGACTGACTCTTATTAAGAATTAACTGTAATTAGACGGTAAAGATGTTTATACATGAGAGATATTTAAGAAAAATTGATACGAGGGGTTCGAATCAATTTTTCTTAAATATCTCTCATGTATACACATCTTTACCGTCTAGTTACAGTTTTATTATTTTAGTAAGATAAAATGTAAATGTTTAAAAATATTTACATGTTTGGAAATTTAGTGCACGGACAGAGTGAACATATATATATATATATATATATATATATATATATATATATATATATATATATATATATATATATATATATATATATATATATATATTAAAAAAACAACACTTTGGACTAGCGGCCCGCCCCTGCTTTACACTGGTAACATAGTAGAGCATATTTATACATTTTGTGCATCGGCTTGTTGCGTCGAGCATAAATTAGATGGATATAATAAATTATCCTTAATATATGGATGTATTCCAAATATTTTTTGTAGACCAATACCAGAGGGAAACTTTGTACAAAAGTCGATTGCTTGGGTACCTCTGTTCCATTCGTGTTTCAACCATGAAGTAGTTGTGTTTGCATGGCTGCGTTTCGGTTTGAAAGGTGGGATATGGCGTGAATTTACTGGGTATAGAAGAATAACAGCTGAGTCCTCAGAAATGGCAACGCATGGGGGGTATCATGGGCGAAACAGTATACTCTGTTATGTCCATGGTACTGCTCATGTCTATAGGCGACGGTTACCACTTTCCATCAGGTGGGCCGTCAGCTTGTTTGCCATTCTAAGTTGTATAAACAAAAGAGTAACAATCCCATACATTGTTTTGTTATATCTCAAACTGAAATTAGGCAGCGTTCTCGATAAAAAAATCTAAAACGGCTTGATTTTTTCCATAATCGATAATCATCATATTTCAACCAATTTACACAAAGCTGCAACGAATGCCAGCGTATGCCGATAGCGGAGGCGAGGCACCAGTGAGAAATATATAGGTGAAGACAAAACAGGTCAGTTGGCCCATAGTGACGGATTCAAAAAGAATTAACCGTAATGTTTTCAGGGAAGAACCGCATGGTAGCCGACCTGATAACCCTATCAGGTCTACCACTACTACAAATATACCCATATTGCTAGCAACTGGACTATTAGGTCCCCTTTACTGATAATCCCTTTCCCCGCTCATAGCAGCATTGTATTGTACCTACTTTCGCTCGTCTTTCACTTAAACGCCTGATATCTTAGGCTATAGATGAAATATATATTATTATAATTATTGCATTAAATACATACATGATTGCAAATGTTTATCTTATCATACAATTGTATCAACTCTCGGAAATCCTACGATAACTTCGCGGAATGACTTTGCCTTTATTTGTGCAGACTGTGAGTTCCCATGCCACAAAACAAATAAACAGTATTTATATGCTTGTCTTATATTGTAGAGGTAGAATAAATATATATTAATACTAGCATTTGGGGGGAAAGGGATTGTTAATAATGGTGATTGAGAATCCCATTGCTAGCAATATACCCAATCAGGTCGATCTCCTCGCGGTTCTCCCTGGAAACTATCATGGTTAATTCCTCATGAATTCATCATGATGGGCTATCTGGCCTGTTTCCATTCTAATCTATCACCCTTTACTGGTGCTCCGCCAGCGTATCCCGTTAGCACAGGTGGGGTTACCATACCATTTTCATCAAAAAAAAAAATACTAGCATTTACCCACGACTACGTTCGCGTGATCGATAACACGTATCCTTCTCTATCCCCAATACCAATTTCCATTTATTAATTGAGCCGTTAGGTTTAATAAGAGACTCACTTTCACATTTACAAACTGCATCCCGCGACTTTACTCGCATAAATAAAGTATAAAATATTCTATATGTTAAGTTAGTAATCAATAATCTTCGCATATCTTTTTTTTATAAAAATTACTATTTTCAAAATAAAACAAGTATTTCAAAATGCTTCCTAGGATCCTTCCTAGGAATGGAAGTGAATTTTTTTAATGGCTGCTAATGTTTAAAAATGTAACAACATACTGACTGTATGATCTTTTTAAATTGATGATAATGGAATGGTAAACCCGCGTGCGCTATTGAGTATGATAAGTGAGGTCTTTATATTGGATAGCAATAGACTGGTAACCCCGCCAGCGCTAACGGTATACGCTGGCGGAACACCAGTGAGAGATGATAGGTGAGAATGAAGACAAGTCAGTTAGCTCATCGTGATAAATACACTTGAAATTCAGCACGGTTTCCGGGAGGGGACCACGTGAAGGTTGACCTGATAGGGTATATTGCTAGCAATGGGATTTTGTATTACTAACAATCCCTTCCCCCCTTCCTTGTGAAAGTGAGTTTATTATGTCTTAGCACCTCAACAGCTCAAATAAACGTTAATTTGGTATACGCGTCCTATGAGGACACAGGCTACTATTTATCCCCTCAATCGAGGTAAGTAGTTCCGGGTAAAAGCTAGTAAAATTTGATAAATATTTGTTTTATAATTTTTCCAGCGTGTAACTGTATTTGTCCTGCCGAATGCATAGCGACAGATCCCTGCGCTTGTAACTTCCCTAAAGCGGCGTGTTGCAGCTAGCCGACGCCATTTTGAAGTATTCTAAATTTAAAAGTGCCATACAAAATGGCGTACTTCCTGTGATTAACGTCAGTAGGCTTTCATTTGCTGATATATTAATTGTATTAATGTAATCAAGTGTTTTATACTCAACTACAAATAGATATTTCATTAAACATATTGGAGAATTTATTGTCTTTATAGTATACGTAGGTATGTTTGTATTGAATTACATATGTACAAATTGGACGTTAAGTAGAAATAATATTAGATTTAAATACTCGACTACGCTTGATATTAACTAGAATACAATTTTTATATTTTAATAAATATTTAAATCATATTTTGTAGTACATGTTTTTATAATAAAACAAATTGTAAGTAATTTAAATATTTTTTTTCGGAATGAAAGGACTATTCGTAAACTGTACTACGTTTTCGTAAACTGTACTGCCTTTGAAGTTGTGTAATAAATTCAACTAAATATCGCGTGGTACTCGTTTGAACTTTTATTTACCAATACAGAAATAAAAATATTTATTAGTGTTGCTAGTAAATCGGCGACATATTTATATCACTCCACCATAAGACGGTTATATAGATAAGCCATAAGCCCAATAGAACAAATTAATATCAATCGATTTATTGAATTTTCAATTTATTATTTCATTTAGAGAATGCTTCTGTGATAATTATCAACATAATTATCATGTCGGCTTATTCTTTTATGATTCTAGGTCGGCTAAAATAAAAAGAGTTGTCCTATAAAAAATATTGGATTTAGATGTTATTTTAATATTGTATTCACCAGAGTGAGACTTTGTACAAAAGTTGATTGCTTTGAGTACCTCTGTCCCATTCGTATTTCAACCGTGAAGCAGTTATGTTTGCATGGCTGTGTTTCGGTTTGAAGGGTGGGATATAGCGTGAATTTACAGGGTACAGAGGAATAACACCTGAGTCCTCAGGAATGGCTACGCGTGGGGGGTATCATGGGCGAAACAGTATACTCTGTTATGTCCATGGTACTGCTCATGTCTATAGGCGACGGTTACCACTTTCCATCAGGTGGGCCGTCGGCTTGTTTGCCATTCTAAGTTGTATAAAAAAAAAACTCTATACCACAATATCACAGCATAATAAATAAAAATACATTATATGATTTTTTCTTTTATTAATGAATTAATGGAACATATTCATAGACATTGGCATTGCAACGTCGACAACCCTAACGATATTCCTTTGGAATATTGTAAATCCTTTTAAAACATTTTAGAATATATTGGATCAGTACTCACTACGTAAGGGCCACAGCACACGATATTACAAGCAACAGTCAATTTAAACAACTCGATACAGAGTCCGAACACTTCACGTGCAAGTAACTATGTTAAGAGTCGACACTGCCTTTATATTGACAAGAATGGAAATTAAATCTATGCATCCACCTACAAGTATCAACACAATGATAAATAAATTCATAAATATATGAATAAATTTATTCAAAATGCCAACCATAGACAATTTGTTAACGTCCAATAATAGTACTAAACTAAATCATCGACTAACTGAATATATTGACTTGTTACTTCATTTTAATTATCTCAGAAACACTCTCAAAATTAATTTAATTTGAAGGTTTCTGTGGTAATTTTAATGAAACTTTCTTATCTTTCAATTAAATACAATTGAAAATGACTGCATATGATCTAAAACTACAGTAAACGTGGTTCAACAAGGTCGCAGTCGCAAAATGGCAAATGTCACGTATGCAATGGCCCTTAGAATTGATGGCAATGCATAAATATTCCACTATTGTCTAACACGTGATCAAGATACATTATTTATGTGAATACAAATCAATAACTATTATAAAGGCGTAAAAATAAATTAGCCCGCCGTCTTACATCACATCATCAATTATAGGGCATAGGTTAAGAGGCTCTTCGAATAAAAATAGCAACGTTATGTTTCTTTGTTTTAAAATAGATGCTGTGTTCAGACTGTAATAGATTAGTGGATAAATACTGTTCAAGCGCATCACTTGTCCATTATGATCGAGTCCTAGCAACATCCATAACTAATTCTGTTACTTATCGTATTTCAAAGGTGAAAAATTTGTCTCTGTTCAAATATGATACTTAATGTAAAATTTTGTATTAGAAATAAATTACAGTCGGATATAAATCAACAAACATTCTAAACTGAAGCAAATACAATTTAACAATACGATATTCCTACATCTCATTTAAAATAATAATAATAATAAAAACAAAACATTGACAGTAGTTGATATTGCCATTTGTATTTTAAGAGCCTCTTAAGTGTGTGCATACCATAAGATTGGATGTCTTCAATACCAGTAAAATTTTAAACAAAATTTAAAAGTTTTAATATATCCGAGTGATAATTTAAAATTGTTATCAATATTTAATCATGGCTAAGTGTTGGTGATAAACTTTGCGAATAATTACCTAAATAGATATATTTACCTATTCTCACGCCATGTTTACTTATTAAGCAGCGAGAACCAATTAAATAAGCTAATGATTAAACATTTTCATTTGTATAAAATTAACGCCCGTCATCTTATGGTATAGGCACTCTTAACTTGCCGCGCATTTTGACAGCTGTCAGATGGATATCTATTCTGAATACCGTAAAACGGGGTGTATGGGATTCAGTGGATAAATAGAAATGGTTTCGTTAAAGTTTTAACATGAGAAAAAAAAAACAATCAGAAACCTAAATTATTTGAAAAACATATATTTTTATTGCCCAATTACGACTGATTTTCTGTAGTTCTATGTTTTTTTTTAATATACTTGATAGTATCCAGTCACAGTAATGAAATAATATGAAAACCTATCTCAAAGTTAAAAAAATATACACTATTGACCCCGTTTTACGGTATCAAAACTGAGTCACTGCAACAATGTGCAATTGAATTTGAAATGTCATTACCGTACGTCTAATTGACAGCTGTCATTTTTATAATAACTTTTGAATATCAAACGGCGGACTATTTAAGCCGCTGTAACAGTGTCGAGTTAAGAATATTGGCCTGCGCGATTGTGAGGCTCGAGTCAGTCAGTTCTGTTGTTGGGTACGAGGTGAGAAGAGCGAACGAATGTAATTGGTACGCTGGTTCTGCTCGTGCGACATACTCAGCCAGTTCGCCCACTGTGTGCGTGTGGTTGAATCGACCCGTTAGCCGACTGCCGTCCGCCAATCGGAACTGTAAAGGCAATATTTAAATAAAACTATTAACAAGTACAACAAAATGGCACTATCTTATTATTTTATTTATAAGATTCGATTGTACACTATAGATATACCTATTTGTACATTACTTTGACGATCTCCGCAGCACAGTGATGAGTTACGTATAAATAAGATCCCAAAACAAATTAACTCTATTTGGGTCTGGTCTAGATGTTTCGAATGTACAATTAAATATTTATCACTCGATTACTCATAACCTAGTTTTATGACTAGGCTATTGGTATTATTACTGAATTATCAGTGTTTATTTTGATTACTTTCAGTCTATCTGTACTAACCAATATTAGCATTAGCTAACGGTAGGATAATAGGGGAAAGAGGGATTGTTAGTAATGGGGTCAAAATAGCCCTATTACTAGCAATATACCCTGTCAGGTCGACCTCCACGTGGTTCCCCCTGGAAACCATCGTGACTAATTCTAGTTTAATTCGTCAGGATGGGCTAACTGACCTACTTTCATCCTCATCTGTCATCCCTCACTGGTGCCCCGCCAGTGTATACCAATAGCGCAGACGGGGTTACCATACCATTATCACCCATTCAAAAAAACGGTAGGATAATGGGGGGAAAGGGATTGTTAGTAATGGAGACTGAAAATCTCATTGCTAGCAATATACCCAACCAGGTCGACCTCCTCGCGGTTCTCCCTGGAAAGTATCATGGTTAATTCCTGATGAATTAATCATGATGGGCTAATTGACCTGTTTTCATTCTCATTTATCACCCTTCACTGGTGCTCCGCCAGCGTATCTCGTTAGCGCAGGCGGGGTTACCGTACCATTTTCACCCATCAAAAAAAAAACGGTAGGATGATACTGGACTGTATATGTTGACGGAGCATCAGTGAGGATGAAAGCAATTCACATGGCCCATTGTGATGAAATCATAAAAAAATTATTACGACGATTTTCAGGGGATCCACATGAACATTGAACTAGAACTACTACTAGTGGTGATTGAATGATAGTATTTGTATGACAATACCTGTATGGTAGTGGTGGGTTGACCGTCATCGAGGCGTAGTGCGTCCTGCGCGGCTCGCAAATTGGCGGCGCGATCCGCTGGCCCGGCTGTAACTGTTGCGCCTGCCGTCGGCGGCGTAGGGCTGCAAAAACAATGAGAGCTTCAATGGTCAACCCGGTAAACTCCAAGATAAACTTCAAAGTCTAAACATTATTATAAAAATGTCTATTTCTCAGTATTCTACCAGATAGTTTGAAAGTTACATTCAAGGACAAGATTTAGCTCCTCGATCAACCTTTCAATCTCTTTATCAATCACATCCTTAGACAGAATGTCATCTGTCGGTCAGCTAGTATTTAATAAATGCCACTGGTAATTTTGGCTACGACGCCAATGAAATCTACAATTAAGTTCTAACGTAAATGAGCACAGACAGTGGACATACCTGCCCAGCATGTGTCCTTTGCCAGCAAAGGCTTGTGGCTTATGCTGCGGCCGAGGGCACTCCTCGTGACGCCGGTCTTCCAGGCTCACCCGCACTTCGCCGCCGCCCGCGCTGCCGCCTAGCGATGGGGGGATCTCGCTGTAAAGAAAACCATTATCATAAACAATGGCATATATCTCAAACTTGCAATGATGGTATGTCGTAATATCTAACTTTTAGCCTAGTGCAACTGATAGTAGTTAATCATATGAAATAAATGTATTGGCGCCATATGAGGTCGATCTTTAGTCGCCGATCTTCCGCAAGAACTTACTCGCACACAATGTGAGTTCAGTTATTCGCGCGCCGATCTTCTATCGCTATAATATAGACAACAGCGCATTATATTATTTCTTACTGTACACGTATGCTGGCATTAATAGATATTTAATTTCTAGTGTGTTTCGAGTCTTTACTCAAAATCTAAATTCTATATTCATTTAAAGCTTAATAAACAGCAATCAGTTCTATAAAACCTATTTTAAGCTAACACTGTTACATAAATTTAACACAGTAACTAGTCAACGTAAAATGCGAAATTCAAAGTAGCTGCTACATTCAGTCGCCGATCTTACATCGCCAATAATCAACGACCAAAAATACGAACAATATGGCGCTAAGCTATAGCTAAACATATGCTAAGATGTTTTTCATTCCACTCCATTAATGAACTTTAACACCGATATCTTCTGTGTTAAAGTTCATTTTAGCGAAACAAGAAAGAATGAAAAATTAACGTGAGATTTTAATTAATCCCCACCCTATAAATGAAATTTAGTAAAACTTTGGACAAGACTTCGATTAAACGAAATCAGATCCGATATATTAAACCGTTGGTGTAATCTATGTATGGCATGTTAAGCTCATGTATTTATCAGTGTGTAGTGTACTTTTGTGTATGTGTTGTCACTTACCCTCTACGTATACAATTGAGGAACTCCGCATTCTCCGGGTCGGTATAATGTCGCAGTGGGCCAGAGTCCACTGTGAACCCTTCCCGGTACAGCTGAAGCCGCACTGACCGAGAATTCTCCTATAATGTAATTCGCAACAACGTGAAAAGGTCCATAAAATTAAATATCATTTTAATCGGCAAGTAAATATGCTGAGAATAGTAATATGAGTTAACAACTGTTTATAAAAGGTGGCAATTGGCAAAAGAATGGCAATAATAACCATAGCTATAATTGAAAGAAGAAAGCCTAGTTGGAACTAGTTGTGCAGAAAAAAGGCATTTCTTATGGGCATCCCAACTGTAGCGGTTTTCTGCACAAATGGCTAAAATTAGAGATATTTTACAAAAAAATATTTAGTGGAAACTAGATAAAACTTACAAACACCACAAAAAATTGACACTTTGACTATTTTTTTTTTTTATTTCAAATTTAGAACATGTTTCTTTTTTATTTATAAGTCAAGGAACAAAAATAATTAATAATATTTTAATTGTTAATTGGAATAAGATTTATTTTCAATCCTTATTGAATGAAAAATAGATAATAGTTAATAGAAGAGCACTCACCTGAGGCTGCGCAGAATTTGATGGCGCCACTTGTTCATGATCATCGGCTGTTTGACCTGTATGTAGTATAATAACAATTACATACAAAACACCAGATACTTTTGAAAACTTCGAAAAGCGTGCATTAAGATCTTAAAACTATTAACATTAAAAATCTTAATAGTTAATTAATCTTGCAAAAAAAATATATTAATTTAAAATTTTTTAGGTTCTACATGGAAGTGAACTCAATATAAAGATATTGCACAACATACAAACAAAAAAAGGCTAATTGGAAAACTCATAGTTTTCAAATCTAATAGAAAATTTATTTATTTATTTTCTATATGTTTCTAATGAGTTTTATAAAAAAGAAATAAGCGCTTTATAAATAAAAATTAATACCTACTACAAACGTATTCATTATTAACCATCACAGTATTTTATCTCTTTCTTGGATATTGAAAATTTATGGCAAAAGAAAAAGACAAAATAGTTGAATAGCTAAAATAGGTTTATATGACTTAAGTCTTTCACAATGAGATAAATGTATGCTATTGTATGAAATAGAAGTGATTAAAATTCATTACCCAGTCTGTATCCTACTCCACTGAAGAGTCCACCACGGCCTCTACTTGCGGAAGACGGCTCATCTTCAAACACTACAGCGCCGCGTCTGACAGAATATATATACTTTTTTTTAATGGAAGTCACAGGGAGAAGGAATTGTTAATAATGGGGAGGTTAGTACCCATTGCTATCAATATACCCTATCGTGACTAATATATCATTAAATGTGTCAAGATGGGATAACTGACCTGCCTTTTCCTCCTCACCTATCACCTCTCACTGGTACCTCGCCGGTGTATACCGATACCGCAGGCGAGGTTACCATGCCATTTTTACCCATTACAAAAAAAAACAATAGGAGTCGCAAACAATGTAATGACCTATTTATAGGAAAATAATACCAATCGCTTATAGAGACATGAACAATAACTGAACCATAATAAAATTATGACTGATTCTTGGCTTGTCTTTACTGTATTTTTTGTTGTGGCTTTTGTAAGGTCCTTGGCACCCATCATACATTAAACTGTTTAGGATTAATAGTAGTAGTCTAGTAAAGACAAAGTTGTCTTTACAATAAATTGAAATAAAGGTGAAGTTAAACTAAAAGGTTTTGCTGGAAGAAATCTCTTATTAGAGATAAGCTCGCCTTTGTTCATTATGTTTATAATGAATTGTAATTACCAGTATGTTTTGTGTACAATAAAGAATAAAAGAAAGAATAAAAAGAATATGTTGTAAAACCCATAGACTCGTAATTAAGTTTTTGCTCAAAATTAAGTGTAAATTTGATTTGGCCTTAAAGTTAATTTTAATCTACTCTCCGTTTAATTTAAGTACTCCATAAACTAAAACAATACTCACTCTCTAACACTTTTGAACATTTCAGTAACAATATCTTTTCTGCCCTTTCCAGGGCCAAGAATCTGCTGACCAGAACGCTCTGAACCACCTGCATAAAATGCCTGACCTGCAACAAAGAAAAAGTTCTTATATAATTAATACTTTATATATATAGCATATTTTTTGCATTGTCATCATATATAAGTATCAAATTAAATAACAAGACTTCTATTTTCAAATTTGGAATAAAACAATCATTATGTTTAGAGCAAAGAAAATTCTTTTACAGACCTGCCCCTTCATCTGTTTCATTTCTTAATCTTGCTATCTCTTTCCTTAACATACTATTCTCACATAACAATCTCTCAATCTCTTATTTTAACATTTCAATTTCCTGGTGGATGTCAGAATGCAAAGATTCACTATCATTTGAACTTTTATATATTATTGATAGTTTTTTTAGACTTTCGGAACATGATGCTTCATTGCAGAAAAATTCTTCAACAACTGTTTTAATTCTGTTTGTGATCCAACCATATTTTGATTTTGAGACTTTAGAAAGGATTGCAAATTTTAAATTTGATTCTACTAATATTATAATTGTGAAAATTTGTCAAAGTGTTTGTATGTATATTGGAATATATGAATGGATGTCTGTTACTCAATAACACTTCACTGAGAATAGATTTAAGAATGAATGCTATAGTATAAAAGCTTCTTCTTACACCATATATTTTCTTTGCAAAATTCTTAACCCATGTCCCACAATTTTTTTCATGGGTGAAAATGGAATTGTAAGCCCACCTGTACTATTGATACATGCTGATGAGGCATCAGTGAATGATGATAGGAGAGGATAAAAGCAGGTCACTGACAAGTTCTAGAAAAATTAACCATGATGATCTCCAGTGAGAACCAAGTGGAAATCGATCCATTGTACCCTACATTGCTAGCAATGGGGCTAGTAGATCCCATTACTTCATACTAGCATACCTTCCTCCCCATGTCCTACTATTGGACACATTTTATTATCATGTTATCAGCCATTAACTGTCCACTGCTGAACATAGGCCATCCTCATACAAGAAGTTGACATACATCTCGCTCATGAAACCAAAACAATAATTGTTTGACTTCATCTGAAAGTTGTCTTCAGGTATGTATGGCACTTTGCATTACAGCATCTTGCTTTGTACGAAAAACAAGACATATGAAAAAGACAAAGGTACCCAAGCAAACTTTTGTCGAAGTCATTAAAAAATAAAAGCAAATATATACCTTCATCATCTTCACTGGAACTGTCCTGTTGTAGAGACTCCAAGGTTGCAAATTTGGAGGTTGTGGTTTTCTTTTTTGCCTTGTCTTGGGATTTTACTGGTGACCTGGGTTGTGTGTCCATGGCACTATTTGATAAGTTTGCAAAGGGAGCCGATGCAGCAGGCTCCTCAACATTACCACCGTGTTCATAGAAACTTGATAATGCTACCTGCAGTTAACATATAAACAATACACTTAAAAATCTGCAATTAAACTGTGCCCATTCTTAGTTACACTACAGAAAGAATGCTATCAATTAAAAATTCCAAATGCAGCATTATACATATTAATATATTTTCATATATCATCACTATATTTTAGATATGTTAAGACAAAGATACATAAAAATTACATAAGTAAGTAAGTACATAATATTAATCTCAAAATGATGATTCTATCACATAACAAAAATAAAGAGCTTTTCATTCTATATTGTACATGTAAATTTTAACTCAATGTTTATTACTCAATAACACCTTCATAGCTATATGGATTCCAATGGAATTTAGCACACACGGATCATACTAAATACATATATATATTATGCAACTTACAATGGTAAATAAGCTGACGGTCTACCTAATGGAAAGTGGTAACCATGGCCTATACACATGACCAGTTCCATGTACATAATAGAATATACTGTTTCGCCCATGATACCCCTACCCCCCGCCCCTTCATGCGTTGCCATTCCTGAGGACTAAGGTGTTATTCCTCTGTACCCTGTAAATTTACTGTCATATCCCACCCTTCAAACCAAAACATAGCTATACAAACACAACTGCTTCACGGTAGAAACAAGAATGGGATAGAGGTGCCCAAGCAAACGACTTTTGTAAAGTCTCCCTTCGGTAAATTTACGATCACGTAGAAAAAAACGGGGTAGATACAAAAGTGATAATTATAAATTGACAAAAGAGGTTGTAATAAGAAAATAATATTTTATGAAGTTTTTAACTAATAAACCATTGCCAAGGCAGCACTGGCTTGTAAAGTATTATTTGTAAGTAACTACAAATACCTATCATTTAATATTTATAATAAAACAAACTTATTGTAAAAAGATTCTCACTTCAAGTTGCCAATTGGAAGATTCTAAATAGAATCTACCGTTTACTTCGTCCACACCGGTCACATCACAAAACTGTCGTAACGTATCTGCTTCGTTAGCTGACATATTTTATATTCTTTTTATTTAAACAAACTTATACAAAACAATACAAAAATGCTGATATCCGATGCGGTTGACAGCGTAATTTGGCCGAATGCGGATGACTTGTACTTTTATTTTTTTTTTTAATTAAATTGAAGATGGCAACTCTTATGATCCGTAGATGAGCTTTCTTTTACAATAGGCTTGAAAAATTATTGCTAATAAAACAAAGAAAAAACAAGTAGCTCTGTTTCTGCCTTACAAATGGCAATAAATGCAATATGTGCATGCTTGAGTCAAGCTGCAGTTAGTATTTAGTCTTATTACAAAACTTATATTCTGTGGAGAAAAAATTATGGCAACCGAATCTTTTAGCACAAATCTAAACTGTCAGTGTCAAATTAGTAACTGTAAATCATTGAAAAGTATTTTCTTGTTTTTAGTTTTGATTTTGTAATTTTTAATATTAAACGGAAAATAAAAATATTTAAGTAAAATACACATTCATAAATTTCATTTCTTATCCAATAATTAACTTCTAATCTGTTAATCAAGTAATTATCAATCCACTCATCCACTGCATGGCATCACAAATGATACCTATAGTTTTGAGTAAGTTTTAGCTTACAATTAGTGAATTCTCACCTAACAAGGATTTTAGTTGTACTTTTTAAATTTCTGATTCTAATTTTAGTAGCTCATAAAATACATTTATATAATTACAACACTAATGATCTATTTTAGATGCCGGCAAATAAATGAAGTCCGCCCATAAACCAGGCGTAACTATGAGGAAATATTACCAGCTGATTCTTGTTATTGTTTGTTTTGTGAGTATCGTCACACTACTTATTTACCGGCATGAATACTATAGGTTACGGTATGTACTGGAAGTGTTGAACTTCTTCGGGAAACCAGGTCTTTCCGAGATCGAATTTTGCGGGCCTGGTTTCAATGCTACCATGCTATCAGAAATATTAAGAAACTCCTCCATGGAGGTCCGGGAAACGCCACCGCTGTTTCAAGAAATCGACGATAGTTTCTATTCATACTCCTCTTTTCTGCAATCATACCAGAAGTATGAAAAACTAACTCAAACACATGCACATAACATTGACACAATTGTTATTGGAAAAGCTAGTGTGCGACCTAATTTTAGATGCAATATCTGGCTGGAGAATGTCTCTAAACCAAAAGCTGGTCGATTCACTTTTAAAATAGTTTCAGAACCAATCAATGATTTTTGCTTATATATATTCCATTGTTCCCTGAGCAAAAACATAGGTAAACCCAAAGGTGTAAGCTTTTATATGAACAATTATAATATAAATCCAATTCATGCACCTATCAATAGAGTTATTGAAGTTAACACCAAACGTAAACCAAGAGAAAGGAGCAGTATTCGATTTGTTAATAATATAGAGCCCGCCATTTGTGTTATACCTAATAAAGTGCCATTAGTATCACGTGATTCATTTATAGAGTTTCTCGTATTTCACCATATGATGGGAGTGAATTCATTTACCATCTATGATAGCATGATATCTGAAGATATTATTAGAAGATTGAATTTATTACCCTCAGATATCACTCAGTGGACTATACAATTTTTTCCATTAAACTATCCTTTTGTCTTTGCAAAGTCATATGAAATTGTACATAATGCAATAGAGTTAGATTGTTTATTCAGACATTTTAAATTTGATAAGGATGAGTCAAATAAAGCTAGTCATGCAATTGTAATGTCATGGGATGAATTTTTGGTACCTCGTGTTCATACAAATATGAAGGCTATACTTGATGATTTTGATCCTACGAGAAAAACACGAACTGTAGAAGTAAAACCTCTGTTGTTCTGTTTGAACCAATATGATGATGATAATGCCGAGATAGGATATCCAACTGTTATGAAGAAAACTCATTACTATATGTTGTCTGAAGAGCTTAAGTCTATTTATATTAGAAACTTAGACACTATGACTAATTATGATGATATTTTTGATCTAGATTCTAGCAGTAAAATTGTGCCATTAGATATACTAGGAGTTCATAAGTACACAGAATGTAGGGATCCAAAGGCATACCATCCAAGTGGTGCTGGATACAATGAAACCCAGATGCAGGTATTTCAACATAAGTTTGAAGGTGCAATGTTGAAATTTGGTCAGAGCCTAGTAAGCAATAAAATATATAGACTGTATACATCAGGACAGATATGGGAGAAGACTCCTAGTGATAATGTACGAGATATGTTATAAGTATATGTATAGTGTATTACATTTTATACTTATATAAATGGGTTGTATTATATTAAAGGATGATATTATTAACTGATTGTTAAAAAAAGATGATTGATAAGAAAACAAATAACATAAATTATTCTTTTGTTATTGTTATGATATTTTTGTTATATATAATGTAACCTGTAATATAATGTAATTTTTAATTTTTTTTCTGTAAATACTATCTCTGTACCATTTGTACGTTTATACAACATTGTGTATTTTTACACAAACAAGATGGATGTTCAATTGGATTTAAGTTATTAATTTAGACTTTTACAGCGATTATAAGCACTTTTTAACAAATCATTGCTCATCTATAAATGGTTATATATTGACTCCAAATCTTGTTTAAATACCAAATAATACAATTTTGGTTTATTATTCTTAATTTTGATTTTAAGTGTTATGGTACCAAGAGAATTGTTGTGATGATTGTTACTGGAAAGTTGTGCCTTGCATTCGAAAGGGTTGTTATAATATCGCAACAAATATAATAAGACTGCTAATTTGTATCTATACTGCATTAGTTTAATTTAATCATGCATTAAATAATAATAAATACTCCATTGTCCAAATGCAATATAGATTTAAAATTCCTAGGTATTAAAATACTATGATTCCTTGTATACTTAAACTAGAGATTAAAGGTTAATAATGTAACATTGTGAGTAATTTATACTCACTAAAACAATCAATTACAGTAATAAAATGAGGATACCAAGTGTATGGAACTGAGATTAAAAATTACCACAAAGGTTTAGAAGTCTTACTACTCTTTCGTATAAAATGAAAGAAAACAATAAATAACAATGTCAAAACATAAAAAAAGTTTTGTTTTCAACGTTGATTGTGTATGCGATAGTCTATGGAAGTTTTTAAAATATTAATATGTATACATTTACTTCCATTTTTTATGCTGGCCATACGTACTATGCGCAAGGTATATATCCTATTTACCCAGATGATTTTGTACAGTTTTACTACGTTTTTCTTGTCACCTATATCTCATAAATGGAGTGTGTAATGACATATTTTTACTGTTATAATATTAATTCTCATTTTACAACACCGTCTGTGCAATGTGTTTCTTGTTGAATAATGACTTAGATAAATTTATTTGTTATATTATCATTTGCCTATTATAAAATTAAATAAACAAGAAATAAACTATGCATTAATATTACTGATCTTTTAGACACTTTTGTGCGTAACTTAAGTAAAATATACTATGACTATGTTTTATTTCTTAAGGCATTTGTCAAAATAGTTTAAAAAACAAACTAGAAACTTATGTTGTAATACAGTAAATTAAGACAAAACATTATAAATTGTAATTTTTAATCGACTTCAAAAAGAAGGAGGTTCTCGATTCAGTTATATTTTTTTATGTTTGTTACCTCATAACTTCCTCAGTTATACCTAAACCGATTTGAAAAATTCTTTATCTGAAAGGATATACTTACAGATAAAATTTCTATAGGACCACCCATAGAAATTTTATCAAAGTCGGTTCAGTACTTTAAGTTTTAGATCAAAAGAACTGGTTTTGTCATGATTGAAGTCGGTTTTTTGTGGGACACAATCTTTATTATTAATATATATATTCCATAGAGTCGTATCACAAAACATTTAGTTCAAATTATGTTATAAAACTAGATGTAAAAATTAGTATGTAACTTTACTCCTCCTTCAAAAACTAAAGTTATGATATTCCTGGGACCCGTACCCATTTTATTGTGTACTTACCTGTATAGGTACAATTATCTTTATTATTACATATTTTTAAAATTGCCATATTTAAGTATTTCACCTTGTTTTAACTTAAAATCAATTCTATTACTGCTTGCTCTCAATTCAATAAAACAATTTTATCAGAACTATTTTTTTTATTCCTCTCTTTACCCACAACCCAGTCATAGATATTTATATAGTTATGAATTTCCATTACGAGACACTTATTCACACCAGAGGGTCTACCATAAAATATTTTACAAAATTTCATGAATAAACGAAACAAATTTGATTTTAAAATTACATAATACGGCATAGTTAAAGGCTGATGACGGTATCAGCCTTTAACTGTCTACTGCTGAACATAAGCCTTCCCCTTGGAGGGGTTTTGCCAGAAGTTGCCACGCTTGACAGGCGGATTGGCAATCGCAGTTACATACATTTTGGAGACATTTTAAGAGGAACGCTGCTGTCCATCTCTCGCCTTTCTACACCTACGGGAAAGGAAGGAGTGACCTATTCTATCCACTACACGGCAATACATAATACATACCATTTAAAATTATTAAACATGTTAAAATATCGTTCCTTTGGACTGTAATAGTAGGATTTACGTCGAAGAAAATGTTAAACGTCCATTTATGTATTTTCACCGTAATTTCGATACGAACAAAAACACGAAATTGAGTATATTTCATGGTAGACCCCTGGTTATAGAAAAAAAATTAAGTGCTAAAGACTTCATACATCTCTTAATAATCAATTGTCATAATTAGTCTCATGCAAACAGCCCGATTCTTTTTTCGGCATTTCACATAGATGTACAAAATAGAAAAAAAAACATTAACCAATTGACACGTACTTCAGTGAATACCGAATGGGACCAAATACCATAGCATATGCTATGGTATTTGATAATGCCATAACGCCAATTTTCAGTGGGGCCATAGAACATGATACAGCGTTCATATATATGTAAAATAGAATGAAGAAATTCTAATATCTTGATTCCTTTCTCAGTTTATCTGAGAATAATCCTACAATTTAAGGCAACTCCATGTCATCATTACATCAATCAATCTGGACCTTTTAAAGACGTATAACCAGATTAAACCTTCCCATTGGAAATCCGTTTTATCATCCTTTCTATGCTTCTTTTTCTTACTTGTATACTTTCATCATCATTTCTGCCATTATCCGTCCACTGCTGGATCCTGTCCTGAGCCACCTGCGTCCACTCCCTGCAATGCATTTATGGTCGTCACTCCATCTAGTGGGGGTTGTCCTACACTGCGTTTGCCCGTATAGGGTCGTCACTAAAGAATCTTCCGATCTGTGGTAATATATAATACACTATATAAAGGTTCACTGGGAGATAATGTTTTATAGCATTAAGTCCGCTTTTGTAACAAACATGTTTTCATAATATGGTCAATAAAGGATAAATAAATATATTACATGGTGTTTTATGTCCAATATAATAAAAGACATTTAGTGATCTAAGTAAATGTTTATTTCATTCAGCTATACTAAATACAACAGGCGTTCGCCCGTTAACGTCACAGATCAAATCGACAAACAAAACGTACTAAAACTATATAGGAAGTTAAATCAATCAAAATCATTTATACATACAATACATTTTATAATATCAATGCAAACACTAGATATTATGGATAAAATGAGCATAATGTTGAGCAATACACAAATGTATTGTCGTTGCCACAAATCATATTAAAAAAAAAGTAATGGAGGGAATTCATGATTATTTAGATATAATTAGGTACTAAACAAGAAAAAAATATAAGTATATTAAAGCTTACTCGCATAACATTTAAATATTGCCACAAATAAATTTATTAACGCTACAATATTAAGTACCAACATCTCACTAAAGTAAGCTTAAATTTTTACCGTGATCAAAATACTGAATATGCGTGAAATTTGTAGCGCAATGAACTATTTCAGTGTACACTTAAAATAGTATGCAAAATTGTAATTTTAAAACAGAACTAATTACTTTAGAAGGCACGGATGTAAGGAGTTCTTAAATGCAGACGGCCGCGAGAAACGATGTTACAGTTTCGAGACCGTTCTGTGAATGTCTAGCGATATAAAATAGCTGCAATGGCTTCGTTCGTTCGTCATGGAAAATTATAACGTATAAGGAGGTAGTATTGAGAACAAAATAATAGTAAAAAAAAAATTACACAAAGAAATACATATCAAAGCTTTTACCAATCTCATGGTTGGACTAATTTGAATTTCATAACGCAAATTATCTGTACTATGTCATAGTTCTATAAATTTAACAAGTTTACTGTTTTTTTTATACAACATAAAATGGCAAACAAGCTGACAGCCCACCTGATGGAAAGTGGTAACCGTCGCCTATAGACATGAGCAGTACCATGAACATAACAGAGTATACTGTTTCGCCCATGATACCCCCCATGCGTTGCCATTCCTGAAGACTCAGGTGTTATTCCTCTGTACCCTGTAAATTCACATCATATCCCACCCTTTAAACCGAAACACAGTCATGCAAACACAACTGCTTTACGGTTGAAACACGAATGGGACAGAGGTACCCAAGCAATCGACTTTTGTACAAAGTCTCCTTTAAGGACTTTTTATTGTTGTCATATTTTATTTATCACAATATATCACTCGGCTCATACATTTTTGTTACTTTCTCAATACCCCCTTTTTACATAATTTTTATATTCATTTACAAATATGATAGTATACCTTCTTCTTGCTTCCAAAACAAAGTACATGTATGTATGGCAATATTTTTCTTTATTTTAATAGCATTTATCCATGTTAAAGACAAGATTAGCTTTCCTTCTTTAGTACCACTAGTAGACAAATCCAAATGTTTATTTTTGAAATTATTCACATAATAGAAACACCATCGCTGTAAGCTATCAAAATAAATCTTGATAACGTATATGATTACCATACAATTTGTATCCATGTACTTTGTTTAGGGAAGCTAATGTAATGAATTATAATTTTCATAACAAATCCTACTTGTGTTTATTGTGGTCTCTTACTGTACATAGTAAGCTGTATGAAATGCGCGCTTAGACCTATAATAAAAAAAAAAAATCCAGTGTATACGCAAACTATTATTCTATTTAATAAGGAACAATGATTTAAATGCATTCTGGCCATTGATTGCGTAAACACGGATAAGTTTCATTTTCAAATATAGAATCGATATTTTTTTTTTGCACTATTTATACATCGCTCAAAGACCTAATAAGAACTCCGTGTTAATTATTATAGATTGGAGAAACATTATAAAAATTATGATCTCGGTGCAAGTTCGCAATTATTCAGTGAAAATATAATATAATTTACTTATTGTCATGATGTTCTGAATACCGTCCGACGATCGATATGAAACTAGTTACAACTGTAACGCGATCCCATCAAAATATTATCTAATTAAAAAACTGAATCTTTGATCCACTGGAGTCCTGAATCTCGCCTCGCGCCTCACTAAACCCGTAAAAAATTAATTTGAAGTGCCCATTCACCCTCTATGATTTTTGTTTGCGATACAGTTTTAATAATTCTATTACTACTAAAATAGATATAAATCAAAAAGTAATTTGAAAAAGAGACATCGTCATCTTCCTACCGTTATTTGAATTATTTAGGGTCAAACATTTCATTTAACAATGTTTGTTTTGAGTAAAATTTTTGACGGATCCAGTGAAGTGTCCAGTCCAAATAAATTGAGGGACAAGTAGTACAGCTATGTACTTCGAGACAAGATTTTTAAAAGTCGAATGGATCATAGACCATAGATCGCTATGATATATAAATTTTACATTTCAAGTAATTTATGATTTTTTTATTGCGAGACACATAATTTGTTTACATAATAAAATCTGATTATTTAATATATAATTATTATGTATAATTTTCATTAGAGTGATTTCTTACAGTCAATATTTTCAAACATCAACGTTAATATATGTACAGTACACAGTATGAAAAGGTCAGTATCCTAAACGAGAGAATAGATAAAATATCACCTTTTCTAAAGACTAAATAGTAAAAAGGATTACAGTAAATGCACGAAAAATAGTTACATAGTCTTATAAGTTTTTTTTGTAACAACAGTATGTTAATGAGCTAAACAACTGTCGCGTGCAGATATTCTATGCAAACTTTAATATATATTAAAAAAAAAAAGTGCGTTCGTTCACGCTAATCTCCGAAACCGCTTAACCGATTTTAATAAAATTTAGTACAAGTGTAATGGGAGCTCCAACTTAAGCTTTAGGAACGTTTTTATCCTGATAAGAAAAAAGTAATCCGATAGATGGCGGTAGACAGTAAAAAGACGTATCTGGTCAGCTAATATATACCTATTTTATATGACAAACTTCTTTGGAATGTAATTTTTTGTTTTAATGTATTTTAATACTGTTAAATAAACATTGGTATTCCAAATAGTATACTTTATATATATATATGACGACAAATAATATCAAACAATAATCTATTTGAGATACGAGGCTTGTATATATATATATATATACATTTAATATTATAAATGTAAAAGTGAGTTTGTTTGTTAGCTTGCCTTCACAGCTTAACCAATTACTATGAAATTTGGTATACACTTACTATATGGAATGAAGAAAACAGGCTATTTATACCGGTCACGTGACAAAGTCGCCGGTAAAAGCTATAATTATAATAATATGTCAACTAAATTGAACATTTTGCATATAATTTCTGCACACAAGCCTATAGTAATATAGCCGAAAACCCAGACTTAGTCAACTATAGTCTAATCTAATGTTTTAGTTGTCATTTAATTGGAAAAATGTTTTTATTCGACTTGCGAGTGAATTCGGCTGTAAACCGATACTTGTATGTTTTATTGTTATATATATATATATATATATATATATATATATATATATATATATATATATATATATATATATATATATATATATATATTATTAGTATAATATAGATGAGAAGTTTTTTTTATACGACTTAGAATGGCAAACAAGCTGACGGCCTACCTGATGGAAAGTGGTAACCGTCGCTGATAGACACGAGCAGTACCATGGACATAACAGAGTATACTGTTTCGCCCATGATACCCCCCATGCGTTGCCATTCCTGAGGACTCAGATATTATTCCTCTGTACTCTGTAAACTCACGTCATATCCCACTCTTCAAACCGAAACACAGCCATGCAAACACAACTGCTTCACGGTTGAAAGTTTTGTTGTTTTCGAAAATCATAAGGATGTATTATTTTTATATTCTTATAAATATACAGGGTGAAATCCAAGTCGTCAGCTGTATATGCGATAATACCTTATATCCACGCTACAGAATATATTAGGACAAATTTTGTGAATCATAAATTCGAAAATGGGTAATAAATGTGAGCCTCACGTACTAACTTGCATATATATATATATATATATATATATATATATATATATATATATATATATATATATATATGTTTAATATTACAATATGTATATCTCGTTATATATCTATTTATTTACGTAATATATAATAAGTATTTAGATGTATGTTTTATAACATGAGCGATTTATTACTACATACACTTCTAGGGCCAAATAGTTACCATCTTTTTTCTTTTCTCCTCTACCCAAAGGTTGCTTTAACAATAAATCCGCCTTTTGCCTTTTTTTTTAAGTAATGCAATAGAGTAAATAAATAACTAACTTAGCAGCTGAACAAACATAAAAAAATAGTGTTATTATGGGAGGCACATTTTTTTATCGTTTTTCGATCCATATTTCTTTGGTAATAATAATTAATGTTTTTAGCAGAACACTTCCTTGACAGAATGACGACTTCACCCTGTACATAAGTTACATAATACACATACATACATAATATAAATACACGTTAAAACATACAAATATCTGTTCGGAACTTTATTACATTATAACTTGATAATAGCCAATATAACATTTTCTATTATATTTAATAAACATTTCAACATATTTACACCAATAACAGTTCACTATAATCGATATACGATTAACATTAATCGATTATCGATTCACAATCGATATACAATAGCGATTCTAGTTTAAACAGTGTAAAGACAAAACAGTGTTTCAATAACAGTATTAGCCATTGACATAGCAATAAATAGACGACGCAAATACGTATATATTAAACTAATTGTGATGTTACTGAACTATTTATTACTATCAGAAATACAGAAATACCTTTCAGAAATACCACCTTTTGCAAACGACTTGCATTTTTTTATTTTTTCTGTCGTCATGTCTGATAGTAGAGCTTTAGTCGCTTATTCATAAAAACTGAAATCTTTTACAAATCTATTTTAACTATTACACTGTTTTGTCACATTCTTTCAAATTGGGAATTTAGTGTAAAATAAAGAGACAAAACAGTTCAACAGCTAAAATAGGTTTATGAGAGGTTGAAGTTTTTATGAATAAAGTGGCACATACGAATCATCACCCACATTACCCGCAATGTAGTGTAGGCATTGAAACAGAGTGAATAAACTTGCGACATCTATTTACATCCATGTCTATGGTATTAAATATTTAAAAACAGAGACGTATCATTGTGTTTATTAAAAAAAAATGCGTGCTATCATATTCCGAGGTTAATATTTCCTTACGAGGCGTCAGGTAGGCATTATTAAAATTGTATATATTTATTATGTCTATTTAATATTTAATTTATGTATTTAAAACAAATTTAAATAGTAATTCTCGTATATATCTAAATTGCTGGCGATTTCATAATGTCGCACTGGTATTTTTTAGTACTGATACAGTTCTACCGTGAATTTTTTATTCACATATATTGTCATCTATATATTTGCAATATGTATATATCCATTTACAGATATATAAAATAATCATAAATATACAAAAATGTTTAATCTATTTAACAACAGTTTAATTACTAAACAGTTGTAACATTTCTTGAATTATTCAAGACACATCGAGATGCTCTTATTAAAGACTCCTAATACAAAACGAACTATTGTAGATTTAATCACCTAAAACCCTTTCCCCTTAGAAAAATGGCACACATCTATCGATAGATACGTTATCGCTACTGCATAAAATAGAATAAGACAACATCTGATGTCCCGTTCTATATCGTGTGCGTGGTAACGAAAACGTATCTATCGACATGGTTTCATTTGCCCCTTGTCTAGGGAGACAGATATACTACGTAACTTCAATTTGCGTACAAAGTCAGGAGTTAATACACTACGCTCGATACGGCCCAGTTAAATACGGTACAGTATGAAAAATATACTTAGTATAAATGTATTTATTTTTAACAACTAGTACGGACATATAAAATTAGATGGAATGTGGGTACAGAACTTTTCCCAGCAGTGAGATAGATTCATAAATAATAAAAAAAAAATTATAATCAGAAGTCCTTTCAATTACATTAACATTCTCGTATCACACGGCTCACCCTTGCCCGTAGTGCATATAAGACTCAACAATGAGGATTACAGAATATCTAATGTAACAATATTATGCCTATATCGCTCCATAGCTACACACTACTTTTAACTGATTTACATATAACATTATTTTCAAATAGCTCGCCCCCGATTTTCCAGTAAATATTTTCCATACCCGAATTATTGTAGAATTTTATATTTATACAAGATATAATATATACAGATAGCGCTGAGTATATGTTGGATTTAATATAAACCACAGACACAATAAGAAATAGATGACGCAATCAATTGGTTAATAGAAAACTAAGCACGTCACTACTAAACTAAATTGAAACATTTGCGTCCTTTTTAAGAAGCGTTCTAGACTAAATTTTAAAACCCATACTAACAAGTGGACGCACCGAAAAAAAAATTAAGTCATTCTTTGACCCATCTTTGGGATAATACAATGTTTCCTTAAAAGGATGCTTATATTTTAAATTTCATCCTGTATCTCTGCGCTTTCGAAAGTAAATCTTTTCATAAATACTATTTATAATGCAGTCAGTGTTAGAAGATTAAGCTCTTGAACTTTTTTGACATAAATATCATGTAGGAACCCTAAATCGATATTAAGCCGTCACTAAATAGGATTTATTGAATCATATTAGGTTGTCAAAAAATTGACACCCAAAGTTTATATAGTTACGACATCTATTTCAATTTACATCTGTGACACAATGGTAGTATATAATTCCAACATTTAGGTATCGAATACAAACCATGTATTAGCAAACCACTTTTATATGTTTATTAAATGATAAAAAAAAATGTTAAATGTTATATTTTTTACACATATATGACATAGATTTTCGACTTAGTTTTAAAAAGAATAAATTTAACTGCCTCGTGTCATAAAAATACTGGTCGCAATAAAATAAAAACTATAATAATAAGAGTTATAGAGATCATTTTCGATTGACTGGAATGTCTTTTTAAAATCTTCGTGGGTAAATTTTATGAAATGTATAGATTTGTACTACACGTAAAACAATTTCCGTATTCTAATTTTAAAATCAATTATGCATTTCTAATGGTCCCAATTAAGTACACGATTGAAAAATATTAAGTACACCCGACCAGCAAAATAAGAACCCTGAAGTTAGGGTTGCCAACTCTTAAAAATATTTACCTCTAAACACCATGTACAAATAAATACCTCTAGATCCCTCGAATAAATAATAAATTGTAAAAACCCCTAGTAATAAAAAAAAATTTTTTTACCCAATATACAATTATACAACATCACCAAAATAGTACATAATAAGGTGTAAACTTCCACTTAAACCTCACAAAATATGTGACACAAAATTGCAAAAAGAAAATCCCCTTAAAACTCTATTACACATACTTTTACCCCTAAATTCAAAGACCCCAATTTGGGAATCTCTAGATTCTAGACTTTAGAAGGTCTGAAAGTAAATTCTCTATGTTGGCACGATTGTACGATTTGTCACAATATTAAAATATCCAGAAAAACAGGGTTCTTATTTCACTGGTGAGACTTCAATTAAAGTAGACAAAGGATGTATTATCAAATATAAAATTAAAAAAATATTATATGTTTAAGAGGGCTCATACAAAAGTATAGCAATGTCTGTAGTTTGTCATTTTTTTAAAAAATAATTAGTTTTCAATATTCCCAAATATTACGCAAATAAATCTATCACTGAATACTTTGTTATACTAAATAATATTTGGAGTTTTAGCAATTTTATCAAATTACAATATAACCGTGGTCCCGGCATAGAATAGGTCACCTCTTCCTTTCCCGTGGATGTCGTAAAAGTCGACTAAGGAAGGGCGAGGGATGGGCAGCAGCGTCCCTCTTAAAACATCTCTAAAGCTTAGCAGTTGCCAATCCGCCTGCCAAGCGTAGCAACTACTGGTCAACCCCCCAAGGGGGAGGCTTATGTTCAGCAGTGGACAATTAAAGGCTAATTAATATGATGACGATGATCAAATACCAAAAAGCCCGTGACAAAATATTATTGCAAAATTAACGTTTTGTTATGCTACTATAGATTATTAAAATAATCATTTGGAAATATTGAAAATTGTTTTATTATATTTGAAATATTTGCCACATTACTGTATGAATTCTCTTAAATTATATACGTACGTATCTTTCTTCTATACTTATCTTAAGTTAGGAATTAAGTTCCAGGAATGTATCAAAAATAATTAATCATAGATAATACGAATAGTTGATCAAGAGTATTAAAATCCATCTAACACGTGCCACTTCTTACAAGTAATGATACGCAACTTATGTAAATAAAATTATACCTAATAAGACTTATGATTTGAACCCAATTTAACTTATTGCAATAACACACACGAATACTCAGACTGGCAGTTGTAAATGTTGACAATTCCTGTTGTTATTTATGTACATTGGATTTTAAACCTTAACACAAGCGTTCACAGTTTCATTTAAATAGGTATTATATACAGATAATTAATTTGAGTCATTGATTCTATGTTTAGAAACTATGGCCACCGGGGAAAATGATATTGTTAGTAATGGGACCTAATAATACACAATGAGGTTACCCTCCACGCGGTTCCCCCTGGAAACCATCGTGGTGAATTCTAGTGGAATTCCTCACGGTGGGCTATTACACTAAAATTATAAAGAGAAATGTTCAGATTGTTTGCTTGTAATGGATAAACTCAAAAACTACTCAACTGATTTTAAAAATTCTTTCACCTGTAGAAAGCATCGTTATCAGCGAGAAAAATAGGCCATATATTATATTCGAAAATTCTAGATAGATTGCGAAGACGGATCACTAGTAATATAATAAAAAACAAGCACAAAAGTGACTTTAAAAGTGAACATACATACACCAACAAATGACGGGGTCTCTCATAAATACGTTAATATGAGACTAACGGGAGTATAGCTTATAAAGCGTAAAGTAATACACTTTAAGTTTATCTGAAATTTCAAGACGAATTTTGAACGCCTAAATACAGCGCCATCTAGACCCAAAATAAGAATAGCTTGTATTATGTGTACATTCATTATGTAAATACATAATTATAATACATATAACACACATACAGACACTCACACCACACATTGGACACTAGCACACTACAAAAACATTGCGATATATGCTTGTCACAATTACATAGACAATTACTGTGTGTACATGTGACAATGTATGCGTCTGTAGTCACAGTTAGAGGTCAGATACTGAGTGTCCATACTGTACCTTCTTTCTATTACTTATACTGTGGTCATACTAAAAAAATACAAATGGTCGTAGGGAAGTAGCATGTTAAACGACACGACCACGGTCGTCAATATTGTAAAAAAAACCTGTGAGTTCGTTTTTGTAGCGGTGACTGTCATAAATTTATTCTAATTATACTAAATTGATAGTACATGACTATCCTCTGCAAGATGGAGTCTTGCTAAAATACTGACAATTAATATAATTATTAAAAAAAAAAAGAATTAGTGACGCTACGAAATATAAAATCAGTGACTCGAATTAAATCAGATATACCATTATATAACTGCTATAAACTTTCCTTTATCAAAACACATGCAACATCGACCTATTTTAGCTACTAAAATATTTTGTCTCTTTCTCGCCGCTAAATTCTTAATTTGAAAGGAAGTGAAAACAATAGGTTTATGGGGAAAATTGTGTATAATGAGTAAAATATCATTATAACTTATCTATGGCCTTCTTGAGAATGAGATAACGACGCCGATTTATTTTTAAAATTATTAAACGTCTAACAAACCTATTTCAGTTTCAAATGTTTCGTCTCTTTCATACAAGGTTAATTTTTAACTTAAAAGAAAGAAATAAGCTAGAATCGAGAAACACTTTTGAGATATCGTCACCAATGTAAAAAGTCTAGACTTATTTTGGCTATTGCAATGCGTAGTCTCTTTCTTTTGAGCCAATATCCTAACTTGATAGAAAGGGACAAAACAATGTTTTCAACAGGATTTTTGTAGAGTTACGTCCTAATAAATAGCATAGTATTTTTTTAATAGTGCTATATAAAAGTAAAATCGAAGATAAAATATGTAATAGGTATTGGGCGTTACAATTAACGTTTTAAGAGGGTTCTTTTTTTGTGTTGAAACTGGCAATGTATTTGTTTTCTGTCAATATTCAAACATATCTGCACAATTTTATTGTTAAAAGTTTCGTAAGCACACATTATACATATTTTAATGCAATAAATACCGATTAATTTACGTGTAATTGGATAGAGAAAGCTTGACTAGTTTCGGAACTGTTCAGCGGGCCAAGGCGCGCAGTCAGTCTCGCGCTCGCGTCACAGCCGCTCATGATTAAGGGTCCCGAGTGGTCTCTAAACTAGTCGAGCTTTCTCGATCTAATTACACGTAAGTTAAACCGATAGTTATTACATTAAAATATTTGAACAATTTCAAATAATTTTCAGTGATAATTTAGAAAGTGCTTTTACGGTTTTTTTAAGATTATTATGAAATTGTCTTTGAAATTTTGATAACAGATGTATTTTGAATGATATTACATTTGCGTGTGCAATAATTGAAATTTTTAGTGATAGTTTTTATCTAAAATGTGTTTCTTTAAATAATCATTTAAAAAAAAATATTTGTATTGCCTATGAAATTTGTCATACAATACTGCCTTGATAACATTTGGTTTGAACCACTTTAAACAAAGGTGTAAATTAAAGTATTTATATCGCAATATGATTATCATTGTCTAATATACAATTAATATTTCAATGCCTTTTTTAATGTGAATATTCATAACTGTTATGATTATTTAACATGAGTTTTGAAAGTACATATAATTTGGATGTATCTATTAGTTTTACTACTAGTTAGTTAAACTCCAAATGATATAAAATTGATTGATTAACAAAATTACATTTATAAATTTAATATTGAAATTTCATACATTTGGGCCTGCATACCTATGTATTATCACTAATAGACTGTAACCTTAGACCTTAATTCCTAAACAAGTAGCAAACAAATCTGTGCTGAATATAATTTCATCAATGCACACATGAGAAAGGGTGAAATAATGGAGGTAGCCATCTCGCTCTATCTCACAGACTCCGTAGCGATAACATATGTTTCCACAGATTCGTTTGTTACTTCGTTAAGAGGTCTCTATTGACTATGGAAAGCCATTTATTCAATAGATAACGACTGAAGTTTAAGATATATGTCATTTTTTGTGGTTTCTTTTATGATACAAAAACTACACATATTGTGTTGCATGCTACGCAACATGTTGCAGTTTGCAATCGATTCTTATCTAGTGAATATACGGATTTAGAATTCAAATTTATAACATTTCACATATACGGTATAGATCTGTGTGGGTAGAGTTTAAAATATTGAAAGAACAAAATAATATTGCGTATACCAGTACACATATGTGCGCGGCGCGTTGTCGTGTAGAGTCTATGCGCGAATGTGTGCATATTGCGTGCGCATGCTTACGTCCGCGTACGCGTGCGATGGGCGGCGTCCGCGTGTGCCGCGTGTGCCGCGTGCGCCTACGAGAGGCGGCAGTCTCAGGAGCGCGCGTGCGTCGCGGCGGGCGGTGGCCGTCAGAAGTATATGACCTCTTCCTCGGGCGCGGCCGCCGCCGTCGCCACCGGGGTTGTCTCCGGCGACCGAACGCGAAATTTCTCCGGTAACTTCGGGTATGTATTTGTTCTGGACACAAAAACAAATACATTACGTGTATAGTTTATTTGTTTGAACACACTAATCTTAATAATCTTATAAAAAAGTTTTTTTCTGGAACTACCAGAAAAAAAACTTTTTATACTTGACAATTCATTCCTTGATAAGGTTAAGATAGGTTATTCAACATTAAGACGAAACAACGGGTAAAGCCGCAAAATACAGCTAATAGCGTATAAAAAATCCTACTGTAATTTTTGTATTAATTTATCAAAATACAATCATCAAAATCGAGTAATCATTAGATAACGTAAACTTCTTTTTTTGGATTCTATTAAAATTATAATAATAAATGAAGAAAAAGAAAAGGCTAGAACCAAATCGTACATAAGTATAAAAATACAGATTTTGAAAATGCAAGCCAAATATCTAATAAAGATTCTATAGTACAATGAAACACTTATATACACTTATTTTAGTTTTGTTTTGGGATGGAAATGGTATGGTAACCCCGCCTGTGATATTCCTATACGCTGGCGGGGCACCACTGAGGGTTGATAGGGTACTCACCTAGTAGCCTTATTATTAATTTGTTGCTGTGAGGGGAGAGGGGCGGGCGAGCTCCCTGTACGCGTGTGTTGGATAACCAAGCCTGGAGTTGACTGGAAAAAAAAAACGATTATTTCATTATTATTATTCTGTAATAAAAAAAATGCAAACCAATAGTTGTGACTTTAAATCATTAATTCGACACAAAAAGTATAACCAACTATACATTTTCAAAGATTAGCATTAAATTGTTTAATGCAACTTAAAATGGCAAACAAGCTGACGGCCCACCTGATGGAAAGTGATTACCTAAAGACATGAGTATTTACATAGTACATTTTAAACTCTATCTTATATTTATTAGTAGTATTTACTACAATATTAAAAAAAAATATATCTAATTTTAGGAAAATATAATAAAGCGACAGTAAAATTCAAAGTTATTAAATCTAGTTAAAACTCTTTGGACCGGCCAAGAAAAAACGCGAGTCTCTAGCTTATTTGCCTAGTTGTAAAAAAAAATAGAAAAAAAAAAGTATGAAGTACAGTCCGAACATAATTCCCAAAAAAAAAATACAATGAGTTCGATATTTAAATTTTACTTTTTAATTAACGATTGTGCGTTATAATTTAACACAGCTACTTGTATAGTTTAAAATTATAAGCACTAATGTAAGAATTATTAGTAAACTAAAAAAAAATAATACATGCTCTAACATCAACAGCGGAACAGACAAAATGGTTGTCACATTACAATTTCTACTTGTAGGCTTCCATTTATCTGTAATAAAAGGTATTTATGTTCCCGCGATAAATTTGAAAAAAGAACCCGGAAATATCTATTTATCATAGAAAAAAGATTATACCTACTGTCAATTTATCTGTGTGTTTAAAAGTGGTTGTTGTTGTGGTTGGTTGATTTTAAAGTAAACGTGTTGTGAAATATGTCATAGAAAAAAATAGTAAAGAAAACAATTCGCCCGATGCAAAGTATCCACTCTTATTGTACTATTGCACGTTGCTTAAAAACTAACTAACAGAAGCAAAACGTGTCACATTAGGTTACTAATGGTGGAGTAATTTTAATCAAATTAAAATTCAATAATAAGGTATTAAGCGGGCAGCCAGTGCCATGCAGCGTTATCTCGCACATAGCATCAAAACGATCCTAGAATATATGTCACTATCAATTTTTAATCGACTTCGAAAAGAAGGAGGTTCTCATTTCGGTTATTGAAAAATTCTTTTTTTTATTTGAAAGGAAATGCTTACAGATTGCATAGACTCCCATAGAGGTTTTATCAAAATCGATTGAGTAGTTTAGTTTTTTAAAACAAAACTGATTTTGTCCATTGATATATATATATATATATTGTGGAACATCGTTTAATTATTTTAATTCCGTGTTGAACGAAGTGTTTTAAACATAATATGCCCTCAAATGTATGTGCTAATACAAAAATAAATTACACTGTTAGATAGGATCTTAAGATTTTAACGGCGTTTTAACTACACATTTAGAAAGGTTGAATAGTTTAAGATAAAGAATATAAATAAATAAAAATAAATAATCAAAGACAACTAACAGATATTATATACTAAATTACTATTATTATTTAATCCGCCATCGAGCATCTCTGCCATTTAATTTTTAAAACAAAATTACAATTTTAATACGTACTTAATAACAGAGAAAAAAAACTTTTGAAGTTGGTATTAAAAGAAACAAAAAAATTCGTTTTACTCAAATAAACTTAGATTTAAGCATTTCGAACAATCAACTTTTTTCATTAAAAACAGGAAAGCAAAGAGTGAAATTGGTAGAAGGACTTTAAAAAAACAAATTGTCAGTAATGGAAGGGCTTACAAGTACAAATGAGAAGGCACAACAGCAAATTTGGAAGAACGATCTACTCGGACACAACCGCCACTACCGGTTACTTACAGTAACTAACAATTTTGGCCAATTAAAATACGTTCGGATACTCGGACTCCTGGAAAATTCAATCAACCATTTGATCTGTTTTTTGTTACGCCATTTCGATTATTTAAGAACATTCTTACTTTAGCTTTCCGAAGTATTTTTTTTAAAGACACAACTCCTTGTGTCTTTTAAAAAAAAATAATAACGTTTTTCAATGTCTCTGATTTATTATTATTTTTTAAAATGCTCTGCTACCGAATATTCTTATTAATCTGTCAATAAAAATGTTTGCTAAAAAAGACGGTAAGTATACATATGTTAAAATAGGTATAAGTCCACATATTTTGCTATAATCATTTTGGTTGAAATCCATCCACTTCTGGAAATAGGCCTCCCCTATAGACTGCCATAAGAAACGGTCCTGAGCCACCTGCATCCACTGACTTCCTGCAATGCATTTGAGGTCGTCACTCCATCTAGTAGGGAGCTCGGCCTACACTGTGTTTGCCCGTACGGTATCGCCACTCAAGAACCTTTCGTCCCTATCGGTTGTGGGTTCTTCGAGCTATATGACTAGCCCATTTGCCACTTCAACTTGCTTATCTATCCTTCGGGCTATATCGGTTACTTTGATTCTCTTGCTATAATTATGCTAAAATAATTCGAAAAATCCCAAACAAAATATGAAGTGGATGCAAATTTTCCAATGGTGGTAGATTTATATGCAACTTATTCAATGATGAACGTTATAGTTCTTTAGCAGAGAACTTTTTTTAATAATGAATCAAAAATATTTATAAAAATTATTCAATTGTATTCCAAAATTGCAACGTTGCTACTAGAGATGGGTATTAATTTTTTTTACCCTATCCCCTTTGGCCGCAACAGATTATCAGTGCTTTGCTCTTTTGAGGGCGAAACAATAAACTGAGTTGTGACCATTTTGTATTGGTATAGCACACGAACAAAAAAAAAAATTGTACTTGGTTTTTGTATTTTTTTAATCATTTATGTTATCTCGCTTTTTATGTATATCTATATATGTTATAATTTATGTACTGTAAGTAATGCAAATAAATTATCTATCTACAACAGACTTTTAAAATATTCGAAAATAGATATCCGACCGATATGCGCGACATCGAAATTGGTGATAAATATAATATCTATCTATCTAAATATTCCTAATATACAATTTTTTTTTGTAAGAAATTGTGGAATGTGTGTACAAAGTATGTTTATTATTATTATTACGCTCCTCTTAAGAAAACCATTTTTAACTGAAAATCATATTGCGTTTCACTGCAATTCGAAGTTAAATCGAATAAAAAATTAGAAAGTGTATTGGGTACGAATCTCTTCGTCCAAAAGAGGGACAATATGCAAACTTACTATTAACATACTGGCCAATAGAAAGGATACATATAATAGACTCTATTTATAATAAAATAAAGTTCAATATGACCTTACCTCGCAAGGCGACTCGTGTAGCCTGTGATAGCCAGGCGGCGGTTGCTGCTGACTCTTGCCGCTCGCTAGCTTCAGTGGCAGCTGTTGTTTCACCATTTGCTGTAATATTACACGATACGTGATATTACTGGGTACTATATATACACATATATATATATATATATATATATATATATATATATATATATATATATATACATGTATATATATATATATATATATATATATATATATATATATATATATATATATATATATATAGTAGTATATTTCAAGATCTTTAAATCACAATATACGAATGACGTATATTAGTAAGTAATACCATGCTAGATACCATAATAGTTGAGCATTATTGACTTTTATGACACAAAAACAAAATGGCTAAATACTCTATTTGCAAACTATATAAATATAAGGATTGATAGAACTTGAATAAACAGATCAATTATTTGTTATAATGATGTGTCATTAAAATTGTTACATTATTATATAGTTATTGATTCATAATTTGACTTAAGGAACATAGTAATATGTCACAATTGTGCAAAGTTTTCTCTGTGTATACATGTTTTTAAATTATAATAAATTTCATAAATGGAATGGATGGATAGTATTTAAATGTAAGTTAATCTAGAATTAAGAAGTTTGGAAATAGAGTATGACAAGCACAAGTGTGAAGTGTGAGGTATGTGCGTTAAGAGTGTGTGCGATGCGAGTGTGATCATGAGTATGAGGTGTCAATGTTAAGTGTCAGTGTAAAATATGAAGCGTGAGTGTGAATTTGAATTGTGAATGTAAGTGTATGAACGAGTGCGTGTATGTGTACGTGTGCGAGTACGCTTATCTGGCTTTATATATATATATATATATATATATCTGTATCTGTTATAATCTGTGTGCTGTAAGTAGTGCAAATAAATTATCTATGTATGTACGTGTGCGTGTACGTGTGCGTGCGTGCGTGCGTGCGTGCGTGCGTGCGTGCGTGCACGTGCACGTACCGAGATGGCGGGCGCGCGTGCGCCGGCGCGCGTCTCGTTGTGCGCGGAGAGCAGCTGCGGCGGCGGCAGCGCGCCCGCCGCGCCCGCGCACCCGCCCGCGCCCCCGCCGCACTCCGACCCGCTCGAGCCGCGCCCGCCTGCGCAACCACAACCACAACCACAACCACATTACTCGCTGCCCACGGCCCACGTGGCCTCTACGACATCTACACGGTGCCTCGCCTTCAAACCAGTACCATACTCGACTTATTTATTATTACAATTTTATTTATTAAAAAATCCTTCCAAACATATCCCATTATTCAGAGTCGTCCCAGAGTGTTTTTACGCTCAATTACAACTTTCTATTACTCCTGTTCTAATAACTTTACATGTCGCACGACAAACATTATTAAGACTATAAACAAAACACAGTTTTTATATTTTCCCTATATACACATTCAAAATGATCATATTTTTTTATAACACGTGCCATAATACTGCTAGAAGTTAATCCCAAAGAGGGAACAACCTTGCGCGTAGAAGAAAGTGCCTTCAAAAAGACACGGTGAAAAACCGCCACTCATCCAGATGGTTGGAGTAAAATTTTAGTTTTAAAATTTTGTGGCAGCTTGTACGGTAGTAAAAATTAAACCGAACATTATATATATATATATATATATATATATATATATATATATATATATAACCTCTTTTATAAATACATAGCCATATAAGAATACATTTCTTTTTGACATTAATCACTCACTTCTCCATTTAGGCTCTTTTCGCCGCGTGGTGTCGCTGATACTAGAGTCTGGTGACAATGTGCCTACGGTCGACAGCTCCTCCTGAGACCCGCCTGTGAAAATCATTAGTACTATATATTTTTAATTTTAAACAAGAAGTTAAAACTTCTTCATATCAGCCTTAAACCGTCCACTGCTGAACATAAGCCTCTCCATTGGGGGGGTTCTGCCAATAATTGCCATGCTTGGTAAGCGAATTAGCAACCGCAGTTAGCCTCTAAAGATGTTTTAAGAGGAAGCTGCTGCCCCTTCCTCACCCACCCTTAGCCGCCTCTTATCATAACCACGGGTAAGGAAAGGATAACCTATTCTATGCAGGGACCACACAGATCTTGACTTCTTAAACTCATTATACTACCGATCCGATACAGATTCGCACGAGTAGACAGGATTTTCGAAAATACAATTAATTGAAAATTTCGAAAACATATAATAAAAAAATTTCAGTCAATTCAACTAATCGGTTATTTTATAACATTTTAAATATGATTCTTTAGATTGATCTAACTTTTTTATTTATGAACCGATTAAGATAATACAAATACTAAATATTAAGCGGAGCAAACCGCAATGCTTTAGTGAAAACCGAATTTAAATCGGTTAAGCTGTTTCTTTAGATTAGCGTGCACAAACGTACAGACAAACAGACAATACGTACCATGTTGCTGCAGTCTCTCCAGCCGTCGATATAACCGTTCCCTCTGTTGTTCCACATCCTTCTGTTGCTCTGCTAACTCTTCCCGCGCTGCTTGCAACTGGCGTCTTTCTGTAATAAACGTTTACTATTTAAAAATTTATTAAAATTGTTGAGTATCAACAATTTTCTTTAGTGTCGTATTCAGTGTGCTCTCAGTTATTGTTATCGTCGTCTTCGGATAATTGCCGCAACATTACCTAAATGTGCTGTTTTATATGATAACATATACTCGATGAACAATCTGTGTTGACAACTGTGATTCAAGATAAATTAAGAATCCAATATTAGATCGCCGAATATACGCGATTAAACAGGAAGTTAGTTGAATGTTGCGGCAGCCGCGCGTGCATGTCACGCGTGTGCCGTGTATGTGCAGTGTGTGTGCCGCGTGTGTGCCGTGCGTGTGTCGTGCGGCGCGTGCGTACCGAGCGCGATGGCGGCGTGGTCGGCGGCGCGCTGCGCCTCCCAGGCGGCGCGGTCGTGCGTGAGGCGCGCCTGCGCGTGCCGCAGCTCCTCCAGCTGCGCGTCGTGCGTGCGCGCCGCTGACCCGCCGCTCATGCGCCACGCGCACACTTGCGCCTCCAGGCTGACAGACAAATACAAACACTGAAGTCATACACGCACACTCTACAATGCCGCGGACCGAATACTACTGTAAAATCCTTCTCTGCCCCGCTACACTAATTATATGGGCTAGAGTGCCACACACGAAGTAGTGAGGTGGAGTCCTTTTTCCTCTCCCACTACACTAACTAAATAGTGATACACAGGAAGTAGTGTATTGCAACCCTCCTCTTCCTCGTTCCACTATATATTATCTACACTCGCTAAAAAACTCCGTGCACGACTACGTGCGTGAAGTATGGGTGAACATTTTCCTTTTCTACTACACTCTCTAGTCACTAAAGTGTAAGTATAACAACGAAGCCATTTCCTGACCCACTATGCTGCGTAAGACGCGGTACTGTCTCTTTAATAGTATGTCGGAATCTTTCCCTTTCCAATTCCAATCTCCTTTACAATTTTATTTCCCATTAAAAGATTCTTATTTAAACGTAATTTATGAATTCATAAACCCAATTAAAATATGTAACATTTTTTACAAGATTCAAAATACCTTATATTTTTAATTCGTCATCTCTAAATTATATTAATCAATAAAGTTAACAATATAAAAAAAATGATACGATGAATTTTAAAACCAAATCAAAGGAATATCTGAACGCATACCTGTGTATTGTGGTAAGTTGTTGCCACACGATGCACGTCAGTGTGTACATGGCATGCTGCAACTTCAGCGCCGCGTCGCCGCCGATTTGTTCCACGAGCCGCGGCTCGGCGCCCACGGCGTCGCTGTTCACTTGCTCGCTCTCCGTCTCGGTGGGGGTGTCGGTCGACATGCGGAGAGTTACGCCTGATACAACATTAGAAAGTACTTATGTACTTATATAAGAGTTAATTAAAAATATCAATTGCAAATGTGTGCTTCCGTTTCTTAGACTGTTAACCAGATTTTAAATTTTATAAATAAAACTTTTTAATACTAGAAAGAGTACAGTTGACGTGTAAGTGTGAATAATGGACAGCAAGTTTTTTTTTTTTTTTTATTGGACAATAATGGAACGGTAACTCCGCTGCGTTAACGGTATATATTGGCGGGGTAACAGTTAAGGATGATTGGTGAGAATGGAAATAGAGAGCAGGATGGAGAGGTGCTTTTTGAAAACAGGAGAAATGGAAGAATGCTATGTGGAAAATAAAGGAAGAGTGCAGAGAAGTGCAAGTGTAGAGTGAAATAAGATGGAAGGTGAAGTGTTTTTTTTCAATGGGCGATAATGGAATGGTAGTGTCGCCTGCGCTAACGGTATACACGGGCGGGGCACTGATGAGGGATGCTAAGTGAGGATGAAAAGACAGGTTTTTTTTTATACAACTTAGAATGGCAAACAAGCTGACGGCCCATCTGATGGAAAGTGCTAACCGTTGCCTATAGACATGAGCAGTACCATGGACATAACAAAGTATACTGTTTCGCCCATGCGTTGCCATTCCTGAGGACTCAGGTGTTAATCCTCCGTACCCAGTAAATTCACGCCATATCCTACCATTCAAACCGAAACACAACTGCTTCACGGTTGAAACACGAATGGGACAGCCAAGCAGTCGACTTTTGTACAAAGTCCCCCTCTGGTAGGTGAGTTAGGTGATCGGTAGGATTTCAGCACAATATTTTTCAGGGGCAGCAGGTGTAGGTGTGGTGTATCGTAGTGCGTGTGAGTGCGTGCGAGTGCGTGCGAGTGCGTGCGAGTGCGTGCGTACCGCGGTGCTTGGAGGCGTCGAAGCCGGCGAAGGTGTCGGCGCGGCGCGGCAGCGCGGGGCTCTCGTAGGCGGCGGAGTGGCGCTCGCCGGCCGAGCTGGTGCTGCGGCCCAGCGCGCCGCCCGCCGCCCAGCCGCCCGCCGCCGCCTCCAGCGCCGCCTGCGCACCACCGCCACCCTCATAACCACTGCTGGCCTCCAAGGAAACCCGAACACGTAGCTACCGATTAATCGCGCTTAGCTCCACAACTATCGCGACTTGATACACTATATTGCTAACGAGCAGTTACAAACTTCCACTTACTAACAATCCCGCCTCCCTTCGCGACATAATTACACTGTAATCTAAACAACTTTTACCACCTATCATACAATAGAAAAACTACTCGTCTAGTAAGGATTTCTAATAATATCCTCATTAATAATTCCTTATTCAGTTTCGATGAGCCAATTATCGTGACTTCTTTGTTTTTACATATAATACATCACTAATTATACAATACCTACTTGTACAACAATTAGTCCATTACCCTAAAGTTGCCTTGAAAAGACTGCTTTCAGCAATAAAGCCTTACTGTACTTATACAATTGTATCGTTATATCTATTAATTGTCTTGTTTTTCCCCTATATCGTACAATGCAAATAAACTGATTTAAACAGAATACATTCAGAACTGTCGTATGATCGTTCGAGACATACCAAAGGCATTGGTTGAAACACTAGTTATTGGTTACACCGTAGATATACAATCGTTTGTTTAAATTTAAACTTTCATTTAATTTCTAACAAACGATTAACACTCCCATATTCAAATACACAATATACATAACATCGTATATTTTGTGGCAAGTACTACTAAACAAGAGCAAAATACCATTAGCAATGGAATCTAGCAACCTTAATATACCCTGTCAGGTGACCACGTAAAGTGGTTCCCCTGAAAACTATTATTTTAATTGATTAGTCGATTAGAATTATTTTAATTCCGCTGCCAATTAGTGTTTTCTTTTATACCACTGAGGTAGTAAACAAGCATACGGCCCACTTGATGGTAAGTGGTTACCGTAGCCTATGAACACCTGCAATACCAGAGGTATTACGCGTGCGTTGCCGACCCTGAAGAAACCTCTTTACCCCCCTTTTGAAGAACCCCATGCTATAGTCTCTTGGGAAAATCTCGACAGGGAGCTCATTCCACAATCTGAGTGTTCGTAGGAGGAAACATACTTTTGATTTATACATAAGTTTGGCGTCCAAACTGCGAAATTTACGAACACTAGGCTTCCAGCAACAATCTATTAATTTACCTGAAGATGCCTCGCTTAGTCGTGTCGCAACATGTGCGTTGACAGAATAACGGTCGGAGATTGATATTATCATGATAATTAACCATGTTAATTCTAGGTAAATTCGTCATGCACCATTCCTATCATCTCTCACTTCACTATCATATATCAATAATTTAGACAAAACAACCACTTCCGTGCCAACTCTTCAAAATTAGTAATTATTATACTCGGTGCTATATCGCTATAAAATAAAGCAATATAATGGAAGGATATAAGGGGCAGTGTACCTTAACAACACGGCAAACCTCCTGCCAGAGGGCGTGCGTATCGGCTGAGGGCGCCGATAGTCGCACGTAGTCCGGAAACACCAGTCCACCCGGGAATACAGTGTTTATACCTGATGGGTTAAATCATTATAATAATCGGTTTATTTATGGGTATTTTCATGGAAAAAATTAAAACCGTAAAGTCTATAACTACAAACACTCCCATCTTTATAATATCTATAGTATTGTAAGAAATTAAAGCGAGTAAATTCAATTTTATAATAATAAATTTGTCCTTGAACTACGTAACAAATCTATCTCGACTGCACGTATGAGGATAAGCGAGATAAAAGATAATTGACGTTCATAAAAGATCAGTTGCTAATACTGCAATATGCATTTTTGATATAAAAAAAATCTTAATTTTGTTTTTATAGAACGACTTAAAAATTCTGTTTTTTTGTTTGTTTGTATAATAATTATCACCTTCCTACCCAATTATTATTTAGGGTCGGCGTAATATGTTTTTTATCCATATTACAAAACGATTTGTCGTATAGTTTTACGACCATACGCCTGCCTGACGTCAATCCTCTTTGGGAATGCATTTTTGGTGCTTTCCGCCACTTAGGGTATGGAGAAAAGGATTAAGGAAAAAGGAAGGGAACGTTGGAAATGCGTAAAGGAAATTAGTATATAAAAGGAATTATGTGGGAAAAGAAAGTGGGAACTAGTAATCAAGGACAGTATATTCTGATTTACCTGTATTTGGCACATCGAGCGTAGACGACCCCGTATGCCCGACCATCTTCATATGAAGCATCATCTTGTCTTCAAGCAACGTTGCGTGCTCTTTGTCCTTGGCTCTCAGCGCCTCTACATAGACAAAAAAAATACATATTTTTAACAGAATAAAAAAAATATGTTCCAAATTCAAATTCTTTTTCGTTCTATATGTACATTACGACAAATTTTTAACCAATTTATGACCTCTCGCGTTCTTAGCGTACTCATTTTGTCAAAAATGTAAACATGACTTTTTCTTATTTTTTTTTTTAAATAATGAACTTAAAGCTGCTTTGTATTTATTTATGTCTCTTACACATAATATATTTTATAGTGTAACAAACGCGAGATACTTGGACAATACATATTATGCCACTACTTATGGCATTTCTCATATTTATTACGACATTATTTTACACATTAGATCAGAACAACCACATAGATATCATTGAGAAATAAAATATAATATATACTGATTTTTAAACATTAATACTTCAAACATATGAAGAGGGAAACTACACATATAGCTACATATAATAAAATAAAAATATATAAATATAAAAAATAAAAAATTATAAAATAAACACATAGAATTGTGATAATCAAGAACAGTTCCATTCATGTTAATTTATTGACACAGAAAATACAAAACTTGCCAATTCAAGTTTTGTTTGAAAAGAATAATAGTATTTTATTAATAGATTAAAAAAAATACGTGTCATAAAAGTCTGTAATTTTTTATTTTGACATTATTAGTGTCAATTTAGATTTCTGAATAACTCTTCGGTGATGGAAAACTACATTAAAAATCAAATCAATCTGAGTGAAGGCGGTAGGCTCGCTCCCTGTTATTTTGAATCCTATATTCTCAGACAATATATGAGCTTTATTGAATCGAACAAAAAAATATGTTTTGCTTAAAAAATACTTGTATGTACCTAGTAATAATTGTAAATAATCGTAACAAAGTTGAAAGGATAATAAATGTCGTGAGTCGTACTGTATAGTAATTATTTCTGTGGGCATTACTTACAGTTTAAATTCGAGGATCCCCGACTAGTTTCGAACTCAGTAGGAGCCCTTATAGGTTGGCATCCCCGATTTTAAAACGTGAGTAAAGCCGACATACAGAATTACAATATTGTTGAAAGGACAATTAAAAGGTCGAATTACATGCTCGCATGCAAACATACACCTACAATATCAACGACATAACGTTAGTCACCTTCTATTTGCCACCATGGAGTATCATCTGTTTAGAGAAAATTAACTTTTACTGGGACGATAACATTGCACTTTCATATTTAACGCAAAGGGGTTAAAACAGTACGGATGAAGTGAAGGGGCAAAGATAGAATTTTATACAATATCAAGTCAAGCAAGTGTTCTATTAAGTATGTATTAAGTATCAAGAAGAAAAGCTACTGAAAAATTATTTATATAAATACCTATTACCTAATTTTCCACATGAATACATTATTTTGCCATTTCTTTCTTCCTTAGTTTGTCGTAAAAGGCAACTAATGATAGTTTCATTAACACAATACCCCTATGCAGGAGAAGGGAAACTTGAAATGAATTATAATTAACAAAATGAATCTTATGTTGTCTGAATAAATAAATATTATTATTATAATATCAAACCATCTGGCCAGTGTCATAATAAAAGGCTATACCCTCTACTTATGGATAGAGCGATAATAGATTATTACACAAGGAAGAATATTGTTCTAAACATAAATTAATAACTTCATTGCTAATAATATCAATTCAGTTAATTCGACATTCACACTTTTAAAAGCGGTTCCCCTTGAAAACTATAATAGTTAAATACTGGTGAATAGATCATGATGGGTTAACCAACCTAACTCACCAAGGGAAAAGTTAGTAATGGGTGTGAAAGCCCCATTACCAGCAATATACCAACAATTAGGTCGACATCCTCATGGTTTCCCTTAAAAACCATCATGGTTAATTTCTGTTGAATTCGTCACAATAGGCCAAATTATCTACTTTCATCTTTATTACCCAATAGATTACCTGTGATCAGTCTTATATTCTCATGCCTCGCCTCTAGCTGTCTCTGTCTCTCCTCAGCGGACACAGCCAGCGCTCCCGCTTCCGCCTCTTCTACATCCTCGGGACAATTTTGTACTGCGGCCCTGTTGGCGAATAATAATAATAATTTATCTGTCTGCTAAGAATGAAAAGAGAAAAGTCAAGGAGTAAAGGGAGAAAGAAAAAACCGTAAAAGAGTATAATCGATAATAGAAGTTGTATCTGCATATTGCTTTAGAACACAAACACAAAGAATAAAATTTGTTAAAAAATAGTAAGCTTGTGTTTCTCAAAATTCAGCAAGTATGATCAACATTTTCGGCATGACATGGGAAATTGGGTTGCTATAACAATGGTTTGTCCTAAGGTAACTATCAGTTTATTTGGTTTGACATATAAACTAAACAAGTTGTTGTTTAAATAAGAGCTAAAAGGAGTTTTTGATATTATTATGTCATTGCCTTTATGATTATATGTGGAGTACCCTCATTTATGTGACGAGTACATGAAGGCCTCTTGTGTATATTTGTCTATAATAGTAATAACTGTCTTTATTCTATTTATGTCTATTAAAACACATTAAGTCAGGTGTACTAGCCACCGAACTAGGCTGAGCCTGTATCTCAGTGGATAGTTAAATAACTTCCTTTGACTTAAACATTTGTAAAAGATGTTACAATATCGAATATAAACACACTCAAATTGTAGTGTATGTAAAGAGAATGTGATAACAGTGTATATGTAACAGCTATTTAATGGGCAAGTGTATGTATGTGGGTATGTACGTGGGTGTTGGCGCACCTGATGGCCTGTATCCAGACGTGTATGTCCTTGGGCCGGTGAACGCGCAGCTCGAACATCTCGGGCTCGGAAGGCCCGCTGCAGATCAAGTACAGGCCGCGGCCCTCCGCGCCAGCCTTCTCGCGCACCAGCAGTTTCACCAGCGACACCACGCCCGTCTGTACAACAAAATCACCACAATGTAAAGAATTATTTTCTACCAGGCTTACCAAGCACATCTTGCCTAAGCTATTATGAACATGTTGGACTACTAGTTGTGCCTTACTCTGTGATATTACATAAAGTAATATCATAAAAAGCTTATCATTCCAACAAGTTACATGTAATTTAAATATCATATTATCAATATGAATAATTATTGTTTAATAGATTTCGTCCTTCAGCTACAGTAACCTTTTTTAATAAAGTGGGTTGTATACTTGTTTATTTCCTCAGTGTTATAAAAATAGACATAAACCTGTATGTTATCAAAATATGAAAATTTCTATATGGTCCTTTGAGCCGGATTAAAACTAAACTATGTTTGCAACAACGTACTCGTGACCAGGACATACCAAACGATTGATTGAAGCATCAAATTAACATATTAAAAATCAAACTTACTTTTACTATTAAGTAAACATAGTATTATTATATTTACTATTACTTAATGTAATATTATTATTTACCTTATTGTCAGGCGTATAAAAAGTGTACTTGTTGTTGTTGTCGTGCAGAAAAAACAGTACGTCTGTTAGCACGACAACGAATAGCGTCTGCATCTTACTGCGGCCTTGCATGAGTGTTGCCACACCTTCAAACCTAGAATTACATTAAGTGTATGAATATATTATTACGAACAATCAAGCAATAAAGGTAAATAAGGTGTTATAGATTATACTAAGGAAGGTGTCTATTAATTAGGTAAACTAAAAGTGAGTGGAAGGTAGAGATTTGACAAAATGTAATCAAATTTCAGTTCAACTTATTATTGTGTTCATATTTCGATGAATTAAATAAAAAAAAAATGCATAAGACACATCTGCTCAAATTAATAAATCTCGATATAGAACTGAATGAAGATTTTAAATATAATTATATCAGGTGTTTTTTATCGTCGTGATATTTATTAAATCGTCATGGAATCGAAAGTAAAATGCGCCTCATTACTTGTATATTTTTATATTTAAAAAATTTATCACAATGAACCAACAAATCTAATTTCACCTCACCTATCACCTTATTCCTTACTCGTACGCAATCTGCGTAAAGCAACAGTGCAGGCGAGTTTGCCATAAAGTTTTCATCTAAACAATCACTATTGCCTATAAATGTATACACAATTTACTTACATTAAACTCCTATTCCCTTGCAGTATATCACTCTTTTTGAATTTGCGTCCACGAAAGTTGGCGAACGACTTAGCGTCTATCCTGTGGTATATCTCGAGTTTGCGGTCTTCCCTCTCTTTAGCTGCCACTTGGTTGTCTACGTCGACAAGGATTTCCTGGACACAGGAGTGTAACAAATTAATAACTGAAACATTCCAGACTATTTCCTCTACTAAGGTATTTGCGACAACAAAACAAAAAATCCCGGCAATTATGAGTAATCTTTTTTTTTTATTCAATTTAGAATGGCAAACAAGCTGACGGCCCACCTGATAGAAAGTGGTAACCGTCGCCTATAGACATGAGCAGTACCATGGACATATCAGAGTATACTGTTTCGCCCATGATACTCCCAAATTTTCAAAGAGAACTCTAGAGATATTCTGATGTTGTCACATTATACTCCACTAGATGATAATAGAATTCATCATTAATTGTGTGTTTAATAGAAAACTATTATATATCATGAGAACTGACAAAAACTTTTAGGATTAATATGATAATCATCATAATTTTAGCTATTAATAGTGCATCGCTGAACATAGACCAGACCACAGACTACTATAGAGGGTTTTCAACGATAATTTTGATGGCGTTTCATCCTGAGGATTTTTTTTTTTATACAATTTAGAATGGCAAACAAGCTAACGGTCCACCTGATGGAAAGTGGTAACCGTCGCCTATAGACATGAACAGTACCATGGACATAATACAGTATACTGTTTCGCACATGATATCCCCCATGCGTTGCCATTCCTGAGAACTCAGGTGTTATTCCTCTGTACCATGTCAATTCACGCCATATCCCATCCTTCAAACCGAAACACAGCCATGTAAACACAACTGCTTCACGGTAGAAACACGAATGGGACAGAGGTATACCATCACCATCTTTCTACCCTTATCCCATATAATATGTGTACGTACCTTGACTCCACACAGGGCCTTCTGTAATAGTTCTCTTTCGTTGGCGTCATCACCGGCCGTTTTCAATAAAGGCTCCAACAGTAGTGGATATTTTGTGAGTCTCTGCGCTACGAAGAGAACGCATTCTGGTACACCCTGTCAATAAAATATTTTTTTTTTTTTATAATTAGCAAAATGACTGTAAGATTATGATACGAAATCCTTTTCTTGAATTTACATTAAACAGATTATAAAAAAAAAGAAACAATAGACACATTTTAATGTTTTAATCTGGTTGCTCGAATCTTAGGAAACAAAAGATGTACGTGTAAGGATAGAGGTCTTTGACAATCGGTTCTCTTTGCCTACCCACAAGGGACTTGGCGTGAAGATAGATAGATATATAAAACCTTAAATAATCTAAGAAACATAACAATGAATTCAGAGCTTGTTTTGTACGGTTTCAAAAATATATAACAAATTACCAAATAAATTTAATGGAAGTATTCTATAATCTTTGCTAATATTTAAAAAATGCCAAATTCTATGATAGGCAACATAATGTAGTTTCTCAAGTAAATTTTTCTTAACAATATGGAGACTAGACTATCGGCTGCTTTTCACTCCTAGACTGAACAACAAAATATGCATAGATAAAAGTATAGGCTCAAGAACAAATTACTTTTTAAAAATAAAAAAAAAAAATAAAAACTTTCCTGTGAATGGTCCCATAGTTTTATACTATTATTATATAATCTATAACACGGTCGTACCTTTTTCCTTAACATCGGGTTCTGTTGACATTTGCGTATGAACCGCGCGAGCCGTGGTTCCCGCGTGCAGCACTCCTTGAATACCTCCACCGCGTCGCGGTGACGCGAACAGAATTCGCCTAAAAGATATAATAATAATAAATTCATATAAAAATAATTTAAGATGGCATACTGAAAATATTTTTTTCAAAATCACTGCGAACTACATACAGAATGTTTGTGATATTTGTTTTATTAGATTTCAGTATTGCAGTCACTGTTAGATTATGACAGATATCATTAACAAGTTGTTAGTGGCCTTGTCACAGCGAGTTACTCGCTGAGCTGAAACTAAGCAGTAACTACTGTTCACCGATTAACGAGTATTGTCAACCGAATCGCGAATAATGTTCAATGTGTAACAAGTACTGTCTATCGAGCGGGCACTGCTCACCAGGCCCACCAGTACCAAGTATGCTAGTAGACCGCGCAAACAATACGAGCAGCGAAAACTGTACATTGATCAGCGGGTACTGTCCATCACGCCGGTGTACTGCGAACTAGACGAATAACAGCAAGAGAGTACCTACCGTAGTAGATCATGCCCAACCGTACGTTTTTTTTTACTATATTTGCTGGTTGCAGTAGTATGTATTGACATGCGCATTGATGTGTTTGCGCTGATGTTACGGAAGGCAGGGCTTCTAGTGGCAAGAGTAGAGAGTACTTTACTAGTAGAGTACTACTAGTACAGTACTCTCTACTCGTGCCAGGAGTGAGGCGTATTTATCAGACAGATATAAATCACAAGTGTTTGAAGATAACAATTGTTCTTGTGATGTCATTATATCTGTTAAAAATATTATTTATTCAACCACTATTAACAATCAACATTTTCAGTATCCGATAACAGCTGGTCACTAACATAGCTTGAAATATTAGAACAGCCAATAAAAAAAGAAACAACTATTCTTGTCTTTGCTTTTTATAATATTGTCATAAGATAAAACGAGACACACCTAATATTTATTTGAAATAACCCAAAATTATAGGAAGTCGTTTTATAAGAAGAAATCCTCTACGAAAAACGAATTCTTTATTAAATCGTGTTATCTGTTATTTCGTTGATTAATCTATCTCGCTCATACCCATTTAATATACTGTTGCTAAAACGAGATGCACCTAGTATTATACTTAACCTCATACTTGTATGTTATTTCCTTCCTAATGGGCCGTGGTTGAAAAAAATAACACCTGTTATTTAATAACAGATATTGGTAGGTGTTATTATTGCGTAACAGTAACGACAGGTACTATGTTAGTCGTGTTACAAGGCGCGTGCAAGTAGTACTGACCGTAGGCGGCCTTGAGCTTGTTCATGTTGGGCGGCGCGAAGGTGTCGGCGAGGATGTCGGCGACGGAGGCGACGTGCGGCGCGGCCCGCTGGCGCGCGCGCAGGCGGCCCAGCAGCGCGCCGTGCAGCGCCCACAGCTCGTCCACGCGCGGGAACATGCGCGCCACCTGCGCCGCCGACACGCCCGGCAGCCGCACCATGCCCGACATGAACATCTGCGCACGCGCACGCCACCACCTCACTACACCACTACGTGTCACACCTTACCTCCTATACGTACTTAAATATTAAGTGCGCTCAGGAAACATAATCAACATAATCAATATTTTTATTAGGTATACTAACTGTAGTCAATTAACGTATAAAAAATCCGGATCGAAGGATCACAAAAATGTAAAAAAAAATTCTCAAGAAATTACTAAACCTTTTTGGAAGTATTATTGGTAGATTTTCGCAAAAATAGATAAAAAAAAATGTAAAGATAAAAAAATCTAATATCGGTAATACTTGAGTGTATTCAAGTAGCCTACTTACAACAGTTTAAATGTAATTACCTTCTGCATGAGCCGTATAGTGAGACAATGGTGTTTTTCGGTCAATATTAACTCATAAATGTGCTCTTGTCGTTTTGTCTCCCGCTCGCCAAGCGACCTGCAAATATAAATATATTATGTTCAACTATATCCTTTATACATACAATTATATACTTTATGCAATAAATACAATATTAATATTTATAAAAAGAATATAATAATTTGTATTTTCCTGTGTTCTCTCTTCGTTTTCCTTCGTCATTTTTTTTTCTGTTGTATGTTGTGTATGTTAAGTATGTGTATGTTATGTATATATTTAATTGTGTATATATTATATATGTATGTGTATGCATATATGTATATATGTTTGTATATGATAATATTTATATAATAGTGCGCCACCTACCCTTTGTCTTTTTCTCAATATCCTCTACCCAAAGGTTATCTGGAAGAGATTGCTTAGCGATAAGGCCGCCTTTTGCATCACTTCTCATTAATATTTACTGTATATGTTATTTCTCTTTTTACTTGGTGCAATAAAGTGTAAATAAAATAAATAAATAAACATGTATATATATGCGAATACATCTGGATATTGTATGTGGTCACGTGTGCGTGTGCGTGTGCGTGTGCGTGCGTGTGCGTGCGTGCATGCGTGCGTGCGTGCGTGCGTGCGTGCGCGCGCGCGTGCTCACTTGGCGAGGCCGCGCGGCGCGCCGGCGGCCCAGGTGTCGGGCTCGGCGGCGGCCAGCCCCAGCAGCGCGGCCTCCTCGCCCAGCTGCTCGGCCGACAGCTGCGCCTCCGCCCACTCCGCCGCGCACGCCTCGTCCGACGCGCTGCAAGTACACCGGACATAAATACTTTGGGAGGAAACGAAATGTTAATAATAGGGTCAAACTGACCCATCGTGAAACTATCGTGGTTAATTCTTGAATTAGTCACAATGAATTAATTGACCTGCTTTCATCCTCACCTATCATCCCTCTCTGGTGCTCCGCCAACGTGTACCGTTGGCACAAGCGTGATTACCATTCCATTGTCATCCATTAAGAAAACCATTTTAGGGGGAAAAGGAATTGTTAATAGTAAGCGTAAGCAGTTATACCCTTATCAAGTCAACCTCACTATTTCCACGCTGAATCTAAATAATGTATTAATCAACTATTTCCACGCTGATCAGACAGCTTGGTACAGTTTTATTAATATACCTCTTACGATTCTGGGGTAAAATAAAACGAGTGATTGCCACTTACTCAATCACTACCCCGATAGATAACGTAAATAACAATTAGCTGGAAGATAATTCTAAAGCTACTCACTTTAACTAAAATAAGAAACTCAATTCAAAAGCGACTCACTTGCTCTGATCATGCCTATGATCGGATCCATCCTTATCGTCATTGTATATATGACTCGTGCTGAAATAAAATTATACAAATGTTAGACAATGCATAAACTATAAATACTAGGCACACTCAAATATTATAAAATAACCTCGAAAACACTGGTTTACATGCCACCAATACAAGATGACAATTCAAACAAAACCAAGATGCTTATCCACATATATTTTTAACGGATGTTATGACGTAAACGGTGAAACAAATCTAGACTCCCTTACAGCTAATACATAAAGTTTCTTTTCGTTTGTCAAAGTCGTTTATCCTCTTTCCATTTTCAGCATATATTTGAACCATATTCATTTCAATTCCACAATGATTCGTACTTAGAATCCCTATTAAAATAACAATTATCATTTATTAAGGATAGCATTAGTAATAAAATACATTCGAGAGATTACACAAACTGGGACATGCCAGTGTATGTGCGAAACATACACACACTGTAACGCGTCAGTGTATATGTAAGAGATACAAACACTGGGACAGACCCGTGTATGTGCAAGATATACACACTAAGACAGGTCAGCGTATGTGCGAGATACGCACACTGGGACAGGCCAGTGTATGTGCGAGAGAAACACACACTGGGACAGGCCAATGTATGTGCGAGAGATACACATACTGCGACAGTTTAGCGTATGTGCGAGAGATACATATATTGCGACAGGTCAGCGTATGTGCGAGAGAAACACACACACTCGGACAGGTCAGTTTATGTGCGAGAAATATACATACTTGGAGAGCCCAGTGTATGTGTAAGAGATATACACAATGGAAAAGGGTCAATATATGCGTGACAGATACATAAAATGGTTCAAGCTAATGTCAACACACACGTGTTGTGTGTTTGCAAGTGATACATCTTATCGTTTTGTAGATGCCCCGATTATTAAATGGAGTTAATACTATGAATTAATTAATCATCATACCCGTCACTATAGATAATAATTATTAAATCCATATCCATACGGATAATTAGATATACACATAAATGGAACAGAAACAGCCATAATTTAAATGGTGGTGTTAATATTTGAACCACAAAAGTATATTTTATCATAATATAATATGATTACATAAATGTCTTTTTAATTTAAAGGGATATCAACCGACGAGTAGTTTGATAAATACATGACAATACTCAGAAATAAATTTTAATATATATTATTCATGGTGTTAATACCTTTTTTCTTCTTAAATAAATAAGATCCGATGGGGCTGTTCACAATAGATCATCTCTCTCAGATTTCTGATAAAATCTTATTACGATAAACTGATACAATTATTTAGCGCAAATACATTTATTATGTATTAAGGAATTCGTGGACCGATTAAATGTTAACATATGCGAAACACAAACAGGGTCAAAATTCATCCGACACAACAAATGAATCACAGAACATACAATTTTTTTACTTATAATAAATGTGAAATCATCGGTAATAATAGTAATAAGTGTTTTTCATTATAAGATAATTTATGACACATTTAAATTCAGCAAAGCCTAAATAATAAAAAGAAGCAATCAGAAAGACGTCACTGACACAATAATCTTATTTAAATAAAAAAAAGAGACCATGCAAATTTTGTTTAAAGGAAAAAATGCTATCGAAAACTCTGGGCTACAAAACTTTGACAGAGTTTAATAGAACAATTCACCTACATAATTGAAATGAAAAAAAAAATACAACGTAATACAACGTAATTTTGAAATAAATCGAGTCTATACAATAAATGGACTATCGAGGTATCAATTGTAGTACAAAATTAAAAAGCTAATTTTAGTTTTTATGAAGCTAACCAGATGTCGGTGTCAAAAAATAAATGTTTGAATTGGCAATTAAGAACAGTTTGTATGGAAAAAAAAAATTTTTTTTCTACAATATTTTTAACGGCTTTTACATTTTTCTGAGATTCTTTTTTTATTTTTCTCCACATTCTTGCTCAGGCATTAAATAAATACGTGTACTACAAAAAAATATAGCCGAATGAGTATTAAATAACCTATATCTAAAATCCATATTTAAAAATGTTATACCTATTGCCTTACTAATCCATTCATTGTACAGACAATATACAAGACAAATTCAGCGAAAAAACTGTTCATAAACCAAGTGCTACGACATCAATGTTTTCAAGAGAAAATTTTCTACCTACGTATAGAGAGAAAGATACACAAGTAAGGCATCGTGGATGATTCGAGAACGATCTAGAAGATTCTGTATCTGATGTATGATGGGCGAAACGATTTTATAATTTTTTTTTTTAAATAAGGTTACCTGCCTTATATCAATTATAAAAAAAAGTAATTGACAAAGTACATGACTCTTTGAGCCACAATCGTTTAAAATTCGAACATTTAACAACAATACAATTAGAATATTGTAGTCTGTTGTTTATCAATTAAATCTAAAATATATACATCTAATCCATTTTATACAATTCAACCTTTCTAACTTTCTGGAAATAAATTTTACGAAATTCTCAGACGCCTTAAAAACTAAAAATAAATAAATAATATGAGAACTTGAGCCTAAAGACGACAAATAATTTCATTGCCACGAATAACCGACTGATCATTACCGCGTCACATGTGACATGTACAAAAAGAGAGACAGAACGATGGCAGTGATGTATGTATGATGAGAGAGTAAGAAAGAGGCAGCTGTATATCGCAGCATTCCCGACTTACTGCACGCCGAGCTTGGTCGCGACGCGGCGCCACGGCGAATAGCAGCCACTCTGCTTCTTGCTGTGTGCGTGCCACGGAAACGAATGCGAACACACGTGTACATATGTGTGCGTGGCAGGTATTTAGCGGTACGTGGCGCGAATGGACGACTCGAGGTGGCATATTTCAAATAGTTAATATAAAAAAATAAATAATCCTTTTATATATACAAATTGTAAGTACAAACAAATAACAATCACATCAAATATTATTGTATAATATTAATTTAAAACACGTGTACTAAGTTTCAAATAAAAATCGTTCAGCAGTTCATTTCAAAACATGATTGATTAAGAAACAAATAACAACAATAATTAGAATGTTTTTCGTAATACTGAATCCGACTGAAGAAAACTGATTCTCAGTATTCACTACAAATATACTGCAACTTGAATTATACATTAATTAAAAAATAAATTTAAAAAATAATAAAAAACACCACATCAATTCGTCCGTATTTGCAAATGATTTTCTTTATAAGAAGACATTCCGTTCACCGTAAAAAAAAAACTATATAAAAACCAAAATATAGCTTACAAGAAATAGCATATAGCCGAGAAATCGAAATATTTCTTTTAGAACACAAAAAATATATATACAGGAAGAAAATAGCAATGGTACAAAGCAAAAAGAGTATTATAGTAAAATAATATCAAACAAGTGTAAATATAGAATAGTTTACCATAAAATCGCAGTATCACATACTTGTGTATCTTCTTATAATTAAATCATAAAATAAACCTCACACTGACATTAAATCAAACTGCACACCTATACCTACGGCTAAACAAAACTTTTCCCATTTTACACATACTGTATAATAAATTCATTAAAAACTTCCTTTGCAATACATATAAAACTCCGCACATCTGCACGCAAAACAAATCCAAAATGCATTAACGTAAAACTGCGTCATCCATGTTGGCATTATTTCGGTGTGCCTTTGCCCTTGCAACAATGAAAAAATAAAGCAGCAAAATATACGCCATACAAATTATATTTAAATTCTACGCCCATGTCTTAATGTGATTTTTTATTTTTTTATTTTTATTGAACGTGCTAATCGCAAAGCTGCGTTCCAATTTAGATTTAAATATTTAAAATTTAGAATTTATAATTCCTTTTAAAGTGACTACAACTAACATAGATACTTACCTATTTGAGGTTTGTGACTGGCCTGATACTGAGCTGCGCTTGCCACTTTTACCGCTGTTTGCAGTCAACGATTTACCGACTGACGTCTACAATAAACGAATATTAATTATGATTAATAAAATTAAAAAAAAATGTAAATTCTTAAAGTGTTTACACATGTCTTTACAAACGATTGTAAAATAATTATGCTTCATTTAAATAAATCTCTACAGATCATGCGAGGTGTGTAGACACTTTTAGTTAAAAAAAAAAAATTAAAAAGCTAACAAAATAAATATATTCTAACCTTGGAAGATTTAGGCTTGTTACAATCGGCGATGCTGTCTTTGCATACATTCTGGTGCACTGTCATGGTACAATCTGAAATGAAATTAATTATAATTTAATGGACGTTTTATCTACGAGGTTTGTCCGGAAAGTACGTATAAAAGTTTTTAAAAATTTTATTTTACAATTATTCAGGTAAATCAATTTTATCCCCTTCAAAGTACTCCCCCTGTGACATAATGCACTTGTGCCAACGCCGTTTCCACTGTGAGAAGGCTCCTTGAAAGTCCTCTGGTTGTAGGTTTCTCAGCTGCCCCGTCGTAGCTTTTTTTATCTCATTTATGTCCCCCAAATGCCGCCCCCGAAGTACCAATTTGGTTTTTGGGAACAAGAAGAAGTCACACGGGGCCAAATCCGGCGAATAGGGGGGGTGTTCGGTCACCGTAATGGAATTTTTACTCAAAAACTCACGGACAACAAGAGAGGTGTGGGCAGGGGCATTGTCGTGGTGAAGAATCCAACGCCCCTCTCGCGCCAATTCTGGACGAACTCGTGCCACACGAGCTTTGAGGCGTCTGAGCACATCGACGTAGAATTTTCCATCAACTGTCTGGCCTGGAGGGACGAATTCTTGATGAACATCTTGAACGCTTTCTCGGCCCTCTCTGAATCTTTTTAGCCACTTGTGGACGGTTGGTTCCTTCACAGCATCATCCCCATAAACTGTTCTGAGATCGGCAAAAATTTCACGGCCATTCTTGCCGAGTTTCGAGAGAAACTTGATTACGACGCGCTGCTCTTCAACGGAAGCGGGCTCCATGCCGACGGGGTTTCGTTAAGAGGTAACTTCACAGATGGCGTGACAAGCCAGTTCGCACCGCACGGCGGTCAGACCAGAACTGAAGCATTGTTAGGGACATAAGGAAGGGGTCCTGCGCTTACCTGGCCTCCCCACTCCTCTTTCTCGCATTCCAGAACACTTTTATACGAACTTTCCGGACAGACCTCGTACTTTGTTTTTTTTTTTCATCAATTTGCATATTTATTTAGATTTCTTTGTAATAATTTACATTCATTTGTAATGTAATGTTCACTCATTGAAAATGTATCTAATGTCTGTTAATTTACAATGCAATTTCCCTATATATAGGTATATTGTTTTAAAATTCATTTCTTTTATGTAACAGAACCTAAGTTTTATTATTAGGGAGGCAAAAGAGCAGATGATTCAACACTTGCAACAAAAAAAAGTTGCTTGTGCGTTGCGAGCCTTATAAATGTTTATAGGCACGTTATTTGCAATAGCCTATATAGTAATGGAAGGGTGAAGATGGGAGCTCATTCCACAACCTAGATGTACGAGGTAGAAATTTAACAAGAACGAACGAACAGTGGTAGTGTGCCACGCGTCCATGAAATGATAATATTGCATCTAATATTGTAATAAATAATGAAAAGTGTAATTGTTTATTTATTTATTATTATTTATTTATTTATTCATAGGAAAACCAGGGCTACACTAGAGCAAATAAATACAGTTTAGGATCACAAACCAAGCCACTAAAAGGTTTTCACAAGTAGCAACAATATAGATAAAAGGCGCTGCACACAAAGCAACAAAAATAGGAGTTAACAAAAAAAAAATACAAATAAACAAAAGGTATGAAAACCAAAAAAATTATGATGAATAAAATACAAAGTAAAAATCATGTAAATATTAGTGTTAAATAAAAAACTAACTGTCGCAGTATAGCGATGGCTTGTCGGCGAGCGGGCGGTTGCACCAGTCGCAGTCGCCACCGCTGCCCGCCGCCTGCCACACGTGACTCGCTTTACGGGATTTGTCCTGCAATACGAAGATATTAATATAAAAATACTAGCAGGTCTACTAATATAGCCTGTTTCAATGGAACCTAATGAAATAAATATACACAAACGAATCATTTACCCGATCATAAGACAGTTTGTGGGCGTCCAATAGTAGTACAATCGTCATCATAATCATCAGCTGTTAACTGTCCACTGCTAAACATAGGTTTCCCCCATAAGAAGGGGTTTTGCAAGCAGTTGCCACGCTTGGTAGGCGGTTTAACAATCGCAATTAAGCTTTTGGTGATGTTTAAAATGGGACGCTACTGCCTATCCGTTGACCATTAAATTCCCTTAGTCACCTCTTATGACACCCACGGGAAAGGAAGAGGCCGCCTATTCTACGCCGAGACCACCCGGCAAGTAGTAGGTATAATACAAATGGATTAGTTAACTGAATGAAGTCGCGAGTAAAAGCTAGTTAATTATAATTCAAATAAATTACCTTCTTCTTCCTGAAGAACAGACTGCCCCGTTTTCTCCTCTTCTCTGCGTGGTGGTCAAAAGCCGCTCTGTATAAAGAATAAGTACTAATTTATTAACATATTACATACTTCAAAATAACTTATACATAATATAGATTATTTATTACCCTTATTTTACACTAAGCAAAAACTGTAGTCCAAGTTACATCGGTCATATTTTTTCAGTAAAGTAAATAAGTAAAATAGAGACAGTAGCATAAACTCATCGGATAGTGGTTCTCGTTCCGACACTGGCATAGCTTAGCTACCGTACATCTATTCACCACTTTACTAAAAACTTGACCAATGTAAATCGGTCATAACGTGCAAGTATTTAAGCAAAAACTTTAGAACAAACATTAAGCTTAGTGACAGCATGCACATTATCTTTAACTTAGTGCTTTAATGAAAAAAAAAAAGAAAACCTCTATTAAATGTTTAACAATATACTTACATAACAACGCACAAATTATGAATAAATTTCCTAATCAGAGCGACCTGTAGTTTGGTTTCGTTGATAAATAACTATCGGGAGTTAAGTCGATGTAAATAATTACAATGTAATGTAATTGCCTTAATAACATTGAAAAAAAAAAATGTGCTAAAAGGAATTAAATCTGTACATATTACCACAAGTGACCAGACCCCCAAATAGCTATCTGGTTATAATTAACAGCTTCTAAATAAAATTTGTTCATCACATTCGTATACTTTTTAGAAATAAATATCACTGCATTCGTATACTTATTTCACTTTTTGCTGGAGATCTCTTTTAATCTTCAGAGATAGTTTCCTTTATACAATAAATTTATAATATATAAATATAATGTTTCAAGTTAAAACTTAAAACATGAAATAAAGATTAGGAATATTAAGTCATCAGTTAAGAGACCTATCACGCCATCTATTACTGGGCCTCCACTAGGACATTTGAAAATGAACCTAATTAGAGTAGAAATAAAATACAAACTCCCAAATATAGAAAAGACATCAGGGTTGACCCAACTCCACCTGCAAACAATTGGCAGCACATTAAGCGTGTCACACTCACTGTTCGAGGAAGGCCAAGCGATGCAGCCCTAGATGTTCTTGGTGCGTGTTGTTCCTTCTGCCGGGCAGCTGCGCTGTCGCACCCACCGTCGCCGCTGACGCTTCCTCGTCGCTCTCTGTCTCGCTCGCACCACCCGTTGACAAGCTAACACCGAGCGAGACGGACATATAGCGAGACTAGCGCGGTTCGTAATTTCCCATTGAGTATTTAATCGATTGGATTTTGTACAATTATTATATTGGTTTTCGAACCCCGCTAGTACTAAATTAGTGCAATACATAACAAAGTCAGAACCGGTTTCAGCCGGTTTTATGACCTTTGTATGAGCGAAGCAAACAGTGCACATATTAAAAAATCACATAAAAAACACATGCACATTGTTTTGTCATGCAAATAAAATATAAAAATGTGTGAAAATTTTATAAAATATTTAAAAAGTATTGATGTACGTATCGTTAATAGATATTTCAGAACATAGGGTCTCTATTACTTCAGGTACTGCTACACTTTATCATTTGTCATAGGTACATCAATTCGAGAATAATATAAAAAAAATGTGGAATAACAATTGTAAGTAAAAATTATTAAAAATATAATAAATGTCATACAAACAAAACTCAACGAGCATGCTGGAGTATAACTGTGTATATATTTGTGGGTTATATTTAACAATATGGTTAAACAACCACTAATAGTTGACCCGTTTGTCGTACTTGTGAACGATAACAACTTGTAGGGGCTAAACTATAATTTTTACTTTAAGGTCATAACTGCTTACAGCAAATTCTAACTACATACATATGTCAACGAATACATTCTGATGAACATATATGTGAATACATGTTAAAGTACATCTCTCATTTGATTGTTATAATTGTAGTATGTTGTCCGAGACAATATATATTCGAATTTTGTAAATTTATCTATTAGAAGCAAAAGAATTTTTTTCCAAGCCAGATAATATATAATGTTTTTTAACTGCCCTACTTTTTGGATAACGGCCTATCCTTAATCTTTGCAGATATTTACTAAATATTAATGGCTAACTACGAATATCTTCCAAATTGGGATAGAGGATGCACGCATATTTTTAATCAATATGTTTTGGTCACGTGGACGAAGTCATAGATTAAATTTTTTTACTTATAAATGTCAGTAAGAAAGTATTTGTAGTTAGCCATCGATGTGTCATGTAGAAGAGGTTTGTCTTGTAAAAGGCGTCTCCTTTATTATACTAGACATAACTACTATATTATATTAAGTAAAAATAAAAAAATAAGAAACTAGATAGGCTAAGTGTAAGAGTGAGGTACTAACGCGTTGGGCGGCGGCTGCGGCTGCGGCGGCTGCACGGCCGCCACGATGCTGGGCGTGGACACCGACTTCTGCAGCGGCAGCCGCGCTACCAGCCGCTCCCCGCCGCCACTGGCAGCGCACACGCTGGTGCCGGCACGCAGCGCCGCCGTCACCTTCTCGAAGTCTTTCTGTGGTACCATAATCGACACAAATTATGCAGGACCACTAAAAATCCATGAAAGATCCTTCGACCAAACTAAGCGTTAGTACTGAAGTAACATTTATAATTTGAACGGGTGAAGTGACGGAACACAATAACCTACATACATACATACGTATCTGTCACGCCTGTCTCCCATTAGGGTAGGCAGAAAGAATGGAACACCAAATGCTTCGATTCAAACAAACCTCTTTCGCTTCTTCCACATTCATCAATCTTTGCATACACGCTCGCCGGTTACGGGTACTTTTAATTTGGCCCTTCTTCAACACGTCGCCTATTTGGCCAACATACGTCCGTCTAGGGCGGCCCCTACCGACATCTCCATTCATTCTTGCTCGATAGATCTCTTTCGTAATTCTTCTTTCATCCATCCTCTCCAAATGACCAAACTAAACCAACTATAAACTTTAAAGGCATAACCTAAAATATGTTTACCTTAAAAACGCTGATGTGAAGAAACAATATGGATTGCATCTTATATAACACACTTAATTTGTAAATATTTTAATGAACTAGGCGTTATCTTGCTGAAGCTATATATCACTGGTTACTTGATTAGAACTATTTTGTTCAAATCTGCTACCATTAGTATGTGATTACCAACTTTCGCTTTTACTACCTGAAAATTCCACAACCTTCCATATTAGCTAGCTTAGGTTGTGGAACTCCTGGTGGTAACAGCGGTGGTCAATCATCGAGTATTAATAGTCGCACGCATACCGATGGTAGTGAAATTAAACAAAATAACTGTAATCAAATAACCAGTGATATGGACTCTAGCAAGACAACACCTAGTTCAGTAAAATATATACAAGTGAAGTGCATTATATTTATTCGGGTCGCTGTAATTCGTAATTTAGGTATTATTTATTCACGTCAGCGTTTTTGAGGTAATAACTTTTTTAGATTATGACTTTACAGTTTATAGGTTACTTCTTGTCCCGCGACTTCGCCCATAGTCGTATCAACGTTGAGTAGCCCATAACTTAAGATATAAGCTAATAAATTATTATAACTTTGTAATCATTATATATATATATATGAGAGATGAATGGCAAACAAGCTGACGGTCCACCCGATGGAAAGTGATAACCGTCGCCTATAGACATGAGCAGTACCATGGACATAACAGAGTATATTGTTTCGCCCATGATACCCCCCCATGCGTTGCCATTCCTGAGGACTCAGTGTTATTCCTCTGTACTCAGTACATTCACGCCATATCCCACCCTTCAAACCGAAACACAGCCATGCAAACACAACTGCTTCATGGTTGAAACACGAATGGGACAGAGATACCCAAGCAATTGACTTTTGTACAAAGTCTCCCTCTGGTAGTTTTCCAAAAAAATAAATAAAAATGCCAGAATTTTTCAGAACTAACTACGAAACGGGGGGGGGAGTGTATAAAGGTAGTAGCGATGGGATACTAACGGCCAGGTCGTTGTCGTTGAGTGAGTGCGTGGAGTGCCGCACGGGCCGCGGCACCTCGCCCTCCGACTCCATCGACGACAGCGACGCGCTGTGGCCGTTCAGCGTACTGCAATTATAACGCACAGCATTCATATACTTGATACTCTGTTCTCCAGGGGGGAAAAGGATTGTTAAAAATGGGGATTACCCCCATTGCTAGCAATATACCCTGTTAAGACAACCTCCTCGCGGTTCCCTCTGGAAACCTTCGTGGTTAGTTCTTGTGAAATTCAACACGATGGGCTAATTTATATGCTTTCATTCACACTTATTATCTTTCACTGGTGCCAGCCAGTGTATATCACATCTCCATATTTAGAATTAACAGAATTTTTCATCGTGCCTCCCATCAAATTGTTTATAATTACTCCTTTCCATCCAAAGGTTGCTTGGAAGAGATCGCTTTTAGCGATAAGGTCGCCCATTGTTTTCTCATTGTGATTATTTCTTGTAATTGTTTATATTTATAATAAGTTTACTTTTGTAATCTTTTGGAGGAAACAATAAAGAGTATCTATGTATCTATCGATAGCGTAAGCAGAGTTATCATTCCTTATTCACCCATTAAAAAACATATTTTCTAGATGAGGCGGGCCAAGAGATTAAGCTTCATTAGTAGCAGAATACCCTCTCACATAAACCTTCCTTAACGTGATCCCTTTAGAGAGCATTGTGGGTTATTGTGGTGAATTTGGTTAATCGGTGAACTCGTCACTATTTGCCAATTCATGAATTCATTCTCACCTATCATCCTTTACTGGCAACCCACCTACGCAAACAATACTGGCAAGATTACTATGCCAGTTATATCAATTAAAAAAATACTCCTCCTCGTAGAATAAATAACAAAAAATAATAACTAAATTTTGCATTGTTTGGAGTTTCTTATGAAACGTAACCCACTTTATCAGAGAGTCCCCTGTGGTTAAAATATTTATCAAATTACTAACAATTACCAACCAATATTTACCAACAAGTCATTTATAAAAGCTGTTGCACTTATTTCTGCTATCAAATAATTTGCATATAAATGCTATATCTTGATTATGATCTTGATATTTTACCGCTTTATTTCATGTATCTACATGAAATAAAGCGGTAAAATATCATTGTAAATCAACCACTTTCATATAACAAGAGACAGGTAGTGCAGTAGTAAAGCTTTTAGTATTGCAAACATTTTGTATTCCTCATTACCACCCTCATTATATATGGCTAACAATTTGTTTGTCAATCTAAGCACATTTCATAAAAAAAAGTACGCAAACAATTATAAATAGTACAAAAATAGTCATACATACAATGGCCCTAATGAAAGGCTTAGCGCGCAATAAAGTCAAATTTACAGATTACATTAACTGATCCTAAACATATAACAACAATTGTTGCTATTTCTCAAAATATTTATTTAATTTACAATTTTTTCTTAATCTATGCACCACCATTTACTCTCTCTCTGTTTAGTATAACAGTTGACTGGTAGAGAATACCATCAGGCATTAAGTCCGCTCTGTAGACATATTTTAATGTGTGCAAAAGTATAAATAAATAAACAAATATGAGAAAATGTACCTGCGCTGCCGATGCGTGTCGACAGTACGGCCGCCGGGCTCCAGCGCGGCCCAGGAGCTTCTGCGTCCTTCGTCCCGTCTCTCCCATAAGCACCATTGCCGAGATTCACCTGTGACAATGTTTAGCAAAAGATATCTTTTAATTAACACAACACGTACAAGCTTTGATAGCTTGTACGTGTTGTGTTAATTAAAAGCTAGTATGAGTACCTCTATAATTCTTATCGTTTCTCTACTCATTCTTTAAAAAAAAAATCTTTTTCCTCTCGGTAGAACATTTCCTGTAATTTCTAAATAACAAATAAAATGAACACTCAACAACAATGAAAAATGTCTATCTAAATATCTAAAATAGCATTATATAACACATAGTGAATCCGCTCCTTAATCTAATCCATATAATATGTACGTAGTGCCAGCCTTAGCAAGCCAAAAGCTCCAGGCGATCATCCGAGTTCCCTTCCCTCAAAAGCCCACACTGAAAGGATCCCAATATCTTACAGGAAACGACGTAATTGGTTCTTCGCAACCGAATATTGGTCCTTGGATATTGAATGAACAGGATAATTACGGGTGAAACTTGCTTTTTATAAAAATCGTATTAAAAAAACTGCATGGTAATGAGCATGTGAATTGAATTGAGATGCTCATCAAATACTATGAGACCGTAATTTCATCCAATTACATCGACAGTTTCAACCGAATACATCGCTCTTTCTTGCATCCTCGTTTTCGAAATCCATGTGAGTCCAGTGAGTAATAACAGGAATAGAAAAATACTTTGTCTTGATTGACGTATTTCATATCTAAACTGGAGCAAACTTTTTAAAATATACCACTCGATTGAAGCCAAAAAAGGTGACTATATGGCATTTATTAACTTGATTAGGGGTACTTTTAGTTTTTAAATAGAAGTCATAAAGTCGTATTTATGATAGCAATAAATTATATGACTCACCGCTACCCTTCCGGCTCTGGGGATAGAAGTCTAGATTTATTGGTGACGAGCAATCAGGCTCGGGGGCTCCGTCCTTGCACAGTGAGGGGCACGACGTACTGAGTCGACTCGATCCTGTTGCCTGTAATATTATTATCATTTGTAGGAAAGAAAACTTTGGTGACTATTAAATTGTAAGAAAGAAGAAAGAAGAAGAAAGAAAGAAAGAAAACATTTATTGACAACAACAAAAAGTTACATACATTATGAATTAAAAAAAAAAAACTTTACATTTATTATTGCCAACATGGTCACCACTCAGCATGTGCTGCAGCAATTTAATTGCTACAGCGCTGATATTCTGTGGTGCCCATACGTGACATTACGAACGACGACAGCAAACATACGCATATATATATATATACATATACACATATATATATACACATATATACTTGTAAAGGATAACTTGCGTAGAATGATGTCTTGTAGATAAGACGCTGTCTTGTATGGACCTGATTGCTGGACCGTAAGATGGATGAAAGACGATTTCATACAACTTAGATGTGAATGTTGAGATGGATATGCGGTGTGACAAGAATGGATAAAATCAAGAATGAGTACATATTTGAAAGTAGCACCAACAATGGACAACATAAAAATCCGTTTGTCATAGTATGGACTTGTAATGTGATATATAGGGAAGAAAAGAATGTAGTAGGAAAGATATTATGTATGAATGTGGATAATTATATGTGCAGAGGAAGAGAGCCAAAAAGAGATAGATGGACTATTTGAAAGATGGTATGGCCAAAAAGTAAAATCATATGTTATCACTTGTATGTCATATTTTATTGTTTTATTACCATAGTGCCAATTTTATTAATGTGAAATCGATGTCTTAAGAAAATGTTGTGTGCTTCTGTAATTGGTGTAAATGCAAGATGCAAGCCCTGTATATCAATTAAAATTTATGTCTGTATTTACACTGTTGATATACCTTTTATAATAATAATAAATAAACCAATGACATTACTGTAAATAGAAATGAATGGTAAAAGAAAACATTTTATGCAAGGGCAGGAAGAAGAATTTGCATAATATTCTCAGGGTTATTACCGCTGACTCACTGGTGTTTCTACTACCAAGAATTTCGCTTGTATGGTTAAGAATGTACAACAACTTAGTCCACAAGAATTGCAACAGATGAGAGTTCATAGTATATGGAATTTATAGTGCTGTTTATGATTATAGGTGACATTTTGATTGGTTGAAATTATAAAAAAAAGTAACAACACGAGACGTATATCCCACAATTTAGCTTAGCGAGCCTATTAATAATAGACTAGACCCTTCATGAAGAAAGTTCATGAAAGAAAGATTCTAGGCCATAGTTACTAAGCTGGCAAGTCTCCTAGGTATTAGAATTTTAATTCCCTTGTACTGCTTGTGCTTTTGTCACCTTTTTTAACATCCTAGGGATGAAGAGTGGTGTTCTTACCTCATTACTACACATAAAATCCTTACTGATATTACAATAATAAATGAAAAAGTAAGTTTGTTCATTGTCCTCTTGGCACCTATATAATGCATTTGTTATGCGAATTGGATTTAATTTTATATATGTAACGGTTTAACTAATAATCTTGAAATTTGGTATACACTTAGTATTTGTGATAGAAAAGGACATATGTTACTTTTTTTCTCGGACACGGCAAAGTGGCGAATAAACACTAATAATTATATATGGAAAAGTTATGGAAATATTACCAATAAGGGTAGCGGCGCTGCCCGCATCCGCTGCACGGCTACATGCAGCCGTCTGAGCTGTTGTATGCTGTCATCAAGCACGCCCGGACTGTGGGGAGTCACGCTTATTGTTGGCACCTGTCCAATAAACATATATGTAATAAAGTGTGTATATGAAGACAAAAGAATATTTTTTTAAGGTAGCAGATACTGGAAAAGTAAATGCCAAACCTAGATTACAATAATGAAAATTCATGCGCGATTTTCTTATACAATTCTGATATGGACAGAGAAAGGATATAGAAAATTTATCCTCTAAAGGACCTCTAGGCATTCTATGAGAAGAAATAGATAAAATAGGAATAGAAGTAGACGTTTCCGAGTCATTATATCTACTCTCTTAAAAACAAATCCTTGAAATATTAAAGTTGAAGAAAGAAGTTTTTTATAAAAGTCGTCAACGCTGATACCTTTACCTTTGCTCTATTCGTTTTTTTTTAGCACTAAGCATCAGTACTTACAAGTAATGACTGTGCTTTGGTTTGGAAAATGGAATATGGCAGTCACATTACAAGATATGGAGACAACACCTTAGCTACCAGGAATGGCAACACATAGTGTTGATAATGTTTTATAGACGACGCTTAACACTTTCTAATATTTGCTTGTCACTTCAAAAATAAAATTAAAATCTTTCTTAGGGAGGAGTCAAGAGTCTCCGGAATCGGAGTGCAGAGATGACACTAATCATGAAAGTCCAGAAAGCCAGAAATGTATGTAAGGATAGAATTCTTTCGCCTTTGGTTCTCTCTGCCTTCTCCGTAAGAGATATAGTGTGAAGATAGAAACCCATCAGTGGTAGTGTTACCTGTGCCCTGGCGGCGGCCATGTTGGCTGGTGGCGTGGACCGGGTCACGTGCTCTGTCACCTCGTCCTCGCTGCTGTCGGAGCGCAAGTCCGAGCTGCCGCCGCCTTCGTCTGGAACAACAAATATATTTTTTTTAACAACGGTAAACGCGTATAGTTTTGGAACCGAAAATAATATAGACTTTTCGTAAAATACATAACGTAATATAGGTATCTGTTCTGAAAATGGTTTAAAAAGAAGTTTTTACCCGATGTAAAAAAAGAGGTTCTCAAGTAGAATGTATTTTTTATGTTAATTCCATCATTTATAATATGTAAAATTCTTCAAATGTTTAAAGACAGGTAGAAAGTTGAAAACAGCTAATAAATCTCGATCTGTATCGAGCCAGCTATCAGCCGGGCATCACGTCGGCAGCGCGGCCGGATATTGGCGCGCAACCGGACATCCGAACCGGCAAGATGAGTCTAACGGACACGTAGCGATAGGACACCGGGGATGAACTTCAAATGAAACTTCAACGGTCACATTTACCGCGCTTTACAATTTGAATACATACGATTTCTATTAGGGGTTTTATTCGCAATAATTAAAATTGTGTACCCTAAAAAAAAAACAGTCTTCCATGGTGGCAAAACCAGTTACTTTGATTTCAAAACTAAACTACTGAAACGATTTTGATAAAGTTTCTATGGTAGTATTTATAAGTATGTCCTTTTAGATAAAAAATGAATATTTTCCAAATCTGTTTACTGACAAAATTATAAGATAACAAACATAAAAAATACAACTGGATTGAGAACTTCCTTCTTTACGAAGTCGGTTAAAAAAAGGTATTTTTTTTAAAAAGGGATTTCAATCGTCAACACACCGATAACGTCAAGATGTTACGTAAATCAATTATAACTCAAAAACCACTAGAAGACATTCTACGTTAGATAATAATTTGTACTAAATTAGAACATATGTACATTATTTGCAACTAAAAATTCTTTACATAAACGAGAAATAAATATAATTAATGAAAATATTTAAATTTAGAACGCAAAGTCCACGAGTATATTTTGCATCGCAATAACTAATTTTGGCTGCGTTTTTTTTTTAATTTGGGAACCATCAGTACGGGCATATAAATTCATCTGCATGAGTATCTTTGCCCCACAGTCTGTCTTTACGTGCGTTTTAACAACAATAATAATATTGATTTATAACAACACTAGCTTTTACCCTAACTTCATCCGCATGACCGGGAAATGTTTATTGTCCCCAGTCAGTTTATCCCGATAATCATAGCTTGTATCCTTCGTCCCATATAGTAAGTGTATAACAAATTTCATAGTAATTGGTTGAATAATTAAGGCGCTATAAGGTAACAAACTAACAAACAAACTCACTTTTACATTTATAAAATAATGTATAAATATAGTAATATTTACATTTATAATATTGGTAAATCCTTACTAATAAATAAAATATCAATTTAATATCATAAAATGTTTATTGTAAGCTAAGGACCGATATAAACTATTTTTTTAATAGATTTTAGTAAAAAAATATTATAATTTTAGTTTGTAATGCCCAGTAAAAGAGTAATTTCGCAAAATTATCAATAAATTAAGAAAAATGGCGCATCAGAATCAGCCTCATTATGTATAGACGAGTCAAAAACCTCATTTTTATAATCGCTTAAAAAATTAAAGTGTATTTGACCCATATTCAGACATCTAAACAAAACGCCCATGCATACGAGCCGCGCCGGATATCCGTAGGGACTGAGGCAACGACACAGCTATACATAACGTTCCATTTATAAAAATATGTGTATATAAAATGACGAGAAATATACCGCAAGAACTACCTTGATACTTTTACATACTTGTATAATGTCTACAAGTTTATCTAAAGTAAAACAAGCAGATTTTGCTCTACAAAAAAAAAATTAAACATGCAAATGTTTGAATTTAGAACGTGAAACCGTACTAGACATATCAACAAGTGCTTTTTGTTTTATACTAAAAAAAACGCAAATAGGTAATTTTAAAAAGCACGTATGTAGGTACTATTTACCTGCCATTTTTGTTTGCATTAAGTCCCGATTGTGTATTTACGTCTATGCGTAATACCTCTGGTATTGCATGTGTTCATAAGCTACGATAACCACTTACCATCAGGTGGGCCGTATGCCTGTTTGCCACTTCAGTGGTATAAAAAAAAATTCCATTGTCAAAAAATTAATGCGGATCCAATAAGGTATTAAGGGGGAAAAGATTGTTACAAATGGGAGTCGAACAGCTCCATTACTAGTAATATGTTCTATCAAGTTGACCTCCATGCGGTTCCCCTTAGAAACCATTTTGATATTTTTTTGTGGAATTAATCACGATGGGCTAACTGTTGTCCTGCCAGCGCATACCGATAGCAGAAACGGGGTAACCATTCCATTAAATTCCAAATAAAAACAAAAACACGGAACTAATCCCTGTTGATTAAAAAAAATTTAGACTCGGAGACTTTGTACAGATTTTGTACAAAAAACTTAAGATTTTTGCCCCGAGAAATAAATAGCTACTGAAAGCTGTTCATTTGTACCAACACTATGGTCGGATCTGAGATTATTATCCCTTTTCATTACTTCACTATATAGAATAAAACAAAGTCGCTTCCCGTCTATCCGCCTCTATGTATGCTTACATGTTTAAAACTACGCAACGCATTTTAATGTGTTTTTTTTATAGATACAAGTGATTCAATACGAAGGTTTATATGTATAATACATGCATAATATAGGAAAGGAAAACTAATAATTTTAGAGGTTTCTAATGTGATGCGATATGCACCCGTACGAAACCGGGGCGGGTCGCTAGTCAACAGTAAAAGCATTGGTACGTGATACTAAAGCTTCGGGGTTTAATATCCATGGTTACAAACACAAAGAGCCGCAAAAGCATTTTTGCTGCCGGCTGGAAAAAAATAATTTATCTCAGTGACAGGCCGACCTACTTCCACAGGTCAAGGCTTTCTTTACATCCTCAGCCTCACATGGACCAGTCAATGTAGATCCCGGAATTAATAGTAATGGAAACCGGGAAGACTTAATAAATTGATCAATTCATTACATAAGAGACAGACCTGATTCCATTCACATATTAAATACGGATTTCTCAACTTGGTTAGAAAATTTTTATCCACAAGAATCGTGACAAAAAACGGATTTTTTTTTTATTTAAAAACTAAATTACATTTTGATAATATTTCTAAAGGACCAATGTAGAAGTATCCTTTCACTTAAAAAAATCAAAATCGTTTCATAAATGACGGAGTTACGCGATAACAAACAAAAAATATTACTTGAGAACCTAATTTTTTGAAGTCGGTTGAAAAGAATTATTTGGCGTTCCATTGTTTCTGCCTACCCTAATGGGAGACAGGCGTGACAGATATGTATGTATGTATGTATGAAAAGAATTAACGTGTTCAATCGTTTCAAAATAAGATTTGCAGAAATCTCTTATGTCACTACTTATTCGTCAAAACTTTAATATGGGAAATTGGTCCCCTTGCATAGTCAATGGCCTAAACACGTCAAGGATAAAAAGAACTCAAATTAATAAATACCTCTGATTGAAAATTATGAAAAGATAATTTTAGATTTTGTTCCGCTAGACAATAGTGCTAAAATAGCATGAAATCAACACGGGAATAAACACAGTGAACTTAAAAAAAATTAATTAAATTGCAAGTACCTAAATGTAAATATAAAAATTACAAAGATATTACGCAACACTTGTGACACAAAAATACTATCGAATTGAAAACCGCTTTCTTTCTGACACTTTTTTAATGCAAAGAGTCCAATTCAACATTTTCATATGGAAAAAATATTCTACCCATTGGCCACACCCTTATTATGAATAAATGTTTGGAATACAGGAAGCTCGTGTCGAACTTCCTTAAACGAGCTTGTCGGCGGCCCCATGTTTGTTAACCACCCTTTTCAACTAACTTTATTAAAATTGATAGGAGGACTGCACAAATGAGTACTTTAATTAAAAAAAAATCAATACTAACAATATTTGTCATAAAAAAGTCAAACATCTCATAAACCTATTTTAGCTTTTGGATTCTTTCTCTTTCTTTTATGCTACATTCACAATTTGAAAGAAAGTGACAAAACAGTTCAATAGCTAAAAAAGGTATATACCAAGTATTAGTTTTTATAAATAAGGGTGTTAATATTTTTCCAAAATCTTATACTACTAATATAATAAAAATGTAACTAGACTATGTTTGTACATGAGCGATATTTAAAAAAATATATGACGGATTTTAATAAAAGCAATAGACGCTAAAACAGTCATTTTTAAAAAATCTGTCTGTCTGACTGTACATTTGTTCCGGTATCACGCAAAAACTACTGCACCAAATGGGATGCGGTTTTCACCGGATTTTTCAAATATTCTAGTCTAACTTGTATTCTAGTCTCTGCTGTAGATTTTATTTTAATACGCTATCTACAAGTGATCTATTTAATTGGTTATACAACTTCCAAAATTCACTAAGTAGCGAGCAAAAAGCAAGTTACTTTATAAAAGGCAAATTTTCGTATTTATGGTACATTAAGACCACGCCGCAGGCCCACAAACAGATCGTGCTTTGTACAGCTCAGTTTTAAATGAATCCTAGTGAACAATAGCGTTGCCAAATTGGGTATGTTTCCGTAATTTTGGGTACAAAATATTTTATTCGCGAAATTTTGTAGAAATTAACAACTTGGAGCAGTTTTAATGGACTTGGAGAAGGTAATTTTTTAACAATTTTGGTGATTGTAAACCGTAAAGCGGTATATAAAATATATGAATGAAGAAGCGAATAAAACAGAGAGAGAGAGAGAGAGAAGATAGAATAAGACAAAGAAGGTAAAAGTAGAAAACATATGATGCTTCCATGTTTCTTTTCTCCGTCGTTCGTGATTCTTGGCAAAAAAGTGAAAATCGACATATCGAGTAAAAGTATTTGGCATTTGGGTAAACCATAAAACGTATGTGGCAACCCTGAACAACTAAATAATATTTACTATTAGGCACATGAGGGCGCGTGTGACCATCGCAATATA